TGATCTGAATTTAGAGAAGTATACTCTTGTCTTTTTTCTTTGTGGATCGTTCCTTAGGTTCGGCTTGACTGGATGGTTTTCTCGGATTTTGTGCCAAGTATCAAACACTGTGCTTCTCGGATTTGCAACTTAATATACATAAAGGTGAATATCTGTTTGCTTGAGAATCTGGAAACCAAAAATGAATATATCGCCTTCCGTACGAGCATGGTGATCTGAATTTATAGAAGTATACGCTGGTAATTTTTCTTCGTGGGTCGTTTCTTAGGTTCGGCTTGACTGGATGGTTTTCTCGGATTTTGTGTCAAGTATCAAACACTGTGCTTCTCGGATTTGCAACTTAACATACATAAAGGTGAATATCTTTCTATGTGTTTGCTTGAGAATCTGAAAAAAAATCAATATATCGCCTTCCGTACGAACATAGTGATCTGAATTCAGAGAAGTATACTCTGGTCATTTTTTTTGTGAATCGTTTCTTCGATTTGGCTTGACTGGATGGTTTTCTCGGATTTTGTGTTTAATATCAAACACTGTGCTTCTCGGATCTGCAATTAAACATCACATATCAAATATCGAACCATATGAATCAAAAATGATTATCATCAGATGTGGTACATGGACGGTGATTCCAAAAATCAAATGAAATGTAGGGTGATACAAAAATTATTTCTGAAGGGAATATCTTTCTGGAAAGAAAAAAGTGGAAGTTTCCAGTCTGACCTGAAAAGTTATCACCAAATTTGTACGGCAACATGGTTGTTTGAAACACTTGCAGGTCACTGATGATGATCAAAAACATCTCAAAACGTGACTTACAGTCATAGAACATGCCATGCCAAAAATTATGAAAATCGATCTCAGCCTACTATTTTTATGAGCAAAATAATTTTTTTTCTCAAAAAAACTTCAACGCCTTGTACCAACTGAACAAAACGAATTTGGATATAGGTAAGTTGGCCTAAATCAACTTGTTTTTATCACAGGAGTCCACAGCCGAGCCATTTCCCAACCTTTTACAGACACCCTGTATAGTATACAAAATATAAGATGAAGTATTGAACACGGATATACTGACAGTATTATTTTCAAAAGTCTAATGATTTAAAAAATTTTAACCTAGGCTGAAAATATAATCTTTCCCAAAATATCTAGATATATTTTGTTAACTGGAAAGAAGAGGAAAATATTGATGATTGTGGTCTACTTTTTATAAGCGCGCATCCAAATTGACATTTATGTGTGTGAAAATGTTATGAGCACCCGAAAATATCTAAAATAATTGACAAATTGTTCCATGGACAGAAATCCATTGATATTTTAACATAATTCCGCTCTAATTAAGTTTAAATTTGAGGACTGGATATTTTTTGTAATCAAATTGGATTTTTTGAATAACGAGTTCAATAAAATTTCTATTTTTCAAATTGGATGCGCTCTGTTAAAAAAAAAGAAGTTTTTTGTTTTGCCTGAAAACTGATCTGGATTCTAAATTCGATTCATATTTAGTTTTGATGAGAAATATGAGTTGAATATACCTACCAAGTATGAATCGATTATACAGAGTGGTGCAAAAGTTATGACCTGACCATAGATGAAGATTTTGCAAAAATCATGATTAGGTTCAGTATCACAGTTATTGAAGATGGCAAATTCTTAAAAGATACAGTTTCGAACAGGAAGCACGAAAATCAGAAGAAGATATTCCTCGATCGGAGAAAATACAACAGACGGTTCGAAACATACAGGGTATGTCACGACGAGCTCACACTATCTCTATATCGAGAATCAGTCGGGAGAAATCCATGAAAATATGCATGTGATCAGAAATGTGATTCTTGAACCACCCTGTATCTGTTCCATAGTGAAACAAAAGTTGAGATAGGGACATGTGAGCCGTTTTGACCGATAATGAATATTTTCGACACAAAAAATCCTAATGTTGAAAATTATCGATTTTGAACACCCTATATCTCTGTAATTATTTTCGATAGACCCCAAGTATGATACATCGATGAAATTAGTTCTTCAGGGAAAATCTTAAAATGTGATAAAATACGGGGTGTTTAGTTTGAAATATCAATGTTGCTACTACTTTCCAGTAGAAGCGGCAACACTGCATTGTCGAACATATTTTAAATGAAAAGAGCGTATACCAAAATATAAGCATGCACATTTTCATGGATTTCTCCCGACTGTTTCTCGATTTAAAGATAGTGTAAGCTCGTCGTGACCTACCCTGTATAGGGTAATGAAGTTAAATGAATACAGGGAAATATGAGGAAAAATTGAGAGAATTTCTCTGCACTCACCAGCGTGAAACATGTGAGGCCTTGATGAAACAACACGAAACACTAGATCAACACACGATCCCGGTATAATTATTATTGAATCGAATGAAGAATACAAAAACACTATATACGAATCAATACGATCACTCAGTTTTTAGGGAACACTCAGTTTGGAACGATAAATAATTCCTTTCGCGTATTTTTCGATGTCGATCACAAAATTCGTCCGTACGTGATGACATCTAATATAAGACTGTCCTGATTTACCACCTGGTCCCGAATGAATGACTAATAAGTTGAATCACGCTTCTATGACCGGGGCTATGACGAATGATGATAATAAAATTATACGGGGGAAAAATATTTACATGGTGTTTGGTTCACCGACGTATATTTGTGGTATTCGATGTGATTCTGAAAATATTCAAACACATTTTCTGTTATACAAAGTGTTACATTTTTAAAGAAATCATCGCTGTAATAAATACGAAGTTGTATGTTACAGAAACTTGTTTTCAAAATTCTGACTAGGCAAAAATTTTTTCATCACATTTGTATCCCATTACTTGTTCAATATCTATGAAAATCGTATCCAACTTGAAAAAAAAGAAGAAATTACAATCAGATGAAATGTTCGACCGAACAGAGATATCTCAAAGTTCGTAACACTTTGTATAATATTTTATATGGTTGAATATATTCGAAATGTTCTTACCTATCAGTCCCTTTCAGATATACTTCGGTGAACCAAACACCCTGTATAGTATACGAAATACCAGATGAAGAATTGAACACGGAGAGTGGTGGATTTTTTGTAGAAAATCTCCCAAGATAATATTATGAAAGAATTCATCACAGGCTGAAAATATATATCTTTTACAAAAATCTCTCGTGATATGAAAGAATTCAACCGGACAGTATGTAGTAGTCGAGAAACAATTCACCATAGTGACATACAGGCAAACAATTTTTGTTTAAAAAAATATCACATTTGAGAATATACAGGGTGGGGCAGTGGAAACGAAACAGCGGATCTTTTGGTCGACAGAACCGGATTATATAAAAACGCCGAAACGTCAGCTATATTTTCGAGGAGGACATCGTTCTAAAATATTTTCAGCAACAACTGACACTGATTTACTATTTAGTGACATTTATTTGGAACAGATGCAGGGTGATCAAAATTCTGAATCTTGATTCGAACATTACATGATAAACCATTTTTTACTCGCAGATGCACACACATGATTATCAATCTGTCAGATGTGAAGTTCACGAACATATTTTTCTTCTGAATAACTTTCATCAGAAAACTGAGTAGACGCCTATAATCAAATTGCACCAAAATAAAGCTATTTGAGTAATAAAACGTCCATAATATTGCTTCCACAGTGGTAGAGGTTGTTAGGTAAGCAACTTGGAGCGAAGTCCCCCATTGAATCGGTCCATATTGGATCCGCCATCTTGAATTTTCGATTTGGAAAATAAATTATGACAGATCTTCATACCTACCGAATATGCACAAGAAGTTTCATAAAAATCGGTCGAGCCGTTTCGGAGTAGTATGGAAACGAAAATTTTATACAGGGTGTATCTAAATAACACCGAAAAAGGGTGATTCCTTGTGATATTTCAGGGAATAAAGTTCATATAAACATGTGTCCTAATGCCTTAATTGTCATTTCATCAATTTCAATAAAACGTTGTGGTTTTGTTAATAGTAATATGGAGCTTCTTCTAGTGCAATTAGCTTCGAAATAATATTTCCAGTGGCGTAACAGTGGGTAAATTTCTGAGTTTCATATTTTCATTAGATTGAACTATCAAAATAACGTTTATGTGTGATTTTTGTATCTAGGTTTTGCGGTTGAACTTTAGCTCCTAGGAACTAAAAAGGATGTACTGGACGTCATCAAGAATAAACAACATTGTGACGGTTGATTATTTGGGTTGAGACGCATACCTGATTTGTTACCGATTTCAGCAGATTTGACATTTCATACTCATGCTGGAGATATAAATACACCTTATTATTGTTGAGTATTGGAATTATAAACATCTCAGTCGAGTATTTTTGTTTTGATCAGGGAAACCTTCAAGATTCAAATACTTGCTTGATCTGTATTTCATTCGTTATTCTCGGGATGGATAACTTGTTTTTGAATAATCACGGCAAGCAATTGTTTTTTGTCTCAAACAACGATATTGTTTAGCTTCATTTGATCATCAAGTCAAACACAGTGTAGTATGGAGAGGAATAAATAATCACTATTATCATTGTTGATATGTTCACTAACCTAACATTTTCCACGTCTTGTTCCTATAGCACTGGCGCGGTATTTGCCATTAGAGCACCTGGACCTGGTCCATACACAAATATGTCACTCTGTGGTTGTATTTATATTGAAACTGCAATTCGAACATCCTTGAAAACCTAACCTGCTGTTAATGCAGGTAGAATATTCTTACCACATGGAATATTTGTCAATATTTGTTGCATAGCATACATATGGCACGGCATTGGTGGTTACACCACATGTTTATTCAAGTTAATTGTTTCGGTTGCAGAAAAAATAGCATGTTTCATTCGGATCAAAAGTGACTTTGTTCGACTCGCAAATTTTGCTTCCGCTCGGCTTCGCTAAACGCTCCGCCTCGCAAATGCAAAATTCGATCTATTTGTTGACTATTTTGTCGGCGTTGTTTTAGGACGTAACTTTGCACGATCTGGACGCAGCTAACGCAAAACCGCAAGGCGGTCAAGACGTTCTATCGATGATGGGCCAGCTGTTGAAGCCGAAGAAAACGGAAATCACCGACAAACTGCGAAGGGAAATCAACAAGATCGTCGATAAATACATCGACCAAGGCATCGCGGAATTGGTGCCCGGAGTGCTTTTCATCGACGAAGTTCACATGTTGGACATCGAGACTTTCACTTATTTGCATCGAGCACTCGAGAGTGCCATCGCTCCCATCGTTATTTTCGCCACCAACAGGTCAATAGATTTTACAATTTTTTTTTCACATTCCACACATTTTCGTAACACAATTTTCAGGCATTTTTGCAATTTTCAGGAATTTTTGCAATTTTCAGGAATTTTTGCAATTTCCAGGAATTTTTGCAATTTCTGCAATTTTCAGACATTTTTGCGATTTTTGCAATTTTCAGGAATTTTTGCGATTTTTGCAATTTTCAGTCATTTTTGCGATTTTTGCAATTTTCAGGAATTTTTGCGATTTTTGCAATTTTCAGGAATTTTTGCGATTTCAATTTACAGGAATTTTCGCGATTTTTGCAATTTTCAGTCATCTGCGATTTTTGCAATTTTCAGGAATTTTTGCGATTTTTGCAATTTCCAGTCATTTTTGCGATTTTTGCAATTTTCAGGAATTTTTGCGTTTTTTGCAATTTTCAGGAATTTTTGCGATTTTTGCAATTTCAGGAATTTTTGCGATTTTTGCAATTTTCAGGCATTTTTGCGATTTTTGCAATTTTCAGGAATTTTTGCGATTTTTGCAATTTTTAGGCATTTTTGCAATTTCTGAAATTTTCAGGAATTTTTGCGATTTTTGCAATTTTCAGTAATTTTTGCGATTTTTTGCAATTTTCAGGAATTTTTGCGATTTTTGCAATTTTCAGTCATTTTGCGATTTTTGCAATTTTCAGTCATTTTTGTGATTTTTGAAATTTTCAGTCATTTTTGCGATTTTTGCAATTTTCAGGCATTTTTGCGATTTTCGCAATTTTCAGGAATTTTGCGATTTTTGCAATTTTCAGGAATTTTTGCGATTTTTGCAATTTTCAGGAATTTTTGCGATTTTTGCAATTTTCAGGCATTTTTGCGATTTCTGTAATTTTCAGGAATTTTTGCGATTTTGCAATTTTCAGTCATTTTGCGATTTTTGCAATTTTCAGTCATTTTTGCGATTTTTGCAATTTTCAGGATTTCAGGAACATTGCAAAAATTGCATAAATTGCAAAAATTGTCAAAATTGCGAAATTTGCAATCTTCAGGCATTTCTGCAATTTTTGCAATTTTTGCAATTTTCAGGCATTTTTGCGATTTTTGCAATTTTCAGTCATTTTTGCGATTTTTGCAATTTCCAGGAATTTTTGCGATTTTTACAATTTTCAGGAATTTTTGCGATTTTTGCAATTTTCAGGAATTTTGCGATTTTTGCAATTTTCAGGCATTTTTGCGATTTCTGTAATTTTCAGGAATTTTTGCGATTTTTGCAATTTTCAGTCATTTTTGCGATTTTTGCAATTTTCAGGAATTTTTTGCGATTTTTGCAATTTTCAGTCATTTTTGCGATTTTTGCAATTTTCAGGAATTTTTGCAATTTTCAGGAATTTTTGCGATTTCAATTTTCAGGAATTTTCGCGATTTTTGCAATTTTCAGTCATCTTTGTGATTTTTGCAATTTTCAGGAATTTTTGCGATTTTTGCAATTTCCAGTCATTTTTGCGATTTTTGCAATTTTCAGGAATTTTTTCGTTTTTTGCAATTTTCAGGAATTTTTGCGATTTTTGCAATTTTCAGGAATTTTTGCGATTTTTGCGATTTTCAGGCATTTTTGCGATTTTTGCAATTTTCAGGAATTTTTGCGATTTTTGCAATTTTTAGGCATTTTTGCAATTTCTGAAATTTTCAGGAATTTTTGCGATTTTTGCAATTTTCAGTCATTTTTGCGATTTTTGCAATTTTCAGGAATTTTTGCGATTTTTGCAATTTTCAGTCATTTTTGCGATTTTTGCAATTTTCAGTCATTTTTGCGATTTTTGAAATTTTCAGTCATTTTTGCGATTTTTGCAATTTTCAGGCATTTTTGCGATTTTCGCAATTTTCAGGAATTTTTGCGATTTTTGCAATTTTCAGGAATTTTTGCGATTTTTGCAATTTTCAGGAATTTTTGCGATTTTTGCAATTTTCAGGGCATTTTTGCGATTTCTGTAATTTTCAGGAATTTTTGCGATTTTTGCAATTTTCAGTCATTTTGCGATTTTTGCAATTTTCAGTCATTTTTGCGATTTTTGCAATTTTCAGGAATTTTTGCGATTTTTGCAATTTTCAGTCATTTTTGCGATTTTTGCAATTTTCAGGAATTTTTGCGATTTTTGCAATTTTCAGGCATTTTTGCGATTTTTGCAATTTTCAGTCATTTTTGCGATTTCTGCATTTCAGGAATTTTTGCGATTTTTGCAATTTTCAGGAATTTTTGCGATTTTTGCAATTTTCAGGATTTTTTGCGAATTTTGCGATTTCTGCAATTTCCAGGAATTTTTGCGATTTTTACAATTTTCAGGAATTTTTGCGATTTTTGCAATTTTCAGTCATTTTTGCGATTTTTTCAATTTTCAGGAATTTTTGCGATTTTTGCAATTTTCAGGCATTTTTGCGATTTTTGCAATTTTCAGTCTGCGATTTTTGCAATTTTCAGTCATTTTTGCGATTTTTGCAATTTTCAGGCATGTTTGCGATTTTTGCAATTTTCAGTCCATTTTTGCGATTTTTGCAATTTTCAGTCATTTTTGCGATTTTTGCAATTTTCAGGAATTTTTTGCGATTTTTGCAATTTTCAGGATTTTTTGCGATTTTTGCGATTTTTGCAATTTCCAGGAATTTTTGCGATTTTTACAATTTTCAGGAATTTTTGCGATTTTTGCAATTTTCAGGAATTTTTGGAATTTTCAGGAATTTTTGCGATTTCACTTTTCAGGAATTTTCGCGATTTTTGCAATTTTCAGTCATCTTTGCCGATTTTTGCAATTTTCAGGAATTTTTGCGATTTTTGCAATTTCCAGTCATTTTTGCGATTTTTGCAATTTTCAGGAATTTTTCGTTTTTTGCAATTTTCAGGAATTTTTGCGATTTTTGCAATTTTCAGGAATTTATGCGATTTTTGCAATTTTCAGGCATTTTTGCGATTTTTGCAATTTTCAGGAATTTTTGCGATTTTTGCAATTTTTAGGCATTTTTGCAATTTCTGAAATTTTCAGGAATTTTTGCGATTTTTGCAATTTTCAGTCATTTTTGCGATGTTTGCAATTTTCAGGAATTTTTGCGATTTTTGCAATTTTCAGTCATTTTTGCGATTTTTGCAATTTTCAGTCATTTTTGCGATTTTTGAAATTTTCAGTCATTTTTGCGATTTTGCAATTTTCAGGCATTTTTGCGATTTTCGCAATTTTCAGGAATTTTTGCGATTTTTGCAATTTTCAGGAATTTTTGAGATTTTGCAATTTTCAGGAATTTTTGCGATTTTTGCAATTTTCAGGCATTTTTGCGATTTTTGCAATTTTCAGGTCATTTTGCGATTTTTGCAATTTTCAGTCATTTTTGCGATTTTGCAATTTTCAGTCATTTTGCGATTTTTGCAATTTCAGTCATTTTTGCGATTTTTGCAATTTTCAGTCATTTTTGCGATTTTTGCAATTTTCAGGAATTTTTGCGATTTTTGCAATTTTCAGTCATATTTGCGATTTTTGCAATTTTCAGTCATTTTTGCGATTTTGCAATTTTCAGGAATTTTTGCGATTTTTGCAATTTTCAGTCATTTTTGCGATTTTTGCAATTTTCAGTCATTTTTGCGATTTTTGCAATTTTCAGTCATTTTGCGATTTTTTCAATTTTCAGGAATTTTTGCGATTTTTGCAATTTTCAGGCATTTTTGCGATTTTTGCAATTTTCAGTCATTTTTGCGATTTTTGCAATGTTTCAGGCATGTTGCGATTTTGCAATTTTCAGTCATTTTTGCGATTTTTGCAATTTTCAGTCATTTTTGCGATTTTTGCAATTTTCAGGAATTTTTGCGATTTTTGCAATTTTCAGGATTTTTTGCGATTTTTGCGATTTTTGCAATTTCCAGGAATTTTTGCGATTTTTACAATTTTCAGGAATTTTTGCGATTTTTGCAATTTTCAGGAATTTTTGGAATTTTCAGGAATTTTGCGATTTCACTTTTCAGGAATTTTCGCGATTTTTGCAATTTTCAGTCATCTTTGCGATTTTGCAATTTTCAGGAATTTTTGCGATTTTTGCAATTTCCAGTCATTTTTGCGATTTTTGCAATTTTCAGGAATTTTTTCGTTTTTTGCAATTTTCAGGAATTTTTGCGATTTTTGCAATTTTCAGGAATTTATGCGATTTTTGCAATTTTCAGGCATTTTTGCGATTTTTGCAATTTTCAGGAATTTTTGCGATTTTTGCAATTTTTAGGCATTTTTGCAATTTCTGAAATTTTCAGGAATTTTTGCGATTTTTGCAATTTTCAGTCATTTTTGCGATTTTGCAATTTTCAGGAATTTTTGCGATTTTTGCAATTTTCAGTCATTTTTGCGATTTTGCAATTTTCAGTCATTTTTGCGATTTTTGAAATTTTCAGTCATTTTTGCGATTTTTGCAATTTTCAGGCATTTTTGCGATTTTCGCAATTTTCAGGAATTTTTGCGATTTTTGCAATTTTCAGGAATTTTTGAGATTTTTGCAATTTTCAGGAATTTTTGCGATTTTTGCAATTTTTAGGCATTTTTGCAATTTCTGAAATTTTCAGGATTTTTGCGATTTTTGCAATTTTCAGTCATTTTTGCGATTTTTGCAATTTTCAGGAATTTTTGCGATTTTTGCAATTTTCAGTCATTTTTGGCGATTTTTGCAATTTTCAGTCATTTTTGCGATTTTTGCAATTTTCAGTCATTTTTGCGATTTTTGCAATTTCAGTCATTTTTGCGATTTTTGCAATTTCTCAGTCATTTTTGCGATTTTTGCAATTTTCAGGAATTTTTGCGATTTTTGCAATTTCAGTCATATTTGCCGATTTTTGCAATTTTCAGTCATTTTTGCGATTTTTGCAATTTTCAGGGAATTTTTGCGATTTTTGCAATTTTCAGTCATTTTTGCGATTTTTGCAATTTTCAGTCATTTTTGCGATTTTTGCAATTTTCAGGAATTTTTGCGATTTTTGCAATTTTCAGTCATATTTGCGATTTTTGCAATTTTCAGGGAATTTTTGCGATTTTTGCAATTTTCAGGCATTTTTGCGATTTTTGCAATTTTCAGGAATTTTTGCGATTTTTGCAATTTTCAGGAATTTTGCGATTTTTGCAATTTTCAGTCATATTTGCGATTTTTGCAATTTTCAGGAATTTTTGCGATTTTTGCAATTTTCAGGCATTTTTGCGATTTTTGCAATTTCAGGAATTTTTGCGATTTTTGCAATTTTCAGGAATTTTTGCAATTTTTGCAATTTTCAGGAATTTTTGCGATTTTTGCAATTTTCAGGAATTTTTGCAATTTTTGCGATTTTTGCAATTTTCAGTCATTTTTGCGATTTTTGCAATTTTCAGTCATTTTTGCGATTTTCGCAATTCTCAGGAATTTTTGCGATTTTTGCAATATTCAGAAATTTTTGCAATTTCGCAATTTTCAGGAATTTTTGCGATTTTTGCAATTTTCAGGCATTTTTGCGATTTTTGCAATTTTCAGGAATTTTGCGATTTTTGAAATTTTCAGGAATTTTTGCGATTTTTGCAATTTTCAGGAATTTTTGTAATTTTTGCAATTTCCAGGAATTTTTGCGATTTTTGCAATTTTCAGGAATTTTTGCGATTTTTGCAATTCTCAGGAATTTTAGCAATTTTCAGTCATTTTTGCGATTTTTTGCAATTTCAGGAATTTTTGCAATTTTTGCAATTTCAGAATTTTTGCAATTTTTGCAATTTTCAGGAATTTTTGCGATTTTTGCAATTTTCAGGAATTTTTGCGATTTTGCAATTTTCAGGAATTTTTGCGATTTTTGCAATTTTCAGGGATTTCTGCGATTTTTGCAATTTCAGGAATTTTGCGATTTTTGAAATTTTCAGGAATTTTTGCGATTTTTGCAATTTTAGGAATTTTTGCGATGTTTGCAATTTTCAGGAATTTTGCGATTTTTTCAATTTTCAGGAATTCTTGCAATTTTTGCAAATCCAGGAATTTTTACAATTTACAGGAATTTTTGCAATTTCTGCAGTTTTGCAATTTTCAGGAATTTTCAGAATTTTTGCAATTTTCAGGAATTTTTACAATTTCTGCAATTTCAGGCATTTTTGCGATTTTTGCAATTTTCAGGAATTTTTGCAATTTTTGCAAATTCCAGGAATTTTTATAATTTACAGGAATTTTTGCAATTTCTGCAGTTTTTGCAATTTTCAGGAATTTCAGGAACATTGCAAAAATTGCAAAAATTGCAAAAATTGCCAAAATTGCAAAATTTGCAATCTTCAGGCATTTCTGCAATTTTTGCAATTTTCAGGCATTTTTGCGATTTTTGCAATTTTCAGGAATTTTTTCAATTTTTAGGCGTTTCTGCAATTTTTGCAATTTTGAGGAATTTTTGCAATTCTCAGGCATTTTTGCGATTTTTGCAATTTTCAGGAATTTTTTCAATTTTTGCAAATTCCAGGAATTTTTACAATTTACAGGAATTTTTGCAATTTCTGCAGTTTTTGCAATTTTCAGGATTTTTCAGGAATTTTTGCAATTTTCAGGAATTTTTACAATTTTCAGAAATTTTTGAAAATTTGCATTTTCAGGAATTTTAACAATATTTGCATTTTCAGGCATTATTGCAATTTTCAGGAATTTTAACAATATTTGCAATTTTCAGTCATTTTTGCAATTTTTGCAATTTTCAGGAATTTTTCCAATTTTCAGGCATTTTTGCGATTTTTGCAATTTTCAGGAATTTTTACAATTTTTGCAATTTTCAGTAATTTCTATAATAATATGGATATATTATAATATAATTATATATAATAATAGGGAGAAGGTAGATTTGTGACATATCAAGGACATCTCGACAATTGCCGCCTGCGGCGGACATTGGCTGTTCTATAATAGTTCTATTCATGTGTGAACAGAACATCGCAGTGGAGGTTCAATGTCTCGAAATCTCGTACTTTTAACATCTCTGAAATGTTTTTGTGCTGGCTGGGTAGGTTTTAATTTAGAATGACAATGATGAAACCATCATGAAAAATTACCATATCTGACATAGGAGTCAAATTTTCTTTATTATTCAATAGGGGCCGGTGTCTCATAAGAGGCACCGATGACATCCACTCACCCCACGGGATTCCCCTAGATCTGCTCGACAGACTTCTAATCATCCGAACGATCCCGTACGGTCGTAGCGATATGGAGCAGATTCTGAAGCTGAGAGCCAACACGGAAGGGCTGGAAATCGAAGCTGAAGCTATTTCAGCCCTAGGCGAAATAGGCGTCAAAGCTACTTTGCGTTACGCCGTGCAGCTGTTGACTCCTGGCCATCTGACGGCCAAAATTAACGGCAGAAGTAAGTTGTTTTCGATCACTTTTCATAGGTGGAAAACTGTTGGTATATTTGATGAATTTCGATATCATACAATGAGCAAATTTCCAATATTCAAATGTTCAAGCCTCTGTATAGTTTATGAGAATTCCACCTCCACCATTTTGATGATGTACTACTTTGAAATGCCTTGAATATCTCTAAGCTTTCATATGCGTCCAATTTTCTAATATTATTAACTTGCTTAACTAGTTTGAGGTTAGTAATGTGTATAATGATTGTGATTGAACATATGTTCGGCTACACAAGATTTATCTAACCTGCCATATTTCAAATGGGCTATGTGTTCTTTGAACCTTGTTTTGTCGGGTCGCCTGGTTTGGCCTATATGTGTTTCATCACAATAATTACAACTTATTTCGTATATTCCCGACTTTTCGAGTGTGTCCACTTCATCTTTTGGATTGCCTAATCAATTGCCTAATTTTGACCCAGACTGATAAACGCTTTTGAAACCTGAGTCTTTGAAAACCTTATCAAGTCCCTTGGTATACTTGGGATTGAACGGGATTGGGATTCTTCTAGAGTTCTTTTTGTCAACTTGAAAAGTCGTAGAATTTCGAAGTGTTAACTTAAATTTATGTTAACGTATTAATTTATCTACTATTTTGATATCATACCCATTGACACGTTCCAGCCACTTTATAAACAACACTTCTTTCAGCATTGAATCTTCAAAAAATTCAAACTTGCCATTTTGTCCTGAAAACAGTGATTTGGGTCATTAGCGAAAACAACTTAGAATTTGATGTTTTTGGAAAAGAAACTAACACATTTAGATACATACCTAATGACTCAAATCACTGTTTTCAGCACAAAATGGCAAGTTTAAATTTTCAAGTACATAGATTAATTTCATTCCCTCTGAGTAAAGGAAGATTCAATGCTGAAAGAAGTGTTGTTTATAAAGTGGCTGGTGTCAATAGGTATGATATCAAAATAGTAGATAAATTAATACGTAGACATAAATTTAAGTCGGGAATATACGAAATAAGTTGTAATGATTGTGATAAAACATATATAGGCCAAACCAGGCAACCCATAAAAACAAGGTTCAAAGAACACATAGCCCATGTACTGGCATAGGACGTATTTTTACTCTGTGTGAATGTAGATTTTCAGAAAGTAAGTCATAGGAATGGTGGAGGAGCCAAGTTCCTACTTTATTTATTTTCTTCTGACGTGAAATTTGATCTTACAAAAAAAAGAAAAAATACGTATACCGGGTGGCTACGGAAGTATTGCCTACGGAATATCTCAGTTATTGTATGAAGTAGGTTTGTGAAATTTGGAGCGTCGATATAATGACATAAGAGCTAGAATTTGAGCATACTGACATGTCGAAGTTAACTTCCGGTCTGACCGGAAGTCACATCAACTTTCCTATTTTAAATGGAAACCCTATTTTTTTTCTTTTCGCTTTATTCAGCATTCAATTCCCTTTCTAATGACATATCACAAGTTGGTATCTAACCAGAAACTAGATCAGAAAAAAAATTATTATTGAAATATACCGAGTAGGCCGTGGAAGCAAAATGAAAGCCAAAAATTGAAAAGTTGGCTATGGAAACCATACGTCACTTGATAACAGTTGCTACTACTGTGATATTTTATTTTCATTCGTCGGCGTTATAAAAAGCCGCTAAAAAAAATATTGGAAAAATTGGGAAAAAAACAATACTCTGTAGGTCCATAACTTAAATAGGAACATACAACTTTTTCTTGCCTGTACTATTCAGCATAACCATTCCTTTCTAATGATATCATAGAAAGTCATTTTTTGGCTTTCATTTTGCTTCCACGGCCTACTGGGTGAATTTCAATAATATTTTTTTTCTGATCTAGTTTCTGGTTAGATACCAACTTGTGATATGTCATTAGAAAGGGAATTGAATGCTGAATAAAGCGAAAATAAACAAAATACGGTTTCCATTTAAAATAAGAAAGTTGATGTTACTTCCGGTCAGACCGGAAGTTAACTTCGACATGTCAATATGCTCAAATTCTAGCTCTTATGTCATTATATCGACGCTCCAAATTCCACAAACCTACTTCATACAATAACTGAGATATTCCGTAGGCAATACTTCCGTAGCCACCCGGTATATTAATTTTTTACAAACTTCACAATGAGATAAAAACCTCAATATGTGAAACTTCCCCATTGATGACTTAGTTCTGGCAACAGTGGTTATGAATCTGATTCACACTGTGAGGTTAGACATTACTGACAGTTCTCTTCTTATTCTTATTTTCGGGTACGTAGGCGTGGAAAAAATTTCAAGAAACTCACCATAGTCTGCTTCATAGGTCGCGTGCACGATGACCGACTCTGGAGGCAAAATATTGAAACACAACCTCACTCTTCTGTGAATTATTGAAACACAACCTCACTTTTTTATTTGGTTACAGAGGAATCAAAGGATTGAACTAGTTTTTCACAATATTTTGGCATAGGAATCGTGTTTTTTGCGCTATTCATTAATTCGAGCATGCCTTCGCATTGTGCTGTTGTAAAATGCACAAAAAATGCAGCAAGAGACTAAAAAATATGATTTTTCAGGTAAATAGTAATCTCACATAGTTATCATTATGAAATGTTGTCATGCCTTATTAAAATTCCTTCTGCCTTCTGCCACTTCTGCTATACAAGCTAATACTGCTGATAGATTGAAAATGTCTACAACACACACGATCGTCAGCATGTCAGACCAGTCCACCCGATTGATTGCATAAATCCAATCTTCTTGCATTATTCTAGAAATTTCAGGTATATTTCTATTAGCTCTTATTGCAGAAGGAATTCCGATGAGAAATCAGAGAAATAACCAAATTTCAAAAATGAAAACTATATGTGAGTGACTATAGTAGGTAGGTACTTACTTTTAAATCATGATGTACCATCCGGATTCCTTCATCTTCCGCTGCAGTTTTTTTGCATTTTACAACAGCACAATGTGATGGCATGAGCGAATTAATGAATAGCGGAAAAATACGATTCATATGCCAAAATAATTGCGGAAAACGATTTCTATCACTTGTAAACAAATAAGAACAGTGACGTTGTGTTTCAATGTTTTGCCTCCAGCGTCGGTCATCTGACAGTTCTTGCACGCAACCCATTGATCATTCTAAATAGCTGTATTTTGACAATCAAAATAATTTGAATAGTCATTTTAGACACCAGAAACCTAATACTTGGTAGTTGAATGATAAATTTATGATAATTCGTTCGAGGAAACTTTCTCAAAGGGTGACCTTGAGCATGACGTCAGCAGCCAGGACCAATACGATCGCCGATAATTCACGAAAACTCAACATGAATGTTTTCCAGGTAACATAACTAGAGGTGATATTGAAGAAGTTGGATCCCTCTTTTTGGACGCCAAGTCTTCTGCCAAAATTCTGACGGATAACAAAGAAAAATTCATGACGTAATTTTGTACATCTAATTAAGATAGATCTGTTTTCTATTCCTAAGTTTTGTATTTCGTGAATGTGATTGTTTCGTTAATATAGTGAAGTTTTTTTGCAATTCTTGACTTTGGGTTTTTATAACTAACAAAAATGTTTGAACGAGGTGGATCTTCGAGGATTTTTTAGGAAGGATGCCTGTGGAAGATAAATTTCGAAAAATGACGCCAAATGTTTAAATAATAAATATCTCTTTAATTAGCATACAAAAAATAAAAGGTACAGTCTTGATCTTGAACGATCGTACAGAACAATCAAAAAGAAACGATTCATCATCACACAAAACACTCACACGCACACTTGGCCTTCATTTAAAGTTCGTCGTGCTCTTCTTCTTTGCCCTCTTCATCACCATCTGCGTCCACATTTTCCTCTTCCGGAATTCCGTCCTCTGGAATGTCATCTTCTTCCTCCACCTGTCAATCGATCAATTTCAATAATAATTTCAATTATGCAAAGAGAAGAAGGGAAATTCAAAGTTGACTCCAGACTTTCAATGATGTAACAATTAATCAAGCCCAAGTTGTAAGATTCAACTAACAGAGTGGTAAAATCATAAAATATCAGAAACAACAAATGGTCATCCAGGTGAAACTAATTTTTGATTATCGTTGCTAATGCCCATCGTCATAATCTGATAATGATAATATGTTCCGTTTCTGCATCATTTCATTACTTAAATATTATTATTCTGCTACGCCACTGTCCCGATTAAATTCCTACTTTATGATAAAAATATTTGGTATTCTTCTTTGTGATTACTTTTCGCGGTTACCTATATCTAGGGTCCCTTGATGGAAATTGACTCTAAAGTGTTTGTGAAACAGTTATATAGATCCATCCTCATTCAATTCTGGGGATAAACACTAGATTTTTAGCATTCGTTGTTTTTTAGGTTATATTGAGGTCACTGGCGTATCATACGTAATTTCCATATGGAATTCCCGATTCAACTATACCAAGATATAGATGAACAATCCTCTAGTTTAAGGGTTTACCACTCCAGCATAATCTTGCGAGGTAGGGAACATATAAATTGTACCGAAAGCTCAATATATTTCACCAAAAGAGACTGTCCTTAGACTGTATACCAGGTTTGACTGAATTGACTGAATGAATTCTGATTTCAAGCTGAGCAGTAGTTTATCTATGAGTTAAATGAGCAGATAGCCTTATTATGATTGAGAAATGGTGGAAACCTCGATGTGGGTATCTAAACTAATGTACTCATGTCATGTGTGCTAAATATATTTTCGGAAATCCAACTCTGAGAAGAATCTATGGAGTTACTAATATCACACTATGTATAACACTTCGTCTAGGACGAAAAGTAGGCTGATAAAAAGTAAAATGTGTAGGAAAATAAAGAATAGAATATACCTTACCTGATTTTTCCGTCTCCCTTGAATAACAAGTCATTTTCGAATAATTTATTGATGAAAGTAACGAAAGACGAGATAATTATAATCTCCGACCCACGAAATCCCCAGATGCCAATTTTGATTTTTGAATAGAATCGGATTATAATTACAAAATTCGTTCGCCATATTGGATACACTATCTTGAATTTTCCAATTTTGACAAAAAATCAAAGTTCAACCCCGAAAACCCCCAGATACCAATCTTAAATGGAATCAGATCATAATTAGAAATTTCTTTCGGTATATATTGGATCCGTAATCTTGAATTTTGCAAGTATGACGAAACAATCATTATCTCAAACCCCGGAAAACCCCAGCAATTATATATATATACCTATCATTAAAATTTAGAATGATTTTCAGTAGCGCCCATGGATGTGACATGACAGCAATGTCAGGGATACCAGTAGACAAAACTCAAGTCTCTAGATCATTAAAAAAGAATGCAGCTATGATCTGTCCGTACCCTGTTAAGATGATTTTAACGTCAATTTCCATCAAGGGACCCTACCTATATCCATAGACAAGGGGTACCATGTGGTCACCTCCTCCATGGTGCGCAATGCGTACGGAGAGAAGCAGTGCGGGGAGAGAGATGAGAACGGGACGATACCAAGTGCTATTTTTGTTTTTGGTAATTAAGTAATTTCCCCTAAATTTGTAATTTACTCAACGCAGCTTCACGATAGTGAAAAATACTCAGTGAAGTGCAACCCTACTCATAAACAGAGGTGCAGTTAGTGCTCTTGCTTCTGAGGCGGCCGCCGAGCAGAAACCAACAGAAGAACCAAAACCACGCCGGTTCAACAGGTGAGTGGCCATTTTGAATGCTTCTTGTCAATGTGCGAAAATCAATCAAGAAATTGATAACAAAATTTACAGTACACTGTTTCTTACTCGCCCATAGTAAGACTATTAAAAAGGAATAAACGGGTCTCCATTAGCATGACTTTTTTATATTGAAGATGATTACAGTGAAGTAATTGAAAACCAATAAATATTCCGCATCTCAATAGAGCAGTTCAGCTACCGTTGAGAGAGAAAAAAAATGTCTTCCCCATCTGTCCTTGTCTTCAGTGTTCCAACATAAAATAATGAAAATATCATGTTGGCATCATTGGAAATGGGAAAAAATGGAGAAGAATATCATATTAACCTCGATATAAAAGAAGGTTAGAACGGTCTTCTTCTCCATTTCTTCTCATTTCCAGTGTTGGCAACATAAGATTTTCATTATTTCATGTTGGAACACTGAAGACAAGGACAGATGGGAAGACATTTTTTTTCTCTCTCAACGGTAGCTGAACTGCTCTATTGAGGTCAAATATCTCGTGAACGAGCTGAAATATTGAAAAAATAATGAAAGAAATTCCCCTAGAACCCCAGCTGGGGACCCCGCAGAATGAATTAGAATGAAAAAAAACGCACTGATCCGTGCTGTCCTCATCTTTTTCATCCACCTGTGGAATCATGGAATTGAAGAATGTTTCAAATTATTAATGATTCAACAGAGAAATAATTTGAACCAGGAGAAAATGTTCACTATTCAATGAAGAATCAAAATATCTGGAAAACTATTAGGAATATAAAAAAAATCCTCCATTACCCCCAAATCAAACCCCACAAAGCCACCCAGAATGGAAAAAGATTTACGGATTAGTGTTGTCCTCATCTTCTTCAGTCACCCGTTGAAGTTGAATCATCGAATTGAAGAATAATAATTTAAATTGTTATTGATTCAACAATGAGTGAGCTGAAAACAGAAGAAATGTTTCACAATTCAATAAAGATCAAATATCTCGAAAACGATTTGAAATATCTGAAAAATGATGAAAAAAAATCCCCTAGAACCCACACCCGGGAATCAACCCACCAATTAATGAAATATTGAGAAACAAAAAGTATGTCTGTCCATTCTGTCCTGGTCTTCAGAGTTCTAACGTAAAATAATGAAAATTATATGTTGGCAACATTAAAAATGAAAATAAATGGAGAAGACCATAATAATCTCAATATAAAAAAGTTTAGAACGGTCTTCTCCATTTTTTTTTTTCATTTCAAGTGTCGCCAACATAAAATTTCAATTTTTACGTTGGAACACTGAAGACCTTAAGGACACATGGAAAGAATAGAGTAGGGAGATTAAATAGAGTGATGACAGCAGACCTCCAAATGGCAGCCGTTTCCGGAATGTCATTCCGTGGCAAGTCACTGAATAGCTAAACATCTGAAAGGCATCTCACATGCAGTAATGAATTTGCTCTTTCGAAGTGCCCATCCGATGTTAGGTTTAGATATTTGATATTCTCATTTCTTCATCCAAATAATCTGAGACTTAGGAGTCCCAAAAGACGAATTCTAATAGTTAATAGTCAAGGAACTGAGGTATAGAGTTTCATGTTTGATTGTTATAGAGGTATAGAGTTTCATGTCTGATTGTTGACAATGTTTTGTGTCCAAAGAGCAGAAAACAGAGACAAAAAGCATTGACAAAATGAAATAGAATGCGAATGCGAATGGAGAAAACAACAGAGGTAGATGCACCTCCATATCAAAGGTCTGACCAATCAAAAAGTGTACCTATATTTCGTCGTCACTCAATATACAGGGTTATTGGTAATTCGATACAATCCTTTGGAGATGTGATAGGGGAGTCAATTTAACCCTAATATGCATTACGCGAAAGTAGATATTTTTTGGGGTATTTATACATTTTTCTGTGTATCTGTTTATTTATTCACAAACAAAAATACGACTTTGTATTTACAATTTATCGATGATCTGAACTATTTCTGGAATATTTTCATTTGAAAGATAAGACCATAATGTTGATCATGTATTTCTAGTTGTAAAGTTGAAAAAATGTAGAACATATTTCCGGGAAACTAACTTTTAAACCATTAAAGTCTAGATTTTGGAGAAAAACAGAAAAATTTAAATATCTCAAATACTATTAACTTTTGCATAATGCATATTAGGGTTTAGATCACTCCTTTACCACCTCCCATATCACATCTACAAAGGAATGTATGGAATTACCAGTAACCCTATATAAAGTCACTCTAGGGAAGACATACAGTGTCATTCATAAAGTCGGCATCATATGGGAAAAACTTTTATTATTGACTTATTTTGGAATTCGAGTTGGACGTTAAGTTTTGCTTCAAAAAAGATGAAAAATGGCCTACTCAATCGGGGTCACGTGACTTACGCTACATGTCAATCGTTACATTTTTTCAAATTAATCGCTGAAAGTAGGCTTATTTGTTCGAATATCGAAAAAGTTCACTTAAAAAAGTTGTTTCTATTTCAACTTTACACATGCTTCCCGAATTTGATCTTTCTGTTGCAACTTTTAGATTTTGATTTTTTTAAAATTTTTACCGAAATTTCTGTAATATTTGAAGAATTGTTAATTCCACGAAACTACTTCATACCAGTAGCTTTTTCATGCTACCTACTTTCAATGACTTATTATCACTGATTATGGACAGAAATATGATTTTCTTCAAAAAATGATAATACCCGCTTCCAAATTCTGTTTACGTTTGATGCAAAGTTGATATATCATCAAGCATTTAGAAACGAAATTAATTTAAACTGATCTTTTCAGTACTGAAAAAATAAATTGAAATGAATTTCGTTTCTAAATGCTTGACTCAAACATAACAGAATTTTGATGTTATGTTTGGATCAAACATAACAGAATTTTGAAGAGGAGATTAACATTTTCTGAAGAAAATCATATTTTTGTCGATAATTAGTGATAATTAGTAATTGTAAATTAGTAACATGATTAAGCTACTGGTATGAAGTAGTTTTATCGAATTTACAATTTTTTCAGTATTACAGAAATTTCGAAAATTTTTAAAAAATATCGAAATCTAAAAAGTGTAATAGAAAGATAAAATCCGGGTCACATATGTAAAATTGAAATAGAAACAACTTTTTCAAGTGAACTTTTTCGATATTCGAACAAATAAGCCTACTTTCAGCGATTAATTTGAAAAAATGTTACTTTTGACATGTGGTGAAAGTCACGTGACCCCGATTGAGTAGGCCATTTTTCATCATTTTTGAAGCAAAACTTGACGTCCAACTCGAATTTCAAAATAAGTCATTAATAAAAGTTTTTCCCATATGATGCCGACTTTATGAATGACACTGTATATCTTCTCTTTCTCAAAGCTGGTTGAAATTTTCTTTTCAAGAATCATTAGAATTGTTGGTTATTGAACATATTGTAGATGTTCATAATGAGGTGAATAAAAAACAAGAAATTTCATAATCTAAACTGTTCGCGTAAGATCGAAAAAATCAGCAAGAATTACCATCGAATCCCACCCCTGACCTCCGTGCGCACCTGTGGAAAAAATAAACACGTTCCTCTCTTTCACCAAAATTCGATTTGTCACCAACAAGTCGCGATAAATTTTCAAAAATCACAAAGATAACCCCTTATTCTCACCTGTTCGTCGAGGGGAATCCCCAATGTTTTGCGCATCATAGCCTCGATGGACTGAGCGAAATCAGCAGTCTCTCTCAGCATGTACCCGGACCGCAAAGTGGCCGTCCGGAACAACATTCTCGCCATGTCTTTGGCAGTGGGATCGCTGGGATCGTCTGCTACTCGCTTCAGCAGCTCCTACAATCATAAGAAACACACTCAGACCAAATGACAATGGATATTGACACCGCGTGATTCATTCATATATCATTAGAAAGTATACGCCTACAATTCCAAACGATAAACACGGATAAATGAATGAAAACGCGAATGGTGGGGATAATAACAGGCACTTGTTCATTTGCGGGCGAGAGCCCAGACTGAATTACAATAATAGATAGACACCGCGATCAATTGATTCATCAATCATTAGAAAGTATCTTCCGACATCCCCAAACGACAAACACTGATAAATGAATGAATTCGAGAATGGTGGGGATAACTGCGGAATCATTGATTTTTTTTATAGATGTATCTTTATGACACCAAAAAAATTAAGGGGCGATTCAGTGATGAAAATTGAAGTGGATATTTGGAATAAAATTTTCTGAGAAAACTCTCCCCAGGAAGTTATACCCCTCCAATGATTAAAAACAAAAAGGTTATTTTCTTATTTTTCCTGAATATTGAGTTAAAGACATTATTTGTTCACTATTGTTTTAGTTGTAGATGTCGTAGCCCAGTAGAATCATAATTAGGTTGGATGTTGGTCAATGAAATGCTATATAAAATGAGCTTGCAATACATTAATTTATTTCTCGTAAATTCACAAGTTTTGTGAAAAACTCAAAGATATGAAAAAGTTAGTAAATAAATTGGGCTTTTCGTCATGTCTTTTGAGAGAAACATAAAGTTGTAAGAAATGTGGGTTGACTGTTTCAATCCCTTCTAAGCATACTTCAGGGTTGAAAACATTTCAAAATGTGTAGTTTTATAGACAAATAATATTTCTTTAGCTTGATATACAGGGAACATAGAACTTACTTTCAATCACATAATTACCTCTTGAAATTTTTCGGTGTTAGTTAGATACCTAATAACTCGGGATTTTTATAAATGTGTGTATGCGTGCATTAATAAATTATTGGTAAATAACAACATGTCAATTTGTAACTTCTCTAAGTCAACTTATTTCTGCAGATTTCACAATGCCGAATCATAGTCACTCTCAAAATAGTCTGCTTTAAATTTATAATTTCAAATGAGTTATATTGAAACTCCGATAACAATTCTCGCACAACGACTATTACTAGTCTACTACGAAACTTTACGGTACTGCCACGTTCATCTTTATAGATAATTCGTATATATATATTTTGTTATGTACCTTACAATAACTGATATTTTTATATTTATCAGTAGTAAATTCCTAAGAATTATGTTTTTATGAGTTTGCTGTTATGATATAAAGGTTGTTCTATTTTTTGTCATATTAATCAGCTATTCATGCCTAGTTGATTGAGATGTTACATCCGAAAACTCCTCTTGAATTATCGAATTGGCAGTGTTTCCACAGATCTCATTAGTATGTGAACAGAAATAATGAACAATAGTTCTACATGAGTTTTACCGATTATATTCATGATTTAGTAGGCAAGTTAACTTCTCCCGTCACGTTGAAGTATCCGTCAAAATATGGTCACAACTCAGCGACGAAATTCACGGACTCCTTTGATATTTTCATCAATGGAAAATAGCTGGATCAAAGTTCAAGTTCAAATTTCCCAAGTAATATTGAGGAAGCAGCACAAAATGCACTATTCATTCATTCCATTACCAGTTACATAATATTTTATACTTGTTTATCGCAACAGGTTACATAAAGTAAGGAGTTTCGAAATTTCCGCCAGTTTTAAAAAGTGTCAAATCACAGGACAAAATCAGAAAAAAAGTGTTTCACCTTCATCAGAGGGTGCCTTGGGTTGATCTCCAGGGTCTTTTTCTGGTTCAGGTAGTACGTTCGTTGCGGGTCGTCCGCTTTCTGGTGTGCATTGGAAATCGCCAGTCTTTCCATATTTCCTGTCCAACCGAACATGCTGGCCACTAGAGCGCAAGGAGAATCACTCAATCTCTCTGAAACTACAGCCTGAAAAAAACATAAGTGTGTGTTCATATGATCATCACAACATGTCATCACAAAATTACCAACCAACCAAAAATACTGAAAAATTGAGACTTTTCTGAGTAGAAGCATCAATTATTTACAATAAACAAATAGAGGAATGAAACAGCATTTAAAATCCTCAGAAATCAACGAACGCGAACATTTTTGTGAATTTTATTCTAACAAGATGATCCAACTCCATGTTGAATGCTGAAGCCAAACTTGACCTTAGTTCATCGGCAGCGCTACCGAAACTATCTAGGAATATATTTCTTTCTGAAGCAGGAAAATCACCAACTTTGATATGCTGAGGGCTTTTAATTAAAATATTTCAATCCGGCCCTGATTCGACATTCCTTCTTGCATAGAAACATCTGAAAATAAATTTCGATTATATTCTGCATTACCGATCTCTACCCTTCGCTACTCAAAAAGAATCACTGGCTTCATTGCTATCAAAAGAAAGGTTCGTCTTGCTAGAATAAATAATCAAAGATATGAGGAAAACGTACCTTGGCCACTTGGTCTTTGAGGGCCTCGTCGGCCAACCACTTGGTGAGCGGTTCGAAGGTGGTTTTGAGCTGCTCCAACTGCTCTTTGCCGCCTTCGGCCTCCGTGAGGCTGAAGCCCTCTTTGGCCACGTTCTGGAACTTTTTGCCCTCGAATTCCGGAATGGCGGATATCGAGTACTCGTCCACGGCTTCTACGAGGTAGAGGACCTCGTAACCTTTGCGCAGCAACCTGTTAAAACCGGCGAAGATTGTACAATATTTACATTGAAAAATATACTGGTGCTTAGTACTTGTATCACCCTATATATAATAGTTTGCCACTTGTATTACCCTATATACTATATGGTATAAGAGATTTCAATTTGTTGTTATCATGACGACGTGTTGTTCAATGAAGACGGATTGCAAACATATTGGTCCTTCGAGCCGGATCGATTCGAATCAATAAACCTTCAAGACTGCCAAGTTTTTCACAAAGGATATAGAGCAGCACTCAAGACTACCTGGAGTGACAGTGAATGCTAAGCAGCTGCAGCTTTCACTGGTAACAACAAGCAGTTCAAGCAAACACCTGGAATCCCCGATGTTCTTTCGAATATTCACGGAATGAACGTTTCGTTCGTTATCTAGCTGGATTGGCGTTCGATTGATATTCATAAGAAACGTCATTTTTGTTGAGAGAAATACGAAGAATAGCTGGCTGCAAATTTTGATGGTCATCAAAATGGCAAAAAAAATCAGTATCATACTGTAGGTTAAACAGTTCACTTGTTCATCCTCTATGTATAGGGGTTGTTGTCTTGAAAACGAGCACACAACATTGGTCCTTCGAGCCGGATACGATTCAAAAAATAATCAAGACTACTGAGTCCTCCAAACTTAGATTATGCAGTAGCACTCAAAACTACCCGTAGTTCCAAAATAGCCAAGCAGAGGCATCTGTCAGAGGTAGCGAATTCAATCAGCAATAAATGATTTATCCATTTTCTAGGGTTAGTGCTGAGTTGATCTTTGTATGAGTCGGTACTAGTACGTAATTCAATCAAGTTATACGTGATTCCACTCAATTAGGTAATTCAGTGATCAATATCATGCAATTCCGTTTTCAATGATCAAAAAAAAATAATTTCGAAAAACTCACGAAGCAGAATGATTGTAAAATATTGAATACATATTTTAAAAAAAGAATTACAGTCTATTTAAGCACGAAACAATATTCGAAAGAATTAGAACTTCACCAAACATAGTATATTTTTTTATGTTCACGATGTATTTTCATCACCAACCTTTCGACGAACGGTGATTTCTCGACTTCCCGTCTCTCAGACCCAGCGATATAGAAAATCTTATCCTGTTTGGGCTTCATTCGTTTGACGTAATCGCCCAAGCTGGTCAAATCGCCATTCGACGACAGGAATTTCAACAGTTTGGCCAAGCGAGTACGATTGGCCGGATCCTCGATGGTTCCTAGCTTGATGTTGGTGGAGAACTCCTTCCAGAACTTCTCGTACTCCTCGTCGGGAAGCTTCCTCAGCATGTCTAACACCTTCCTCACCAACTTCTTCTTGATGACCTTGATGATCGAAATCAAGAAGAATGCATTTTAGCATTGATTATTTTATTCTTACCAACATCCAGGAGTATTCGTATTTCCTGCGAAACAAGTGCGAAAGCACTTATCGCCGAACCAACTTTATTCGCCATTATATTTGTTTGTAAACTCATTTTTTCCGAATAAATTTATTAAAGTGGGAAATTCCAGAGACAACAATATACAGCCAATAGATTTCAAATGGATTGATTCAATTTTCTGAAAACTTTCATTTCATGGCATTCAATATAATTGAGAGAGTGTCATAGATTATAACTTGAATTGCATATTTGGTTTGAAATTACAAAATTCGGCGAAATCGCTGGTATTTAGAAACATGCAATCTTGAACTCTCAAATTCTAACTCAATATTATTGGTTTTCAACTCTTGATGTCTTCAAGTGTGAATTTTCTGGCGAACCAGACGAGAAATTACAAACTCGCACGCCATCTTGAATTTCCGATTCTCAACTGGCAATAATATTTCTCCATCTTATAAATCCACATGCAGATGTACATTTTCAAGCAATTCAACGGATACATGACCCCTGGAATTTCGATTTTTTTCACTAGAAAGTCTTATTCCTCAACCTCAAAAACCCACAGGTGTTTAATTTCAGGCGAATCGTGCGAGAAAAGGCAAACCGGCCGCCATCTTGAAGGCGCCATCTTTGATAAACTATCTCGGTTTTGTTATCAAATATAGCAAAATGCGTAGTTCTTGGAATAATATATACACCTGCATAGATTAAAACTAAATCAGTTGACAGGAAGTGGGTAAGAATAAAAAATATGGAAACATGCATCGATACCACTCAACCTAAAAAGAGTATGTGAATAAAAATTTTGGAAATGCCATTTTTCATGAACTCTCGAATTTCAACCTAAGATATTTAGTTCCTCAACTTTGAAACTCTTCAAGTCTACATTTTCAGGAGAGTCAGGCGAGAAACGACAAACGACAAACTCGTCGCCATTTTTGTTATCAAAAGTCTCATACTGTGAAGTATCTGGAATAATATATGTATAACTGTCATAATTTCAACTCATTCAGTTGACAGCAAGTGGGTGAAATTGAAAAATATGAGTACATCCATCGATACCTGTCAATAAGCCAATATAAAAAGTATGGAAATAAAGAAATAACATCAATAAAACTCATTTTTTCATAAAATTCCACTTTATTGTCACTTACCTTGATCAATTTGTGTTGCTGGAGAGTTTCCCGAGACACATTGAGAGGCAAATCATCGGAATCAACGACCCCTCTGATAAAACTCAGGTAAGAAGGCATCATATCATTGAATTCGTCGGTGATGAAGACCCTTCTGACATACAACTTAATGTTGTCAGTTTTTGTACCGTACCGGTTGAAACTTTCCGATGGTTGTACCGTCGGAACGTACAACAAAGCTTTGAAAGTAACCTAAAAACGAAAAAAAAATATGATCAAAAATGTTGTTAGATGGATTTTCAATTGTTATTCTAACCTCTCCTTCAGCGACAAAGTGGATTTTCGTTAGGGGTTCTTTGCTATCCTTGGTGAGAGCTTTGTAGAACTCGTCGTATTCCTTGTCTTCTACTTCTGAAGGTTTCCTGGTCCACAATGGCTTGCTGTCATTGAGCAGTTCCCAGTCCCATACTGTCTTCTCCACCTAAGACAACAACAAAATACAGATCCACCTCCATGTTGAATTGTTGAAGTCAAATTCAGCATTAACTCTTGGCTGGTTCGTATAGGCGGCGTATATAATCAGCTGTTTGTGCCATAGTTTGCGCTAAAGATGAAGCCGCGCTGAGTGAGTTTGGCAACACTGTCCAAAAGGTCTTTCGCCGGCCATTCGCACATATACGATATATGGCTTGTGATTGCAATGAGGGAGTAAATTTGTTTAGTATTCAGAAAAAAATTGATGTGATGTGAAATATTGTTGAAAGTCAATGAAAAATGTAAGGAATATTCTGGTGATTTCTGGAGGTTATATTCCTCGGGAAACACCTCCTCTGGCAATGTGTTCCAGAGCCTCGCTGTTCGTTGGATGAACGAGTCTTTGGAAAGAGATGTTCTGCAGGTCTCCAAAGTGACCACGAAGAGGTGCGAAGCCTCAACTCGATGGGTTAATCTCGCGGTGGCTGTCAAGGGAGGAACAATTGTTGATATTTCATAAGAGCATCGTCCATGGAAATATCTATAAAATAGAGCCAGATCGCCAACTTTTCTACGGTGTTCCAGAGAAGTGAGTGAGTTTGTGAGCGGAGGCATCACCCACTAGACGAATTGCCCTTTTTTTTGGACAGAATCCAACAGTTTCTGGGTATGTTTGGGTGCTGCACTCCAAATATGGGAACAGTATTCCAGGACAGGTCGGATCTGTGCCTTATAGATCATAAGCAGCTGACTGGAAGTGTGTATGGAAGTCCATCAGAAATAGTTTTTTTCATTTCTGGATGCAAAGTAAGTAATTTCGACGTTTTTTATAACAATAAGTTGTGTGGACATCGTGTAGGTCAAATTATGCTTCAGGAAAGTATGTTCCAATTTTTAAATTTCCTAAAGATGAACAATGGCGAAAAAATTTCAAATCTACAATTAATACCTTGTGAAAATTTGACCCCATATCAACATTATGTACTGTGTGCAATTCATTACGTTGAAACATAGATATTATTAGATATGATACATTTTCTCTTCAAGATGGATCAATTCGGAAAAATTGCTGAGAAACCGTAAAAACCTTCAGTTAGTTATAACAGCCAGTTTCCTCAATTTTTTAAAATTTGACAAACTAAATTTCTAAACCTAACATCATTAAAAACAAATCCCGATGGAAGATGGCAGAGAAGGTCATCAGAAGTATGAAGACATCTATACCATGCATAAAATTCCTCGAGTCTTTCACCAAATAAAAATGTTCTAATACCTTTTTGGTCTTTGGTTTGTCCTCTTCCTTGTCCTCCTGCACTTCTGCATCTTCTTCTTCCTCTTCCGCCTGCGGTTTGTCTTCGGGTGCGTCTTCCTCCAACGGTTCCTCCACCGTTTCCGTACGGCTGGTCCACAAGTAAATAGGGAAATTGATGAACTGCGAGTACTTCTTGACCAGGTTGCGAACCGTGTCGTGCTCCAAAAAGTCCCTGGCTTCGGGTTTCAGCTCGAGGCTGATGGTCGTGCCTCTTTTCAAAGAGTCCCCGCGAGGGTCTTCGACTATGCTGAAGCTGGCAGAGTCTGACTCCCAGATGTACTGTTTGTCCTCGTTGTTTTTCGAGGTGACGATTACCTTGAGATAGTATTATCGTTTTTTATTGAAGAACATACAGAACACTCCGTTAAACCCCCTGTATGATTTTATAATTATTATTGTTGTTCACCCTTTATATACACATAGTTGCTGAAAATATCAAAAATATTATAATTTCGTTATTGAACTACTAAAAGTGTAAACCAGCCCCATAACAGCTATCCGATGATCCGGCTCGAAGGACCATGTAGGATATTGCGTAAGAAACGTGGGGCTGGTTCCCACTTGATACACCTAGTGTAGTAGTTCAATGAAATTATATATTTTTTATATTTCAGTCTATCATTGAAGGTTCTTTATTAATTTCTCCAATCGTTTAACAAAATTCTATTGTATGCATGACAACATCACCAACTGTAGGGGTAAAGGGTGAACATTAATAGATATAAAATTATCTATCCCTCCCAACATATAGATAAAAAAGAAAGTAACTCAATTATATATTTTTGTTGTTTATTGCAAATAACAGACCTTGTCTGCAACCAGGAAAGCAGAGTAGAATCCAACACCAAACTGACCGATCATATCATTCATGTCTTGAGCTGTGTCAGGGTTCTGCATTTTGCTCAAAAATTCAGCTGTCCCAGACTTGGCTATAAGTGGAATGTAAAAAATATTCATCCATCATTTCCAAGACACACTGATGTATACAAAATACATACCTATTGTGCCCAGGTTGTTGATCAGATCCTGTTTGGTCATTCCGATTCCTGTATCGGTGATGTGAAGCATTCCTGAGTCTTTGTCCGCTTTAATCCTAATGTTCATCTCAGACTGAGTGTCCAGAACGCTTCTGTCTGTCAGAGACAGCATACGGATTTTATCTAGGGCATCGGAGGCGTTAGATATCAATTCTCTCAAGAAAATCTGAAAAGTGGAATCAAATTATGAAATGCATGTAACCGAATCTCGATAGTTATGCGTACTTCTTTGTTTCGGTATAGAGAATTGATGATGAGTTTCATCATCCTGTTGACTTCTGTTTGGAAAGCGAACTTCTCCGATTTTTCTCGTAGTTCTCTGAGCTGAGCAACGTTGAGTCCATCCAGTTTGATTGCTTCTTCCTCTCGCTTGACCGCTTCATCATCTATACAATATCAAATAATATTATATTGATGTTATACCAATTAGTGTTTCGATGTTTTATTTATTCAATATCTGTCAAATATCTGTTTTCAATCATGCGATCTATTGAGAAAAAAGATATCGAAATATTGACCATACTCAGATATGTGCTTACACCATCTTTATAAACATTTTCGTCTTCGTCATGATGTCATCTTGTCATGTCAGATGTCACCATAACTCCTCAAAATCAAAATGAATCAGTTTTCAACAGTTTCGCATCAGGCAGGTTTCAAATCATAAAATCAAATGAAATATTCAATTCTTGTCCACGAACCACACTAAGTACGATGTTTAGTGCAATGCAATCACAGTGCAATGTGCAATGTAGTGCGTGTTCGAAATTTTCTATAATCAGTTGAATAAGGTATTCCTTTCAATTCATATTTTCGATATACTTGCAATGTAATAAATTGACTCGACAATTCACATATAAAAGCTATGAACTTCATGTCCTGGAATTTGTTTTTCATTATATTGATCCAGCTTGTTATTGATCTAACATTCACGTTTTTCAATGGAGAGATCATTGATACTTGAAGAACCCAAAAAGCAACAGAAGCCTTTCAAGCTCTGTTTCGCCGACAAACATTTACTAGGAAAATCAGAAATACGCATTGAAAGACCCCTGAAATTACGTAATATTGTCTTTCAAACCAAAATTAAGTAGGTATCATCTGTTCTCTGTTTCAGCAATAACTGTAACAGACAAATTCCACACGGATAATTCTGAACATGAAAAAAAATGTCACAAAGTTATTGAAAAATATATTGATAAACTTAAAGTGAAGGGTCCCAGTGAGAAATATCCTTTCCCACTTACAGAAAACCAAAGGTAGGTAGGTTCTAATACATATCTGCAATACATTTTCCCAGACATTTTCTGAACATTAAAACGTTGAATTTCAGGTATGGGTGGTATCAACATCAATTTATAGATGTTGATAGATCCGATAGAAGATTGTGTTTCAACAAACAGCCAAATATTTTAATAAAAGAACATCTGATGAATTATGCAAAAATACGAGACTAAGGATTAATTTGATATTCTCTCCATATTCAGAATAACACAATTTATCTAGATAAGGTACATTATTATAATTAAATTTGTTTCCTCAATCACAATGTAGTAGGTTATTGAGTTGTTTATATAATTTATATAAAAAATAAAGACAATTTTGTTTTTGACACGTTTTTTTATCATTCCAGTCCTCAATGCAGTATATGCGTCACCATTTACATTATCAATGAATATTTCCCGATGTATTTCAGTCTTGTTCTACCGGTTTTTCATAAAGATGCCCCTTTACCCAGAATTTCTGAAGTACCATTTACACCATAGTTGTAAGCATCTCAATGTAATAACGTCAATGTAAGCGAATGTAACCAATAATTATAACCATAGCAGTGGCAGCAACATTTTGTATACATACATTTTCATGTCTATTGGTCAGTCCCATGTTTGGTAATATTTATGAATTATTTCGGCTAGCCTAGCGACAGGGATTCCACATTGTTTCGAGACTTCCGCATGCGCATAACGTTTGTATGATTAATAGAGAGTTGAAGTAATCACTGTACGTAGACGTTAACTTATGGAGAAGTTTAGGTATTGTCTTTAAGTTGACTTGAAGTCGTCACTGTAATGCATGGTAAAGTCATAATAAATTATGTTTTTGGATTGTATTGGTCATTTTTTGTAATGGTAACGTAATAATAAATTAGGTTTTTTGGATTGTATTGGTCATTGTTTTATTGTTTGTTTAGATCTGAACATTTATTCCTGATAAAATGAGACGACTCCGTGGTGCAGAACTCCTTGGGGTTCCCGAATTTGATAATTTCGACTCATATCAGCATATTTTGAGTATAGTTTGGTTAACGTACGTTGATATTCAAGACATGCGTGAAATGACGTGAGATAAGGTACACCCACTAACAACGCAAACGTGAAGAATTGGAAAATCCGCATGCGTAGTTGTCCTTTTCTACGTTTACGTTAACGTTCATGACAACACTTCAACTCTAATAATTGTTTTGTATGTATTTTCCCTTTGATCGAGCTGCGTGCCTGTCTACAGATGGAAGAGTACAAGGATTTTCCGTCCTCCCTGAAAAATGCACTGTGGAGTCTCTGGATGCATTCACTGTTGAGGCCAATAGTGATTTGATATCTTCAGGTTCGCTCACGGCCGGAAATTTTCAATGTTCGGAAGTCTCAAAGCAAAGTGGAAACGGTGTCGCTAGCCGCCTGTCATAGTGCTAGTGCTAAATATGTCATTTGTCATTCATTATTGATCTAACATATTAATGTTTTGATTGAATGGTGTATGTCCCAGAAGAACAAAAAATGCATCATCAAAAACCTTTCAATCAGTTCTGCACAGTGGATAAATGTTTACTAGGGAAATCTGATATCCATGTAGAACCACATCATGAGATGGGTAAGAGTGAATAGAATTCATTATTTTCAATTACATTATCTAATTACTTTTCATATCAATTTGATGTTTCAGCTTTATCAATATCAGATAGATTCCACACAAATACTGTTGAATATGAAAAAATCCATGGTGTTGGACAAGTTGAAGGTTCTATCAGTGATAAACAGTATTGCCCTATCACAGAAAGCCAAAGGTCTATATTTATTTTATTATTCACACAAATTTTTTTGTGCACCAAATTTTTGTTTCAGATATGGATGGTGGTGGTCGTATCAAGTTCAATAAGCAGATGTTGATAAACCCGGAAGGAGACTATTATATATCTAGTATATTTTTCAATAAATATAGCCTATTTAACAGATTAAGTTTGCAAAACTAATAATGAAATAAACTTATTTTTCTCACCTGTTCTTGAACCTTCTCTGCTAGCCCCTAAATCCAAATCCACTTTTTCGACAGTTGCTTCACCGACCACATCATCATTAGCTTTCGTACACCCTATACAACATTTTTTGAATAATGATACGTGTGCGACAGCAAAACATTTTCAGCAAACTTACCAATTAATACGAAAAATGCTAGGAATAGGAATATTAACTGCTTCATTCTTGCAGTTTTTTGATCCTCAATACATCAAAATGATAGCTGCGTTGATAACACCGGTAAAAAATATTTCAGGACGTTATACGACCACAAACACAGTTACAATCATTCGTGAATGGCGAATAAGGGGAATTGATGATTGATGAATGTCAAAAAACGTAGCATTGGGTGTACTCGAGAAAAAGAAAGAATATACCTGGACCAATCAGATTCTACCACGCCAAATGGCCTCCCTAAATTGACAGATGGCTACCAATGAGAAGTCACGGAATCATGGTATATCCAAATGGCTCATCTTGATTCGTCAACTGTGAATCTTCATGTGCGGGAAGTTTGAAACAAATTATATCAATATTCACGATACTCTATTAATCAACTATGATAGCTAGGTAGGAGAAATCTATCCGATGAGTATTATTATACCTATTCTCATAGCCCATTTTTATTCAATGAGATAGTCATTTCTAATCAGCATATATCAGCATATAAGATCAGCATCCTGACCGTGGCCACAGAATATTGGTATTCTGTGACCTGACCTTGCTACGCCACAAAACTACAGTCAAGCATCACAGAACTAACGTTCTGTGTCAATAGATTCGTATTCACAGAACACTGATACTGACCAGTGACGTGACCATTGTTGTGTTGGTAATGGCACAAGGCACGAGTGATGATTTATGATAAAACAGGTGTTGACAATTAATTTATTTGTCAAAAACAATAGTAGTCGTGGACAAAGTATAGTGTATTTTAATCGCATATAATGAGCTATTATTCACTCAGTCCAATTATGCCACTCGCTACGCTCGTGACATTAACTTAACCTTCGTGAAAAATAGAAAATATCCCTCATTATATGCTTGATCAACAATATACTAATCATTACTGATATTTATATGAATAAAATTGTACGGTTAATTGATAATATCTATGTATTTACATTTAAGTACTTTCAAAAACAGTATTTTCGAAGTTAATATCATTCATTTAAATACAGTGTGTCCCGCTTTTCATAAATATACGCCCTAAATCTATCAGTTATATGAATGATTCGATTTTCTTTAAATTTTAGTGGTGATTATACGTTAATATAATGAAGTATTCGGCCATTTTGGCATAGTGAACATTTTCATTTACCATTGGCGTGCGGTGTGGGGTGAAGGCTCTTAATTGATAAAACAAGGAATTTGAAATAAACCCTTATATCCTTTTCCCGAATAAAGGCCTTTTTTGTACCCTTCGTCAACATCGCACGCCAATGGTGAATATGGCACTGTTCACTATGCTAAATACTTGTTCTAATATACAATCATCAGCAGTATACATGGAAAGCGGGACACACTTTTTAATAGTAGGTACTTGCGTACAAATTTTTCGGATGTTACAATTTTTATTTACAAACTTAAGAATTCACATTTTACTCATTGATAATAAGAATAATAAGATCAACAATAATAATACATATTTCAAAAAGCACTACGTATCACATCCATGAGAGTTTCCCAAAAACCTGGAAAACAAAAATATAAAAATATCAGTACTTATAAGTATAGTTATTCATCATAATATCCCAGATAACACGAAGACGTCCTGTGTACGTCCAGAGGACGTACATCTGGGACGTACAAGACGTCCTGAAGACGTCCAGTGTCGGTCGAAGACGTCCACAGGACGTATTGGGGACGTCCGATGTTACAAGATGGAACGTCCCAGGGACGTCCATATTAAGTCCAAGTTTGGTATTTCATCGCCATGAATACCATAATCAACGTAGATTCGCCCTTTTTTTACTCAGATAGATAAACAAGACATTTATACAGAGTAAAAAAATATTATTTTGAATAAAAAAATTAAAAAACAATCCTTCCTACTGGGGGATCGATCCGCGACCTCTGAATTACCGAGCAGATGCTTTACCAACAACTCTACACGACACTTATTGAATATAAGACTTACCTCTGTTCAACATATGCGAGTATAAGATGGAAACGTAAACATTGAGTGCAGAAACAATCCACCAGCTCATTTCAATGGAATTCGCTATGAATCAGTATAAAGACCAGGACGTAAGACAATATGTGTACATAATTTCATCTTTAAGTTTATCCTACGAAATCTCTGAATCCAATAAAGAGGTAATAACACTCTATTTAGGATAAAAATATATATGCGAATATTGCCAAATTTACTTCAATTTCTCCACATTGGTCTCAAAAAATCACGTGATTCATTGTGACCTATTATCGAATTGATCGGCAGCCATTAATAAGGGCCCTTATTCCTTCTCCATTTGATCACATCTGGCAATGTTTTATTGTTATTGGAGAATATAATAAATATAGAGTGAATAATGAATATTGAAAAAATGAAGACTAAAAATGGACGTCCTGAAAACGTACGCTCTGTACGCCCCGAAGACGTACGGCATGGTACGTTCTGAGGACGTCCATATTAGGTTTCGGGACGTACGGACCCGAATCGGACGTAATATGTACGTCCCTCCCAATCAGCACAAGTACGTCTTATGGACGTTTTGAAAACGTCCACTCTGGACATTCAGGACGTTTTGGGGACGTCCATTTCCGGACGACGGACGTCTTATGGACGTTTTGAGGACGTCCATTGTTAATAATCAGGATGTTTTGGGGACGTCCAGTTTAGGTCCAGACTAGGACCTTTTTGGGATGAAAAATGGACGTATTGAGGACATTCAGACAATATTGATTATTGATTTTCTGACCCATCTGAAGAGTGAAATACTTGAATATTAGTCAACATTTATTCGCAAACAATAATATGAACAGAGATTCAGGTAGTTGTTTCAATTTCACTCTTCCATATCGTATATCAGCAGCTGCACCACTAAAAACGTCGCGTGATTCATCCAGGTACGCAGGCGCGATGATTTCTTTTTCTGATTGGCAGCCTTCTGATGTCTTCTTCACTGGATCTGTAAATAATAATAATATTCAATAACATCTTCTGTGAATACCATAAACCATAAACACACACCCACTTTCAACGTGTAGTAGTCAGTATAGCGGAATACTTCATTATTTTCATTTCATTGAGAACTTATTCCATACATACACTGATTCTTAGGTAGGTACCTATATAACCTCTATGAACCTTGCACGAATTATATTATGTTTTAACTATATACAAAAATATAAACTTTGGTAGATGATGGAAATAGGATTAGGTAGAGCTTTGCATGAGATCAAATTATTTAGAAAGGTATCTAATGTTTTCAACTACAGATTTGATGTTCTTACTCAAGCATCTTCATGCGAATGAGAATAAAACGATAGCGTCGATAGCCATACTTGCCTTCAAATAAACATCTCGATGGAACTCGAGATCGAAGTTCACCAGTTGATAGATGATATCCGCAAAGATTTCACTTATTCACTGCTTTTACAGTCTAATAACCCGAAAAGTTCAGAATGTCCTTGGACCTGAATCACAGTTTAATCGGCACTCGGCAGTAGTCAACTGACGGACGCCATCTTCCTACGTTTTCGTTTCACAGTTTCACACGTAACACGCACAGTGTTGCCGGATGAAAATTTGTCGGAGCAGTAGATGGGTGGGGAAAAAACAGTAGATCATCAAAACTGAACAGAATATTTTGATAATCATCACAATTGCTATCATAAATGGAAAAACATAGTCACCTATATAATAAACGAAAAAAAAATCATGTTTGGTCTCTATACCTATCAAAAATCGAACGAAGAATAACAAAAAATAATGAAATAAAAAATAAAATTTGTGAAAACCGCAACCAGATTGGAAATAAAAGCTAATTTTCACTAATCAGACTGAATATGATAGTTGCAGTATATTTTTATCATACATCTTCTTACTGTGATGTCCCATTAATTTTTCATTGTTGCATATTGGGTAGTTACGTCATATCAAAACTTGACCAATCAGACCATTGCCTTGAATAGTTGAACAGTAGAACGGAGACAAAAACAGCTACTGCTAAAATAGTAAGTCTGGCAACGCTGAGCACGCATGCGTTCTACGGTTGCTTTACATATTCAGTGATTCAATCAAATCTTATTATAAAAGCGCGGCTTGTATGAATACTTCAGTGTGGGTTTAAGAATGGTCAAACTGTATAGGTATTATGTGATTGAAGGAATATGATTCAACATAACTATATAAGTTGGTACAAATCAGTTAAAATCATAAATATCTCAAATTCATAATATTAATAATAAAATGAAATTCAATATATTGATACAGCTGATATATAATATATTTTTTGACATTATTCATGTCCATATTCAATTCAATAATTCTAATTTCAAAATTTATATATACCTACCTACTTATATATTTGATATACCGTGAGAGTCTGTAAATTGGACGTTTTAAAGACGTCTTTTTCTGGACGTCCGGAGTATGTCCAATAATGGACGTCTTAAAAACGTCCATAAAAGGTCCTGGACGTTCAGACCAAAAATGGACCTGAAATGGACGTCTTCGGGACGTCCCGTGCTATCTGGGCTGGGACGTCGTGTGCTATCTGGGATGATGAAGAAATACAAAAATACCATCATTATTAGCACACACGAATAAAAATGTTCGGGTTGGTTTACCTATAAGCTTGCAAATATATAAAAATGCATTAAATTCTTTTTTATTATTGCTTCATTCCTATATCATTTCGGATAACACTATAGTTATTTATTATACAAGGGAAAAAGTTGTAGATTTTCGTTCTAGGTTGTGTTGTCTTCCGATACTCGTACGGAGGGAGACAATAAACCGCGTGAGCTAAAATCTAATATTTCTCCCGTGCATAATACACTTTTTTCTCTGACAGGAGCAAAATTATCGACGTGAAATTTGCAGTTTTCGAACTTTCTTGCCGTCAGAGAAAAAAATATGTATTTGCAACCTTTAGGTAACAATCACCCTCTAATGAATAGGTTAGGTACAAAAACAGGAGCTACCAATGATTCAGAACAAGACGCTTCTTTTTGTCCACTACGTAAATCAAATTTCAACTTGAAGAAAAAAATCAGTGACCAACAGAAACTTCGGTATTTATTCATGGGGTGAACACAAAACAACACAAACACACAAACAACAAATAGGTACCTATACCTTTGCTCACCTATATATACGTGTAGGTATAGTATATTTCAAGAAAATTCATTTAGATCCACCTGAAATTATGAGGAATTGTACCATATATATTTGAGATTTATATTTCACCTCATTATTCTATCTTGGTCATTTGACCAAATGATTTGATGAAAAATTTCCTCACCTGGTTCTGACGTATTTCTCGTGACAACGTTCTTGTTGCCATTACCTGGAGTGAAAATCTCTGGGCCGAATATATTTTCCAACAGATTCTGGAAAAAAAGACAAGCAAACCCTCAATTATTAGGAAAGATATTTCCATCAAGTTTTACTATTTACATCGACGAAATAAGAAATCCCTCAATCGCTATATCTTTGTTTTGTTTCTCGAATTCAAAATCCGATTTTTCATCTGACGGTTCGTTTCCTCGTAACCTTCATCAAATAATGTTCATTATCTAAAGATTTTTTGGTCCGAAACGTCGGATAATTGTAAAGTGTAATATTAGATTGGATTTAGAAATAGAATTAGAGTTCATTAGGGCAAAAATGAGTGTTTCGACCTTTTAAAAAAATTAAGTTGACTCCTTGAAAACGAAACGCCGGATCACTAATCTATCAATACCATTGGATAGAGCGGAAAAAGTGACAATAATAATCCGTATTTTGTCATATCACTTCAAATAAAGTCAGAAAATGATAAAAACTGAATCGCGGATATTCGGTTTCTTCTAAATATCTTCAGAATCTCCGAACTTTTTGGATTAAATTGCGCATCTTTGCCATAATTCAACCCCTAGAATTTGGGACACCCTGAATACAGATTGTCAAAACTCACCACTGGCTTTTTGGGAACGGAATCCACTATATCGGCCGTAAAAGCCGGCAGACCTCTAGCTCCCAGGCGTTCTATGGCAAATACGCTCCCGGCTGCTGGGAGCTGGAGACGTTCTTTGGGAGTCAAGGACACTCTGGAAGTGGTCACGAAGAGGATGTCCAGTTTCGGCCCTCCGAAAGCCGCCGATGTGACGTCACGAGCTGGCAAAGCGATCACCTGGAATTGATTCGATAAGAAATCGCTCAGAATGAGGTCATGAGGAGACATCGATCCGGCTCGAAGGACCAGAATGTGAGGTATACTAATGAATCAAGTATATTAGATCCGAATATGTTTATATCACAACATTCTGATGTCCTTTCATCATTATTTCATAGTGACATCACTTATGGTGAGACGTAGGTAGGTATACCTCAAATGACAATATGTAATTTGTTCGAAATTGCTGCATATTTTCACTAGCTGAGTTATCATTTTTTACTGTCGAGCAAAATGTCACGAACTGCTTTGTTGCATACCTAATTTTGCAATGTTGCCTTAATTTTATCCTTATTTTCAATTCACTTCATTTTCCACTTTTGCTCATATTTAAACATACCTGTAAAAGTTTCCCGGTAGATGAATTGACTTTGATGACTGCTCCTCCTCCATACAAGCAAATATACAGGTTGTCATCTTCGTCAATTGTCATGCCATCGGGAGCTCCTATAAAATGATTTTTCGATGAGAAACCACGTCAAATTATAAAATTTTATGATAAAGTCTCGTTGGTTACGGAAATTATTTCAAATTCCAGAATATGATAATGCATCCTTGCACTCAGCACTCTCGAGAAGTCATAACGAACTGACACTGGTTGGATTCGGAAATATGAAAGACATCCCGGCGATTGCTCCCGATTACTTCCGATTGATATATTAGGTCAACATGTTATATTACCGAAGGAATATTAGGATTTACCGCAGATAAACAATTGTGCTTGTAACTTGAGTTTCTGTTGTAATTATTTCCTTTCCAGATACTCGAAGTTAATGAATATTGAAATACACTTCACCAGCGTTTATAAAATGTCGACCTAGGACTTACAAAGTGAATTATCTAGGATGAAAACTATTAGCTGTATAATAGTTCATGCGTTCAGGAATTTCTATCTATCTAATTATTTTTCTAGAGGCGAAAGGTAATTGTATCTGTAATAGGTATTATTTTTCTTATCACAATTCGAAACGAGTCAAGAAAACGTTTTACTTGGACCATTTTTATCCGTGTAGTAGATGCATTTTCATATAGTTTGGGTATGTACTCGAAAATTAATGATATTTCAATTAGTCAAGATTTTTATGTCGTCTATCAATTCACTTAAAGGTGAGTTCTTTACCTGCGATGCTGGGATGCTCATTAACATCAAACACTGTTCTATTTTCTGAGGAAATTGTTCCTTTTTCGTCATCGTAATCAAACTCTACTACTTTCAATGTAGGTGTGTCGATATAATACAGTTTATTATTGGCCTTATTCCAAGCCAAACCGTTGCTAATCGAAACATCTTTCCTGATAATGATTGGATTCTCGATATGTTCTCTTGTTATTTCGTAGAAGAAACCTTGTCCTGGTGGCACTACGAGGTTTGTTTCCACTCCCATCGTTCCTGAAAAACAATAAACATAACTTCTAACCCAGAAGAAATATTGATATTCAAAAAAAATATATCAAGATGTACAACTATAATATCGTCCCCACTTTCATATGTGTAGCAAATCACTTTGATTCAGCAATTGTTAGCAAAAACATCGAAAAATATTGTTCAATGGCAAAAATGGGAACATATCTCTCCGTTTCGATGCTGTGAAAGCTTTCTTCAAAGGTTTTCACGATTTTGAGGGACATTTTGATCTCATTTTCGATTGATTGGAATCGTCATCGACTGAGAGATTATCGCCCTGTATTGGACTTACCCCACCATAGTCTTCCTCGTTTGTCAGCTTTACCGTCATTGAATCTGCTTAGGGGAAATTGCTCACTAACAGTCGTCAACACAGCCTGACTGCCTACTTTCTGCTTGGCATCCCATTCTACAGCAACCACTGACCTGTGGTTGACAAAAAATAGCTCTCAAAATACAAAATTGAAATATATAAAGGAAATTATCATGTTACAATACGAAAAAAACTGTTTACCATCGCACATAGGAACGCAAAGTTACAGATATCGGAGAAACAATTGCAATCTAATCAATGAAAGCAGCCAACTCAATGCATGCTCATTCAAAACTATTCTGAGACATCAAACAACAGATGTCTGCTGGGACTAGTGGGACTGCTTAGAAACCCTGAATAACTTGACGTTCAGAACAGACTATCTTCGGCCTGTGTTAAATTTTTTCAAATCGTTTTACTTTCGAAAATGATACTGCCAGTATTACTGTGTTCAATTCTCCATCCTATATTTTGTATACTATATATTTGTTTCCCCCCGTATAATTTCATTATCGTCATTTGTCATAGATGAATCATTTGTTCGGAAATTAATCGGTTAGCAGCATGATGTAACCTATTAGTCATTCATTCGAGACCAGGTGGTGAATTAAGAATCAAGACAGTCTTATATTAGATGTCATCACGTACAGTCGAATTTTAAGATCCCAGTTGAAAAATACGCGAAAGGAATTATTTATCTTTCCAAAGGGAGTGTTCAATTGAGAATGAGTGTAAGTATTATGTTTTTGTGTTCGTCATTCAATGCAGTGATTACAATATGGCGATCGTGTGGACAGTCAGAACAGACTGACTCTAGCATATGGGTAACAGCACATACAGGGTTTGGAGGTAACAAAGATGCAGATCTACTAGCCCAAGCAGGAGCAAGTAAAACTCAAGAATATACCCCTACGTGAGGTATTGCGAAAGTTGTAACAAAAAACAAGCATCCAATCAAGGATGCAAATGAAGTCTCAGGAATGGTGGAATAATACGTCAGTTCATTAAAAAACCATCGCCAGTATTCACAGAATATCTACCGAGCCGAATTTATTAGTGAGACTTCTCACAGGGCATTGTAGGCTCAACAAACAGATGAGTACGATATATCTGGCTAAAAAACTACTCAATCAATCAATCAATAGAATTGCCGGGATTTGATCCCACTTGACCCATAGTCGGATTTTTCTTCACCTCCTCTACCGTAGTCCGGTGGTGTTTTTGATCCAATAACTTGGTAGATTTCAATGCAAACAATACACAAGCATGCCTTTTCTCTAGAAATGCCGACCTTTGTTGGGAAAATCACGTGAGATCAATTGCTAAAAGTGCATCCCAAAAACTTGGTTTTCTGTTTCGGGCCAGGAGCTATTCCACTTCCAGTCAGCTGCTCATGGTCTAAAAGGCACAGATCCGACCTGTCCTGGAATACTGTTCCCATATTTTGAGTGCAGCACCCAAACATACCCAGAAACTGTTGGATTCTGTCCAAAAAAGGGCAATTTGTCTCGTGGATGATGCCTCGCTCACAAACTCACTCACTTCTCTGGAACACCGTAGTTGAGTTGGAGATCTGGCTCTATTTTATAGATGTTTTCATGGACGATGCTCTTCTGAAATATCAACAATTGTTCCTCCCTTGGCAGTCCCCGCGAGATTAACCCGTCGAATTGAGGCCTCGCACCCCTTCGTGATCACTTTGGAGACCTGCAGAACATCTCTTTCCAAAGACCCGTTCATCCAACCTATACAGCCAGGCTCCGGAACACATTGCCAAGAGAGGTGTTCCCCGAGGCATATTACCTCCAGAAATTCAAAAAGAACACCAATTCCTACCTTATTTATTCCCTTGGATCTCACGATGATCTCTGAACATTACAGGATATTCCTTTTCGTGGGAACCAGGACATTAAAAATAACTTCTGCCCCCTGGAGTTCAACCCACCATGCCTGATATCATTCAAATTCTAAGAATTATTATACACGGTGACTTGAAAAGTGCAATTATTCAAAAATTCTAACGTTAATAAAAAACACGCCGTATGAGGTAATTGTTTCGAAAATTGATATAAGAGTACTTGTGACTAGTCCCAATCGATTGCCTTCATCAGAATCTTTGTAAAAAAATGCCTAATCCGTTTTCTTCATCTGTGATCGCAGTAGGAAGTAGATAATTTCGAGTAGTATACAGTGAGAAAAATAAATTTCATGTCGCCCTAGGAATACGAAAGTACGGGGGTGGGGTGGACCAAATTGTAACACACTGTATGTATCGATAGCATGCCCTCGATTTTTTGCCCATGATTCCGTATAGGGCTTCATCATCTACATTCGCCAGTTCATTAATCATTTATAATGTTTTGGCGTCCAGAAATAGATTGACATTGGAATATAAATACTCTGCCATGTAGTCTGATGGTGAAACCTATCTAGGCTTATTTTCTGAAATCATATTAAATAACTGAAAATTATTTGTAAAAATTGTCAATCGGTCACATATCGCAAAATGGAGAATCATATACGTCACTCACCTGTTGAGTCCGACCAACAGCAAGTGGGGGTCCTTCCTGGACGGGATGACGGGAGTGACGTCACCGTTCAGATGCATCCTGGACAGGGTGTTCGTGTTGTAGTGGTAGGCCAGCACTCCCCCAGAGTGTATGTCGACGTAGTAGAGGATGTTGTGTCTACCGTCCCAATGGGGACCTTCTGCATGATCCACTGGGGCCGTGACTTGGGTAATAGATGGACCATCGAAATGAGTACTGAAAAATAGGGAAATATAATTTGCTGACCAAAATTATTGAAGTATGCTGACCAAGCATTTCTGGTTCGAATTTTTTCTTCAAATTGCATATTTGGATTTTCTATATGAATATAAAGATGCCACTAGTAAAATAATTCCGATGCACCCCTCCGGAGGGGTAGTTTATTCTTGCAGTTTTTCAAAAATCCTTGCAGACCGAGCATTTCTAATCCGTATTTTTTCATCTAATTACATATTTGAATATCTCATTTGGATTTATAGATGCCACCAGTGGAATTATCTCGATTCATCCCTTCAGAGGGGTAGCTTATACTTCCTGTTTTTCGGAAATCCTTGCTGACCGAGCATTTCTTTCTTTCATCAAATCACCCCTCTGAAGGGGTGGATCGAGATAATTCCACTGGTGGCATCTACCTATGTATCTATATAAGATATTCAAATATGCAATTTGGAGAGGAAATTCGAATCAGCAATGCTCGGTCAGCAAGGATTTTTGAAAAAGAATAAACTACCCCTCTCAAGGGGTGTGGATCGAGATAATTCCACTAGTGGCATCTATGAATCTATATGAGATATCTTGATATGTGATTTGATGGAAAAATACGAACCAGAAATGCTCGGTCAGCAAGGATTTTTGAAAAACTGCAAGAATAAACTACCCCTCTGAAGGGGTGGGTCGAAATAATTCCACTGGTGGCATCTATTTATATCTATATAGGATATTCAAATATGCAATTTGAAGAGAAAATTTGAAGCAGAAAAACTCGGTTAGCATACTTCAATTCTGGTCAGCAAATTTCTGGTCAGCAAATTATACACCCCTCTGAAAAATTGATTCACCAACGGCAGTTTGATGCCGAATGCATACAATACGCCTTGTACAACTGATGAGGCTTCTCGAAACGAAACAGTTGCTGTTGTTTCACGAAATTTCTCTTAGTTACATATTTTGATAGGTGAAATCGGTCTACATTTCACTTGGAAAATGGTAGTTTCGGAAAATATGGATAATTTTATATCATTAATTTATTAATCAGATTAGCTCTTAGGCTTGTTCGCCTAACTGATGATCGCCGGAAGCGATTTTACTAAATATAAACTATTGCAGCACAAGACACGCCCACCATAATACGTCATATCTCATGCTGTGCTCCAACGCAAGAACTGAAGCTTTCTCGTTGTCAATCTCTTGTACGCAGTAAATTCATACACCCAAATGGTCTACTGGTTAGCGCTGTCGACTCTCAGTCTGAAGGTTTATGGTTCGAATCGCTGTGAACTCGAACTTTTTTTTGCAACTGTTTTTTTTCACCAATGTTTTTTTACTTCATTCTGGTTTTCCTTTTTCATAAAATATTTGAAGTCAAATAGGTTAGTGCGTTTAGGATAAACAGTCTCATTTTATTCAATTTTGTTGAAGAACTCAACTTTTGAAATATATTATTAATCAATGTGTTTCTACACTCCATTCGGTTTTCCTTCCTCAAAAATATTGCAATCAGGGATAGGTTAGTTCGTTGAGGATAAATAGTCTCTGAGTTTTGCCTAAGTAAAGTACTTTGAAGATGAGATATAACGTGGTATGTGCTACTTTTTCAATCGATTTATTTATATGAATCAGCTACGTTGTGCTGTCAAAGATTAGATTTTGCAGGATTGTGCTGGGCTCGATTATATTTTGCAATGCCGTAGTAGGGGGCGTGTCTTGTGCTGCAATAGTTTATATTTAGTAAAATCGCGACCCGGAAGGTCGATAGCTAACACATTGCACCCTAAAATATCGTATAGTCAAGGGGAAACCCGAATCCCAGTTTACTGCTTTGGATTAATTTGACAAAAGCAAAAGAACTTTTAGGATTTCGCAAATCTCCACGAATTTTGTGGCGCGTTAGAACCTTATTTTGTTCAGAACCAAAAGTCTGAGAATCCAAAGAAGCAAAAGTATTCTTTGGTTCGAAAACCTGTTAAGTTTGTGGCTTGTTTCGACTTCGGTTCGTCTTCTTCAGTCAGGGAAAGTACCCTGAGACAAGTTGTTATTTTTCTGTTTTGGGAGTAAATCTACAGAACAGTTTTGAGCAAAGACAATAAAAGTCGAAAGTGCATAGCACAAAAGACAAAAGTCGCTCGAAATTGTAGAAATTGTACATCTGCGGAGCGACTTATTTTGTCTTTTGTGCTATCATTTTAATTCAATTAAAAAGATATTCTCATTATTTATCAGAGCAAATCAATGAAAAACAGAGAACATGATATTCACAATATTTTGATAGATAAATGATAATATCTATAATTATTGATTAATCAAATCAAATACTCAAAAAATCCGAAGCCAACCTTATTGTTGCTATTGTAGATCGATAAGCTATCGATTATATATATCAGAAATGAATGGACATCAATTGATACCGATAATTTTATGAAACAGATGACTTGCCTATTTTTTTATGACCGAATTTGATAATCTCTATAATAATAATTAACTGCAATATTGATGAATAGACATTTGTTGCAGTAGTAGTAGTAATAGTAGTAAAATTTTGTCCCTGTTGAAATATGGATAATTTTTTTCTGCTTCGAACAATTTGAATTCGGACTACACTGTTCGCTAGTCCAGTCCTTTAGCTATAATCTCGTACTTCTTTGAAACATAAGGTTCTTCATATAGGGTGTCACGTGAAACTGTGCAAAATTTCGGACTTTTCACAAGGATCCCAAATGAACAAACACTTTTTTTTCGGCAGCAGAGGCATGAAGATGATCCCATTATCTAGGGACATTTTTCGAATTGTCTTCTTATATCTTTTATTCACAGAGTGATCTCAAAAAATTTACTTTCTGGTTTTGCAGTCATAACTTTTTTCCTTGTCAACCTGTTTTTAAAATCTCATTTTGAAGCTGAAACTTCAGATGTAGAGATATGAAGATCAGAATTGACTCAAGATGAACATTATACAGTGTGTCGACTATGGAATAAAATACGCCGGGGTGTCTCATTTGAAAACCGAAAGTTGATGCCAGTTCCGCTGCTTGAAGGTTTCAACTTTGGAATATGATGGTCACAGAAAAATGTGTCCCTCCCAAATCAAAATCGACCAACTCGAGCGATTTTCAATTTTTTAAGACTGGAGATAAGGGGGATGACAAGTATTAGTTGGACACACTGTATATTCGACTGTTCTGATCGGAAATATCGCAGATAAAAATAATATTGACCTCGTATTGGACAAACGAATAGACAAAAAGTGAAAAGACAAAAGACATGCTGGACAAGAATATAATGAAAGGCATATTACGAAACTGTCTAGGTTCGTATATACATTTATTATTTACCTAGTGCTATTGAAATTATGAATGATAATCAACTATTGCACCATGTTGAAATAATTATAATATGGACAATTAAATCAACTATCACAAAATACAGGGTGTCCCATTTGGAAATGGAAAAACTTCCACGGTGGGTTGGGCTCGGTTAGGTGGTTCTGAATATACCATATTCGTTTAATATATTAGGGAGTTTCACCAATTTTACTCGATTCTATGTGACGACATAATTCACGATAGTGTACCTGATTAATTTGAGTTGGAAGCAGCTTTCACCTTAATTTTTCGTTATCCCAGTTATAATTGTTTTATGATTTTCTTTCATTTATCCATCAGACAGAGCTAAATGGACAGATTTTATAATTTGATTTTCTGACTCACTCTGTATATTGATTAACTTGTAGACATATATGTAGACATATGTAGGTATATCAAAATAAATTTTTGCATAGATAAAAAATCATGAACATACAACCAAAATAATGAAAATATCACATGAGTCCATCAAAAACAACCAACCGATGCAAAACATTACAAAATTATGAATAATTGACTTGATATATAGGTACTTATTCGAAATCATTCATCATTATTCAAAGATACCTAATATTATAACAAATAATTAATATATATAGGCGGTTTATTCGACCAATATAAGTTGACCCACTGAATTCATACCGGTTTAAAATAATATATACAGTTGATTTCTCTACATATTTCCCGAGCAAATTGAATGAATATCAGTAGTCGTCAGCTAACCAATGTGATTTATTCGATTTTTTTGGTTCTTATTGTTTTTATTGAATAAATGGAATTGAAACGGTTCTTATTGAAATTTATATACACTTCCCCTCCAATGAATAAACGCACCACCAAAAAGTAGCCGAAAGTTTAAGAAACATTTTTGTCAAAACTACTTGCCCGATTCGGACGTTTTTTGTTTTGAATGACAGGTTATTTCCTTCTGAACATTGGTGTGCAAACTGTATCCGCATAAAAATCTCTTTTTAATATATACCGGGTTTGGCAATTACTGCGTGTTTTCTTCATGGAATTGGTAATACACTGTAGAGTGTAATAGTTATACACTATCAAGTTCGAATTGAAATTAAACTTCAGCCATATCATTTTTCAACATTTCACCATTTCACAGCATAACATGATTTTATGGAAAAATTAGCCAAATTGAACGACGAAAAAACGATACAGAAGTGAAAAGAAATGGTCTATAGCGAGTATTTCCGCGGACACGAAATAACTTCTTGGCAAAGATGGCCTATACCCAAAATAAGAGACCCAATTAATGTCATGTTGTTCCTGGTCTTCCCAAATTTGTATCCAGTCTGTCGTGTGTTTTCCAAAGTATTCAAGTTACGTTCCTCTTGTAATCCTGCCCCAAGAATGTCCCACAGATACCCAATGGGACTCGAATCCGGGCTCCGAGCTGGCTACGCCATGATAGCGATACAGACTTCCTCTAGATAATTTCTTTCAACTAGGTCGACGTGAGGTCTGACATTATCTTGCATCAACAAAAATCACCTGTTAAGCTTTCATGTATGAACACAAGTTCCATGTGACCGGTCTAAAAAATGCCTTTCCAGACCATAGCCTGCTACTCATCATCAGGTGCTTATAATGCTGATTGAATACAATTGAATGATGTTTTTTCATGAAACAAACACGCTGTAACTGCTACACCCGGTATTCATGAAAAAGGGATTCTTATTAGTGTAAAAAAAATTTTAGAGTAGAAAGATATCAGACCCTCACTATCCTATCTAGAAACTATTGACTCATTAGAATTCAGCTTGACTACTTTTTTCTATGGTACCGAAAAAAGTTATGAACGAACAAACACAAAAATTACAAAAAAAATCTACTTCGCACGTAAATGTATAAACCTTTGTAACTTGGAGACCACATGACTTAGATGCCTCAACTTCTCATCATTTTGTTGAGGACATTATGAAGATTCGATTCGTATATAAACTGGCAAAATTATATTATTTTTATAAGTGAAAATAAATTTTTTGCCATGCATTACATGAATAATTTAGCATTAACACCCCTTCAATTGATAATAACTTTATTTTTAACGATATGAATTCCAATTTTTTCCTTTCATCTAGATAGATTGAAGTGTAACGAACAATTTGTTTCGAATAAACTTTTCGCACGTTTCAAAAATAAACTTTTTATAGCGCTTTGAATGACAACGTGCAACTTTAGATAGGCTATGCACAGTGAGTGAGACAGAGTGCGATAGATACTCGTGCATGAGTGCGGAGCGAAGATGAAATAATATCAAGAGCTCCATCCACAGATATGATGATTATACTAGATTTATATCGATAAATTCACATATTTGCTTGCTAAGAATGTCAATTTTTATATAAAATATTGAATCTAATTGAAATTTATCACATATTCCTCTGAAAAACTAGTGAAAAGTTTGTCATCATAAATCTGAGACCCGATGATGCAACACCCCAGTTAACCACACATGTCTCAGCTCTATCACAAGAGAGATCAGTCAAAGAACTTTGTTTCATCACACCGTTCTGAAACATATGCAACTTGCATCTAAAATATAACATGCTACTGCTACAAATCAGTGTTTCATCACACGTTCTATCAATGTGATACAATTGAGACACCCTAGGCGTCATCACACAAGAGATCAATCGAAGAACTTTGTTTTATCACACGTTCTATCAACGTGATAAAATTGAGGCATCCCAAGCGTCATCACAAAGCAGATCAATTAAAGAACTTTGTTTCATCACACGTTCTATCAACGTGATAAAATTGAGGCATCTCAGGCGTCATCACAAAGGAGATCAATTAAAGAACTTTGTTTCATCACACGTTCTATCAACGTGATAAAATTGAGGCATCCCAGGCGTCATCACAAAGCAGCTCAATTAAAGAAATTTATTTCATCACACGTTTTATCAACGTGATAAAATTGAGGCATCCCAGGCGTCATCACAAAGCAGATCAATTGAAGAACTTTGTTTCGTCACACGTTCTATCAACGTGATAAAATTTAGGCATCTCAGGCGTCATCACAAAGGAGATCAATCAAAGAACTTTGTTTCATCACACGTTCTATCAACGTGATAAAATTGAGGCATCCCAGGCGTCATCACAATATAGATCAATCAAAGAAATTTGTGGCATCACATTCCACAACGTTCTGAAATTGAACTGATGCAAATTGCATCCAAAATATAATTCTTGCTTGTATTGTAGGTTTAATAGTGATCATTTGAGTACGTGAAATTCACTGTGGTTGTGGTTAATGTGGTTTAACAATCACGAAGACGAAGAATGTGCTTTGTGTTTACTGGGCTTTCCTAACCTCACTTTTTCGTGGATTTTCAAGAAATTCGGTAACGAAACGAAATTAGCAGCACAAAAGGATACCTCGTTGTTTACAAAACAAAACTAATGTATTTGTTATTTCACTAAATGACCAGAACAACAATGATCTGCCATTCACCAAAATCACCAAGATGACTCTTATTATTGTTTCATTGGGACATTGAAATGAATTTCATTCCAAGTAAGCCACTTGTGTGATTCGATTCGAAGCCCTCTGCTCACCGTATACTTCTATACGGTGTCAGTACATACCAAGGTAAGTAAGGTTTAGATATGATTTGCCTACCCTTGTAGTTTGCACACCATCATGTCTAGGTGGAATTCATTTCAATTGTATACCAATTAAATTTATAATCATTGAATAATCATTCATAAATCATTGACCACATGAAATAGATATCTGCAAATAGATGATAATGTTTTGGTTCTTTATTCTAGCTAGGTTTGAGGCTATTTTTCAGTTTTCAAGTACTTGTGATTCTTTGTATCCAACAAGGAAATTCAACTCTGCAATTTTAGTGACAATATTTGTAAATGTATCTTGTGTTTTGTGTCATATTTTTATTATTAATATAGGTATGCTACTTGTTTTCTAGTTTGAAATTGAATTTTTATTCCAGCTGGACTTCAAGAGAGGAAAATCATCAATTTTGATTTCAGAAAGCATACTAGGTACAAAAATATACTGAAGAGCTAGACCAGGTTTTGATTCCCGTGTAGCAAAGACCAGCTGGTTAGGCCAATCTGAGAGTTTTCGCAATAATGACAGGTGAACACTTGTTTTGTATACTTTTATTTGCACTGAAATATCATTTATTCTAGTTGTAGTCAGCTCAACTAAAGATTTTTATCTCGATTTTGATGGAAAAATGGTTGGAGAGAACAGTAAAAACAAAACAATGATCTCCCATGAAAATGAATGATAACTTTTCTATGCATCACTTCCAAGAGATGGAATCTGCAGGTAAAAAGGAAATAAATGAAGGAGTTATGGAAGAAAACCATGCTGTGATCATCATGAAAACTGGGAACGCCCTGTATATTCTATTTCATATTTTTATTTTACATATATTTTGAGGTTTGTTTAGTAATTTGTCAATGGATTGGAATAAAGTTTACATTTTTACTCCTTTTGTTTCACTGTTTTGAATGCCACTCCATGTGTTTAGGGGTATATTCATGGATTTTTTGATTTCAACATCTGAAAATCCAAGAATATATCCTAAACATTATGGTGTTGCATTCGAAACTGATTCAAATACTGGTGGAACCAGTATAAATTTATGGATGATTTGAGATGGAGCTAATGCAGAGCACAGATTTATCAGAAACGTCTCTGGCAAGCTCATGGAGAGAGCTATGTAGATACAAAGTCATCACTGTGATCTCTCTCATTTATATTCAAGGTGGTGAAGGTCACATATCTTTCTACTCCGAAAAAAAAAGTCTGTAAGGAAGAGGATTTTGCCTCGTTCTCTACACTATATATGCGAATACAGTTTGCACGCCAATATTGTATGTATATTTTTTATGCAAAATAATTTGAGCCCAACTTCAACAACCTATACCTTGGATACAATGATACAAAATGAGTAGTTTAATAATAATCCGATGATTATTTCCTCTAGAAAGTATTGTTCAATAATTCAATTATTATGCTTCATAAAAATATCAACACACGACTTACCTAATTGCGGTAGCTAATAACCAAGTAAGGTACAAAAACGCTCGAAAAAACATTTTTTATCGATAACCGCAACTGATCGGATTGTGAAGAAATGATTTTCTATAACACACCTATATACATTCAACCTGTATCAGCACTAGATAATCAATCAGTTGGTAATCTAAAAAAATCTAAACTGAATCTATACTACACTCTTGTCTGTTTGATCGATCAATTACACAAAACCTACTGAAACAGATAAGTGGGTAACTATAATTCTGTTTGGTAAGAATGGTAAGTGGAGGAAATAAACGAGTTTCGAAATAAATAACGGGTAACTGACAATTTGTTATGGTTAAATGGGCTATACGTATTGGATCTTTTATTAAATTTTGCAATGATGAAATAAAGAAAAAGTTTTAATGACTATATGTTGAACACGCGCTCAGATATTGTTTTGTAGTATCTATACTTTACTGTAGAGGTTGTACATATATAGGTACTTATCAGAGCGCAATTTTTAAAAATAAACAGGTACTTAATCAGGAAAAGTGAATGTTAATTAGAATGATATTTTGTATGTTTAATAATAAAATGGGGAATTACCGTGAAATGTTACCAAATGAAGCACCTAAATACGCCGCTATACACAGAGGATTATAAAAAAGTATATGTAAACGATATACAGTGTGTCCCACTTACCATGCTCACCATGGGTATCTTTTTAACGGTGAGAGATACGAGGTCGGTTAAATGACACCAAATGTGGAGTTTGTCAAGGCCAACTATAATGTGAAAAAATATTTCGATGAAATCTATTCGTTTTTGTTTTATAGGCAAAAAACAGATTTTGATCATTTTCATGTCTCCTCCGTAACTTCTTTATTTATGAAAATATCCAAATAGGAATTTCACATTCTCATGGCAGTTTTTCAAAGTGATTTCGAAAAAGATATGAAATTTATACCAACTCTTCTAGAATTTGAGATATCAGCACCAACTTTAGTTTTTCAAATGTAGGTTATAGCTCACTATGACTTAGTTACAAATAACTTTTTTTTCTCTCGCAGATGATATGTCGCAGTAATAGTTTTGTGTTGATAACAACGGAGTTATCGTCATTTATACAAAAACAAAAAATTATTTGGAAGCCGCCATCTTGAATTTATAATTTTAACCATAAAATCATGATCTCCGACCTCAAAAACCCCCACTTACCAATTTTGAATGGAATCGGACCAAATCTTGTCCGCCATCTTGGAGCAGCCATTTTTTTTAATTTCAACAAAAATTCCATAATTCCGATTAACTTGAAATTTGGCAGGTGTTCATAATTTCGGTGATAATACATTAAGCGTAAGCGTAATATATCAATCAACGGTGACAGGTAGGGAAAGGAGTACGGAAAGAACCCCAGAAAGAAGCACTGAAGGTGTAGGGATAGGAGTGGTGTGCTTGCCCTAGAGTACATTGCCAGAAAAGGGGGTATGCCGACAGAACCGAAACAGACCGGAAATCAGGATGGGTGCAATCGATGAGACAATATGATAGCATGACGTGAATTAACGTGGATTCTTACAGATATCTCTGAAAGAATCTGGGTTACCTAATGTTGATGTTCTGTATTCGTAATATTACAATGTTGCATCATCGCGACATCTCAGTACATCATACCATTGTCTGCTAAATATGGAGGAAAAAATTTAGTGAACCGTATAGGATATTATTCCAGCTCACTAGATTATTTCTCCATATTTAGCAGACAATGCATATCATACCTATTTTGAATTTGAGTTTTTTGCTACTCAGTATGAATTAATCATATACTCTAATATATACTGTGTGTGAGATAATTCACAATGGAAATAAAGGGGGGCACCAAAACACAGGGCTGATTCTGTCCTGCTTGGCGGATGAAAAATGTTGTTTTATGGAAATGCGTTGTTTGGGTTGCATAATTATATTACCACTAGAATATTTGTTCTTCAGTCATTGGTCTGACAGTTGACAGTTGTCACTCTGTCTCCGTGCAGTGTGCTCTTTCTAAGGCTCTTTCTCACTCTCTCTGTCATGTCATACTCGTAACGTAAACATAACCTCAATTTACACGTGTTTTTAATTTGATAGATCCAGCAAAAATGGTTTCAAAACGTAAAAAGAAGGTAAATATTCACTCTTTCACAAACTGGAATACATTTTTCAATGTTTGAATTTCAGTATTCGACCGGAGAAGCAGCTCAATTCATGACCAGAAAAGCTGCACTTAAAAAACTCCAGCTATCCTTGAATGACTTCAGAAGACTGTGTATATTGAAAGGAATATACCCGAGGGAGCCAAGAAACAGAAAAAGGGCCCAGAAGGGTAACACCGGCATCAAAACCCTGTATCATGTGAAAGACATACAATTTTTACTGCATGAACCCATAATCTGGAAGCTCAGAGACTACAAAATATTCAACAAGAAAGTCGGTCGGGCCAGAGCAGTGAGAGATTTCGAAAAACTGCATAAATATCTCAACAATCACCCTACTTTGAAGTTGGATCACATTGTCAAGGAGCGCTACCCAACTTTCATAGATGCCCTGAGGGACTTGGATGACTGTCTCACCCTGTGTTTCCTTTTCAGCACTTTTCCTTCCATGGCGCATGTGCCAAGAGACCAATCAGCTCTGTGTAGAAGACTCAGCTTGGAGTTTTTGCATGCTGTGATTGATGCTAAAGCCTTGAGAAAAGTTTTCATTTCCATCAAGGGTTACTATTTCCAAGCTGAAATTAAGGGACAAACCATCACTTGGATAGTGCCACATCATTTTTCTTTCACCCCCCAAAGCAAAGCTGATGTGGATTTCAAGATAATGTCCACTTTTGTTGAGTTCTACACTGTCATGTTGGGTTTCATCAACTTCAGGATATATCACAGCTTGAATCTGATTTATCCCCCTAGATTTTCCTCTGTGACACCAGGAGAAAGTGAAAAACTTTTAGTTGATGAAGATGTGTTTGTTGCTGAGAGGGTGGCTGCATTGAATGTGTCTTTATCAAAGTCATCCAATGAGGCTCCAGAGGAAGATCTTGATATGGATGCTTTCGATGCTGGAGATGATGCTGAGAAGATAGAAGAAGCTAAGAAAGAAGCAGAGCAAATTAAGAAACTGAAAACTATTTTCAAGGGGTTGAAGTTTTTCTTGAACAGAGAGGTGCCTCGTGAACCTTTGGTTTTCATTATTAGGTGTTTTGGGGGGGAAGTGTCTTGGGATAAAACCCTCTTTGTGGGCTCCACTTTTGATGAGAATGATGAATCTATTACACATCAGATTGTTGATAGACCTTCCATGGATAAACAGTTCATTTCAAGGTAGGTAAACAACTTCTGATTACTTCAAGTTCAATAAAATCCAGGAAAAAAATAGCCCTTATACAGAAGTTCCTTAGAATTTCTAGAAATACATTGGGAATTCTGGAAAATCATTGAGAAATCCTGAGAGTTCATTGAGGGTGAAGAAAGTTTTTGGGAATAATTGACATCTATAAATTCATAGGTAATCTAGAAGTGTCTGGGAATTCCCAGGAAAATTCATTGGAAATTCTGGAAAATCATTGAGAAATCTTGAGAGTTCATTGAGATTAAAGGCAGTTTTTGGGAAGTTATTGCCATTTCCTATAAATTCATGGGTAAACTAGAAGTGTCTGGGAATTCATTGGGAAATCTGGGAAATCATTGGAAATTCTTACTGAGTTGGGAATTACTAGGATTTTATTGGAAGGTATAGAAATTCATTGGCAAACCCAAGAAGTAGTATTAAAACTCTTGAGATTGAAATCTCCTGTAAATTCATAGGTAATCTAGAAGTGCCTAAGAATTCATTGGGAAATCTGGGAAATAACTAGAAATTCTTGAGGGTAAAGGAAATCATTGGGTTGGGAATTCCTAGGATTTTATTGGAAGGTATAGAAATTCATTGGCAAACCTAAGAAGTAGTATTTAAACTCTTGAGATTTCCTGAGATTCATTGAAAAGTTATCAGGAAATTTTGAAGTCATTGGGAATGCAAAGGAGATTTTTAATTATTGGAAGATAATTGGAAATCCCTGAGAATTCATTGATAATTTTGAAGTCCTAAAATTTTGTCATGCCAGAATTCATTGACCATTTATTGAAATTCATTGGAAAACCATAATGATATCTGAGGTTTCCTAGGAAATTCATTGAACAGGTAGGGAAAACATTGAGACCTTCTAAAACTTAATTGGCTAACCAGTAATTCATTGGGAAGCTAGGGAAATCATTGGTAAGTCCTCAAGAAGAAAATGGGAAGTAATTTTGAGATCCTAAAATTTCATTTTTGGAAGTAGAAGTCATTGAGAGTTATTTATTGGCAAATCCAGATGAAATTTGAGAAATCCTAGGATATTATTGGAAATTTAGGGGAATCATTGGGAAATCCAAACCATTCGTTGGGAAACCAGTAAGACATCCTGTATTTCTAGAGATTTATTCCTTGGAAATATCTAAGAATTAATTTGATAGGTTGGGAAATTATTGGTAAGTCCTGAGGAATTCAATGGAAAGTAATTTTGAGATATTAACAATAGTTACATATGGAGAATAAGAAGTAATTATTGAGATTTCCTTAATATTCATTGGCAAACTGGGATAATATCTGAGGATTCCTAGGAAATCATTGGGAAATCCAAATATTTCATTGGAAAACCAATAATTCATTGAGTATTTCTAGATATTCATCTTTGGAAATTTCTAAAAATTGATTTTGTAGCTAGGGAAATCATTGGTCATTTATTGAAATTCATTGGAAAACCATGATAATATCTCATGTTTCCTAGGAAATGCATTGAACAGGTAGGGTAAACATTGGGACCTTCTAAAATTTCATTGGTAAACCAGTAATTCATTGGGAAGCTAGGGAAATCATTGGTAAGTTCTTAGGAATTCAATGGAAAGTAATTTTGAGTTATCAACAATACATTTGGAGAATAAGAAGTAATTATTGAGAGTTCTTTAATATTCATTGGCAAACTGGGATAATATCTGAGGATTCCTAGGAAATCATTGGGAAATCCAAATATTTCATTGGAAAACCAATAATTCATTGAGTATTCCTAGAGATTCATTGAAGTCTTTGGACATTTCTAAAAATTGATTATGTAGCTAGGGAAATCATTGGTAAGTCCTTAGGAATTCAATGGGAAGTAATTTTGAAATCCTGAAATTGCAATTGGGGAACTAGAAGTCATTGGGAGTTCCTAAAAATTCGGCAATTCCGGATATCATTGTAAAGGTAGGGAAATCATTGGGCACACATAAAAATGCATTGGGAAGCCCAAATATCATTGGAAAATCATTGGTGGCTTTGAGTAATTGAAAATTCATATAAATTGATTGAAAAGCTCTAGGAGTCATTGGAAATTGATATAAATTCATTGGAAATTCCTGGAAAACCATTGGGAAGTCTTTGGAAACATTCATAATAATTCAGGTATCAAAAGGGGGGATTCATTGAAATAGTCCATTTAACCAGGCTGACCATGTTTCTGCTTTTTTCTTCTCCACAATAATTTCTTTCTGGCTGATGATGGATACCTTTTGGGTCCGAAACATGCCCCCCCCCCTTCTTGAATTTGAAATTAAATGTTGTGGAGACGACTTGGAGAGTTAACATGGACTTCTACAGTGGATACCTTCTTGTTCTTCAGATACTACGTCCAACCCCAATGGGTGTTTGACAGTGTCAATGCCAGAGACCTGTTGCCAGTCAACAAGTACTTCATGGGGGAGGTTTTACCCCCTCATCTGTCCCCCTTCATCGACAAAGACAGAGACCAGCAATACATTCCTCCCGAGGCCAGAGCCCTCTATGATGAAAATGAGTTGGAGCAACAGCACAAGATGGACGAGGGGGAAAATAGTGGGGGGGATGATAATGCAAAAGAAGAGGAAAGTGGGAAGGAAGATGAGGAAGAAATGGAAGCGGACACGGCCACGAAAAAGGTGAATTATTGTATGACGGCTCTGGACTGCCATCTTGAAACACTTTTTTTTTTCAGAAGATTAAACTTTGGTTATTTTTTCTTTCTACACATCTCCTAATTTATAGTTGCAACTGGGAAACTAACCTACAGTTACAACTGTGAATTTACCTACAGTTAATAAAAATAATAATATTCATTTCATTCTTTGCTATAAACATTACATGAAATAAATTAGTGAATGATAAATCATTCACTTAGGTTTGATTTTCTCTTTGCAAGAGGATATGTTTCTTGACTTTTATTTTAAATTGGGTCATATTTGTGCAACTTTTGATATCATCAATTTAGTTTATTGAATTTTGAGATAGCTCAGTGAGTAAACTTTTTTTGGCCAAGTGTAGAATTAGCAGCATCAAGATGAAACAAGTCATATTGTCTAGTATGTTGTTTATGGATTTGAGAATTCCTTACCAATATGAAGTTAGATTTGAGGTGTTTGTTGATAATATCAAAAGAAATTTTGAGAGTATTTATCAGAAAATGCTCTTCCAAAGAAAATGTATTTGTTTTTTCATAAAGTTGATTTGATGGGGTGTCATATGGAAGATGATACAGTACTTTTAATGCTTTTTCATATAGTACAGATATTTTGTTAAAATCATTCTTGGAACATGAACCCCAAATATTTATGAGATAGTTCATTTTACTAAGGATGTGCAAGTATAAAACGGTATTTGCTATATTTGGGATAAGTTTTGGACATCTTAGGGCACTAACTATGGGAGACATTTTTTCTTCCAGCATGCCAATATGCTTGTCCCATGTTAACTTTTCATCAATCCAAATACCAAGTTATTTGATATATAGGCAGTTTGTTTCAATCTTTCATTTTTTATTCTAATATTCAAATCAATATTTTGTTTTGTTTATTCCTTTGATGGAAAGTTATATATTATTGTGTCTTATTAGAATTAAGGGAAAGAAGATTGTTTTCAAATAAAAGTACTGCGTCAGCCGTATATATGGCATAGTTTCCTATTAAATTTATTTTTGAAATGTTTTGAATGTATAAATGATACAGAATTGGGCCCAACACTGATCCTTGGGGAACTCCTTTGTAAATCAGATGATTTGAAAAACAAGTTTCATTTGCATAAAATCAACAGTTCCACTTGTGAAATTGGGAGTTGCAACTGTAAATGAGGCAAATATTCATGAAAAAAAGTTGTCTTTGGCTCTGGATAAAGGATTGAATGCTGTGGTAGTAGTCTTCTTGTGATTTTTTGTACTTAGTTCTCCAGGGCCTACCCAATTTTTTTCGAGTGGGTTGCAATTCGGAAATTGCCGATTCGAAATTTTGTCTACATCATTATTAGACGATTTTGTGAATTTCCTAGTTCATGGGTGTGCTTGAAATTATTTCGAGGGGTCGACATCTTCAAAGTGCTAAATATGAATGCAATTTAATTGTCATGAGCGAGCCTAAAATTTTTTTAGAGGGTATAAGTAATTCTGAAATTTCTAATATCGTCCATGCATTTTGTGTTGTTGTTCCAACAGTTGTGAATTTTGTACTTCTCAGGCAGGCGTACTCATGAACTATTTTAGTAGGTCAATATTTTGAAACTGCTAAAACCAAACCATCTTCATCAAATAATTTCCAAAATGACTGATTTAGAATTTATCGACGTCATTATATTCCATATTCCTGATTCATTTTATTGGTTTAAAACTGCTAATTTCGGCAAAATCATAGACGTACCAGGACATTTTTTAGAGGATCAAGATTCTTACAATTGTCTATTGACATCATAAAATTTATCAGTTACCTTACTCAATGGACGCGCTACAAAAATTTTTTTGGGTTCAAAATCTGCCAAAATTGCTGATATCGTAAGGCACGCTCATGCAGTACGGAATGACGTCAATTCCGTACTGCATGAGCGTGCCTTACGATTTTTTAGGGGTTCATAACTGCTTATTTGAGGGTAAAATCCTCAAAGTTGCCTACTTAGATGTCATTATAAAAAATACGAGTTTCCTTGTTCATGGGCGTACTAAAAAAACTTTCTTTTGGGTTCATATATACTCCAATATTGATTTTTTATCAAGACATCAAAAATGTCCGTGATACCGGCGAAATCATACACGTACCAAACTTTTTGTGAGATAAGATTTTCAAAAATGCTGAAATCGAATTTGTCGACGTCATTCCGTATTCCATGGGCGTGCCTCAAAAATTTTTAAGGGGTTCGAAACTGCTTATTTCAAGTCCAGAAAAATCTTGGGATGCTCCAGAAACCGCTTATGCTGAAATCGAATTTGTCGACGTCATTCCGTATTCCATGGGCGTCCCTCAATTTTTTTAAGGGGTTCGAAACTGCTTATTTCAAGTCCAGAAAAATCTTGGGATGCTCCAGAAACCGCTTATGCTGAAATCAAATTTGTCGACGTCATTCCGTATTCCATGGGCGTGCCTCAAATTTTTTTAAGGGGTTCGAAACTGCTTATTTCGAGTTCAGAAAAATACTGGGATGCCCCAGAAACTGCTTATGCTGAAATTGAATTTGTCATCACGTATTCCATGAGCGTGCCTCAAATTTTTTTTAGGGGTCCGAAACTGCTCATTTCAAGTCCAAAAAAATACTGGGATGCTCCAGAAACTGCTTAACTTGGCGTTATTAGCAATAAAAATATTTCATGAGTTATATAGATATTTTCTCAATAAACCATAAACGTAGTAAACTGTAATTGAGGGGAAAAAACTTTCGAAATTGATCATCTAGAATTTTTCACCACTAATAAGAATGGTCGCTTCGTACTCTGAAATTTTTTTCCGGGGTTTGAAACTGTTTATTTCGATTTCAGAAAATCATAGACGTACCAAAAAATATTTGGGGTCATCAACGAATAACACGATTATTCCACTTCATGGGCGTCCCTGAAAATTTTCGATGCGTTCAAAATTTCCAATTTTGTTTTTTTACTAGGAATAGAAAATGTCCATGAGACCGACGAAACCATAGACGTACCAAACTTACTGAAATGGGGTCAAATTCTCAAAATTGCTAAAATCGAATTCGTCGACGTCATTTTGTATTCCATGGGCGTGCCTTAAATTTTTTCAGGGGTTTGAAGCCGCCAACTCTGAACGCGGAAAAATGTAGGGATTTTTCAAAAATTACCTATATTGGCGTCTATAACAAAAACTATTTCATGATCGTATTCATTTTTTATGGGTTTGAAATCTGAAATTCTTTCTTTTTTTTTTCGATAAACCATAGACGTACTTACTTCTTTGAATATGGGGAAAACACTTTTTGTCGACGTCATTCCATACTCCATGGGCGTGCCTGAAATTTTTTTTAGGGGTTCGAAACTACTTATTTCGATTTCGAAAAATCATAGAAGTACCGAAAAAAAATATTTAAGGTGTTGTCCCATTTCATGGGCGTCCCTGAAAATTTCCGATGGGTTCAAAATCTTCAATTTCGGTTTTTTTCTCTAGAAATCGAAATTGTCTGTGAGCACTGGCGAGGTTTACAAGGAAGTGCCTTGGGAGAAAAACAGACAAGAAAGACAAGAGTTCAGATTGCGGGAAAAGATGGTGAAGAAGAAGCACAGGAAACTGTACAAGAGCATGATGGAGGGCAAGAAGGGCAGGGCCAAAGAAATATGGCTGCTGCGCAAAAAGAGGAGGCTGCATGATGAAGAAGCTGCAAAAGAAAAGAAGCAGAAAAAAGTAGGAAAAAATTAGTGACATGTTACATATATTGTACTTTTATTAATAAAAACTTCTTAATTTTTTTTCTGGAATTGTTTTTGTTACATAAATAAATATGGGTGTACATGATTTGCAAAATGTACAGAGAAAATATTGGCAATACAGCAAGAAATACAAAATATACATTTTTCGTTTCTCTAAAATTACTCTCAATAGTTACAATTAATAATAAAATAACAAATAACAACTAAGACATTTTACTTTTACCAAATTCCGTGTTTTGTTTCAATCTCCGTCACTGTCTTCTTCTTCTAATTCTGGCATTGGAAAACGTAAAATGGCTGCTATACCGGTCAATTGCTCCAATTCTAAAAAAACAAATATAATCTTTCTCTAATCTCGTTCTCTTTAATTCTTGCTAATAAAATTAAAAGAATTGCCATAGAAAAAGTAAAAAGTATCTATTGATCGAATCAAAACGATCAATTCCTAAAAAATCCTTGAGTTTCATAGCTTCCAATTACTTCTTTAGAGTAACTTATCAGTCGTTTTCCATATTCCTCAAAAAAATTCCGGATGATTTCCCAGACCTTCCCATGAATTCCTAGGAATTTGCTCATTCATTCCTAGGAACTTTCAATTAATTCCAACAAATTTCTAGAAACAAACAATGACTCCCAAGATTTGCAAATTAATTCGCCAATGATTTCCTGACGTCCAATAGAGTTCTTGAGAATTCTTGATTGTTTCCCAGGTTTCCCAACAAATTCCTAGAAATTTCCAATAACTTGCAAGGCTTACCTATGAATTCCCAATGACTTCCCAGGCATACCAATGAATTACTAATGATTCCCAGATGTTCAAAAGAGTTCTTAGGAATTCCCAATCATTTCTCATGCTTCCCAACAAATTTCCAGGAATTCCCAATAACTTAACAAGTTTATTGAGGAGTTCCCATTAATCAACAACTGACCCTAATAGTTATTAGACATTCACAATCATTTTTCATCAAGGATTTTCAACAAATTGTTAAAAATTCCCAATGACTTACCATGCTCACCAATGAATTCACAATGGCCCCAGACTTTCCATTAAATTTTTTTTTTCCAATGATTTTCCTGGCTTATCGATGAATTCCAATGACTTTCAAGGCTTACCAAATGATACTCCCATGACTTCCCAGACTTTCCAATGAATTCCCAATAATTTAACAGGCTTTCCAATGAATTCCCAATAATTTACCAGGCTTTCCAATGAATTCCCAATGACTTCCTAGGCTTACCAATGAATTAACAATGATTTTCAGGTGTTAAAAAAAAGTTCTTGGGAATCATTTCTCATGCTTCCCAACAACTTTCCAGAAATTCCCAACGACTTAACAGATTAATTGATGAGTTTCCATCAATCACCAACTGACCATAATAGTTGATAGAAATTCAGGATCATTTTTCATCAAGGATTTTCAACAAATTTTTAAAAATTCCTAATGATTCCTGACTCCAAAATTTCTTCTAAAATTTCCAATGATTTTCCTGGCTTACCGATGAATTCCAATGACTTTCAAGGCTTACCAATTAGTACTCCCATGACTTCCCAGACTTTCCAATGAATTCCCAATAACTTCTCAGGCTTACCAATGAATTCCCAATGACTTCCTAGGCTTACCAATGAATTACTAATGATTTCCAGATGTCTACAAGAGTCCCTTAAGAATTCCTAATTATTTACCAGGTTTCCCAACACATTTTGAAGAATTCCCAATAATTTTCTTGGCTATTGATGAATTCTCAATGACTGACAAGGCTTACCACTGAATTCCCAATTACTTCCCTGGCACACCAATGAATTCCCAATGACTCCTGACTTTCCAACATTTTTTTAGTAATTTCCAATGATTTTCCTGGCTTACAGATGAATTCCAATGACTCTCAAGGCTTACCAATTAACTTTCCAATGATTTCCCAATAACTTCCCAGGCTTACCAATGACTTCCTAGGCTTACCAATGAATTACTGATGATTTCCAGATGTCTACAAGAGTCCCTTAAGAATTCCCAATTATTTACCAGGTTTCCCAACACATTTTTAGGAATTCCTGATAATTTTCTTGGCTACCAATGAATTCTCAATGACTCAAAAGGCTTACCAATGAATTCCCAATTATTACCCAGGTTTCCTAACAAATTTCTGGGAATTCCCAATGATTTACTAGGCTTACCAATGAGTTCCCAATGATTTATCTGGCTTAGTAGTAGTGTCAGGGAAAGAGTTTAATCACCTCAAGGTAGGTAGGTACATACAATGGGAATGAAACATGAAATGAAGGATAGATTTTCTTCAAGTTTTAATGAATTATTATACTCACGTTCTCCAGAGATGTGTAGACTGGAAAAAATCTTGACATCACCACCAGATTCCCTTACAGAATCAACTAATCTAACATATTCTTTCCTGAGTTTGACATCTTGGCAGCTAAAATAAAAATTTCAAATTTTCAAAATGGCAATTATATTGAAAGTAGACATTCATCACCGAAATAACTTATCAGAAATCATCAAAGTTTCTATGGCTTGTGCTTCATTGGCCATTTCAATATGTTTTTTTCCATAAAATGCTTTTGCAGGCTCACACTGTAGTGTTGTATAAAAAGTCTCCATAGTTTTAACTTCACTAGCAGCTTTTGTATCTGATATTTTACTCATTACTGCTGGGTCTTGAAGAATTTCTAAAAAATTCATGTACAGGGTAACAAATTTGTATTGAAAAAAATTTTTTGGATATTAAAATAGTTACGATTTTATTTTTACCTTTGAGAGAATGTTTGAAACCTGAAGAAGAATGAATCAACATGAATTTTGATTTGTTATCAAGTAGAACTTTGTTGTCAGTTTTAACTGCAGTTTGGAACATATATTCATAAAACTGATCCCTCACAAATCCAGGAGAAGCAATCAAGACACATTTGACAACATCAAAATTCACATGCCTCAAGATTGCCTGCATCACATTATCATAGAATTTTGCCAAGCCCTGAAAAAAATTGATTTTCCAGCAAAAAAAGTCACAAATAAATCAATGACAAGAAACTGAAATTAGTTTTATTATCCAAATTGCAGAGCTTGAAAGTATATACTTTTTCATGTTGTTGTACAAAGCCCTTTCTTTTTCTAGGTATGTTCACATCAATTTTAGCCCTCACTAGTGTCATACTGGATGTTATAAGACACAAATGGGCTAGGCCCTCTTGCATAATCACAGCTGCAACATCAGCAGTTTTAGTTGGATCACATGCCATATCAATTCTTTCCAGACACACAGAATCCCATTCCTGCTTCCTCAATGAAAATTTTCGATTCAGCTCCAAGTCTAATGTATGATAAGCACCCATCTTGAAAAAACTATGATAAACCCACTAGGCAATGGAACTTGATGGGAAAATACCTTCACATATTGGTTTTCCTCAATGTTCCTGCCTTTCAGTCTTAGCATACAGGCTTGAGTATCGAAATCTATGTTTTCTACGGATATGGTCAGAGTGGTCCTCACTCTGTTAGAAGAGGAAGAGCCAGTAGACGATTCAGTTTGGACTTTACGAATGGTGGTACTTCTAACTGAATCGCCTTCAGATATTAGATTGTAGGCATGCCACATATCTTCTGGCTCTTCTGGAATGAGGGCTACACCGCTGAAATAAAAAATTAAAGCTTGTAGCAGGTGTCCTACATGCGACATAACCTCAAATGTGCTTGTCAGTTACGTACCCCTCATTGTCTTTATCGATATCTTGATACACCAGTTTCATTTTGACGAGATTATCGACATTAGGCTGGTGGAATATTCAAACTTTGGGCTAAAATTCATATTTCTCTTCAAAATATGGTTCTGTTTACCACAGTAAAACATGACCTAGCTGAATCTGACAGTCTTATGACAGTGCAGTGACACTCTTGACAGTCTTGACAGTATTGACAGTGAAGTGACAGATACGGTTATGGGAATTTTACCGACACACATTCACCCGTTTTAGCGACGAGCTACTACGTCATAACTTGAAAAACTCGGTACAGTTTTCAAAGATGGGTTCTGTGTACAGAATTCTTTAAAATACCATATACGTATTAATAAACAATACGGATCATAACGGGTGCCAGGATGAAGCCAAAAATATGAAATAAATGAATATCCGTAAGGATTTGGTGGCATGATACGCATGCGCCAAGCGCTATTATAGTAGTCATCAAAGACATGCGTTTCGGTGGACAATGACGTTTACTAGCCTTTCAATCAAAGCAGTATGTGTCTGATCGTTTCAAAACTTTTCCTTATGGATAGTCATTTGTCTTCAAAAATCGGCTTCATGTTTCGCTATGGAAACAGATAGAGACTATAATAGATTATCCTTATTGATTATTAATACTTATATGTAAAATACCCGATAAATCTATGAATATAATTTTGAACAAGGGCATTTCTTGATTTTTGCCACTAGAACTAAGATCTTGGAAATGTTTCAGATGTATCAGCTCGCTATTGATGAATTGTTGTGCTTTCATTAGAATTTGGTTTACAGCGTGTCTCACTTCCATCAACGGCCCCTTTCTCTATATATATATCCGTACGATTATTACAAAATTTGGATCGGTGTGAATATCGAATCGAAATGATTAATATTTCAGAGATGAACATCATTTTGGACAGTTATTCCGTGCGTCTTTATTCACTTAAAAGGGGTCGATTCTTTATGAAATCATATTAGCATTCTTTCCAGGAAAACTGACCTCAAATTGTTCTTCATGCATGGTTTCAAATCCCCACATGTAGATTTTGATATGATTTCTATGAAGGGTTAAAAAAAACCAGGTAGGTAAATCTAAACGGCATTTTCACGAACGTAAATAGTTATTTACCTACTCGGAAACAGAGTTCAACAAAGATGTATATCTTGTCTTTTATTTAAAATCATAAAAAATATTTGCAGTTAAATTAGTTTGCTTGCCTGAAAATTCTTAATATGATTTCATGAAAAGTCGACTCATTTTTATTTCAATGAAAAAGCACGGTACTGTCCAAAACGATGTTTGTCTCTGAAAAACTGATCATATTATTGATGGTTATTCATATCGGTCAAAATTTGGTACGAATCGCCCAACTTATAGTTGAGACATAGATGGAGAGGGGCCGTTTAAAAGTGAGACACGCTGTACATAGATATCGGTGATATCAATCTCGATTTGGAAAATTACCTTGTATAGTATCTATGACCACTACAGTAACTTTTTTTCATTAGGAAGTTGGTTGTCAACTCTTATCATTGTTTCGTAATTAGGTACAAACGCCTCAAATTAAATTTTACTTAATGAGCTTATTCATATCGACATATTATTATAATAGGTATCCTTCATATTTCATTAGGAAGAGGTATGGAAATATAATATGAATGGATACCATTGCATTAAAAATTTGCATTTTTTTTAAACAACATTTCACAATTCATTAGCTACAATAAAATGTCATATTGTTCTCTCGCCTTTGAAGAAGAAACATTTATTTTCAAGGCATCAGAATATTCCAGCATTCACCTAAATCATCCAATTATTTCAGTTGAACATTCAAAGAAACTTGAATTTTATTAGCTTCACCATAATTTTCGTTTTTCTAGATGCAATGATTTTTACCAAACTATCCATGCCTATTTCATATTTTACGTAAACGAATACATATAAACATTTTTTCAAAAGTGTTAATTTTCATGGAAATATTCCAACCTTTTGAGAATCGCAAAAAGTTAAAAAAATTGAGACATATTCGAGAAGCTCTCATTCTCAATATCTACTAATCAGCGGAATTCAGCCCAAATTATCCTGATGATATAGACTCATTTTACCAATAACGCAAGTATTTATGACTATTATACCTTTTAAACACAATTTTCGAGTAGGTACTTAAGTATCTAACTACGTAAATTTTATCAATATATTAGTTTCAGCAAAAATAAATATATCTATATTGCCTATATCTGAAATAATAATTGCTAACAATTATTGCCTTATCTAAGTATATAAAGTATTTCTGCGACCATCAGTTATTTCCAGAAGATACCAGCAACTGCTTTTCAGAGGTTTTCACTAGTGCAAAATGATCAGATATGCTTGGTGTTTTCTAATTTTCGTCTGTCTCCTTCGTAATCCAGGTAAATGAATCAATCAATCAATTTTCATAATCAAGCTATCGTTTTCCAAATCATGTGTGTACCTAGAGGTTACTATATTGAATTTTATACATTTCAATTTCAAAAAAATAGGGAACCATTTTTACATACGAAAATCCGATAATAATAATAAAATTATTTATTGATCCCAGAAGAAAAATACGTACCCACACATGTTTATGGAGGAACACAAGAGGAAAAAACTGAACAAATGAATAAACAAATCAAATATCCAATGAAATGGGAGATATGTGGTCAAATCAGAATTGATAAATATAAAGAGGACAGTTAAATTGATAAAATTTATTTCCTGAGTTTACTCTTGAATTTCGTAACGTGAGTGATAGATTTTATTCTGTTGGGTAGACTATTAGGTATACCCATCATAGATGTCTGAAATTAATAAAGATAGAATATTTTAAAAATTCCATGCATAAGTATCTGATGTTTAAGCAGAATTTCAAATTTATTTCTCAAATATCAACCAGAAAAATGAATGAAGACAAAATCAGTGATTTATAATTCTTTTGAAGAATCTAAGGATCAGCTCAAATTTTATCAGTTTGCAAAATGGCAGATTGAAATGGTTTGAATTACGCAACTTTTATATAAATTGATCAACTTTCTATCTGTAACCGTTTAGTAAATAGTATTATTATCCCAATGAAATCGGCGGGACCCTGTGTATATTTGATATATTATAATAGGTAGGGAACTAGGAAAAGATTATTGGACATAGCCCTGAGGAAGAGTTGATCGCAGATACGTGTTTCGGGCTTTCGGCCCTCATCAGTACGGAAAAAAAGTGCAAAAAATAGACAACACTTGGTGGAAGATGAAACAACAAATCGACGGAGTCGTTGTTTTGTCTGCCACCAAGTTCCTGGAGAAAGCAATCAACATCGAGCTCATGAAATACCTGGAACATGGCATTATCAACGAATGGCAATATGGCTTCCGTCATCAGAGATCAACTGGTGACCTGCTCTCTTACGACTCACATATATGGCAGCAATCTATTGAAAAATATGGTGAAACCTTAGCCGTGGCACTTGATATCTCCAAGGCATTCGATCGAGTCTGGCACCACACGGAATTCTCGCAAAGCTTCCATATTATGGCTTTCCTCCCCAGCTATGTTTTCTGCTAGCTAGTTTTCTCTCAAACAGGTCTCCCCATGTAGTGGTCGACAGAGTTTCATCTGACTCTCTTACCATAAATGCTGGTCTTCCGCAAGGATTAATTCTAGCACCAACACTATTTCTACTCCACATCAACGATTTGTTGGGAGCAACTTCATGTCCAGTACACAGCTTCGCGAATGATAGTACTCTCCATACCGCCTTCTCTTCCAGGGCTCCAATACCAGCCAGGCAAATCAGAAACGAACGAGGGAGAAATGTTGACAACATAAATATGGACTTGTCAACAATTCTCGAATGGGGATCCAATAACTTGGTAAATTTCAATGCAAACAAAACACACGCTCCTCTTTCTCTAGAAAAGCCGATCTCATTGTGCCCAACATGAGCTTGTCAGGAGTAACCATACCTTTGAAGACATCCATCTCGATGCTTGGTATTACTATCAGCAATAACCTTTCTTGGGAAAATCACGTGAGATCAATTGTTGAAAGTGCATCTCAAAAACTTGGTGTTCTGTTTCGGGCCAGGAGCTATTTCACTTCCAGTCAGCTGCTTATGATCTATAAGGCACAGATCCGACCTGTTGGAATACTAAAAAAAAAAAATTGTTCTAAAATTGTTCTATCCGTCATTCGGTTGCCGCCTTACGAGCAACCCTCAGAAGTCTTGGAAAGACTTGTGCGAGCAAGGAATGACGGGGGCCTTACCTTTTAACGTGTGAACACTTAAGTTCCCATATTTGGAGTGCAGCACCCAAACATACCCTGAAACTGTTGGATTCTGTCCAAAAAAGGGCAACACCGTAGAAAAGTTGTCGATCTGGCTCAATTTTATAGATATTTTCATGGACGATGCTCTCCTGAAATATCAACAATTGTTCCTCCCTTGGCAGTCCCCGCGAGATTAATCCGTCGAGTTGAGGATTCGCACCCCTTCGTGATCACTTTATTTCTAAAGACTCGTTCATTCAATGAACAGCGAGGCTCTGGAACACATTGCCAAGGGAGGTGTTTCCCGAGGCATATATCCTCCAGAAATTTAAGAAGAACACCAATTCCTACCTTATTTCCATTTGTTTGCACGATGTTCTCTGAACATTACAGGATATCCCTTTTCGTGGGAACCAGAACATACGAAAAAAGTGTTGCCTACCCTTTGCACTTTTTTCACCGTTCTGATGAGGGCCGAAAGCCCGAAACACGTGTCTGCGGTCAACTCTTTCTGAGAGCTATGGCCAATAATCTTTACCTAGTTTGCTTAAAACAGTTCCCTCAAAGTTTGTTCTTACTGAATTTCAACTCTTCTTCGAATATTTCTCTATACCTAAGTAGGAATCATAATTTTCAACATATTGTGGCAATACACTGTATATTTGTATTTCGACTCAAATCAAAGAATAATTCTCCACTTTTTGACATTGAATATCGAATCGAATGATTTTCAATTTTTCTTCAAGCTGTTTCAACTTCTTCATTGGGAGGTAGCGGAAGTGGAGGAGCAGGCTGGAGTACCTCAGGGTCCAGCAATGGGGGCTTTCATCTATCTGGTGGCTCCTCTTTTCATCTAGGTGACTACAATTTTTGATAGCTTTTAAAGTCGCTTTAAAACCACTACCTAACTTACAAATCTTGAAACATTGTTTTGATCCTTGAAGGTCTTGGAAGTCTCTTTAAGGGAATAGTGAACACATTTGAAGGTAAAGGGGACGCCAGTGGATCAGCAGGTGGTTCAGGAAGTCTACCACTAGGCGGATCAGGAGAACACGGAGTAGGAGGTAATAGATAAGTATTCACGATACGAATATAGTACAATATTTCACCTACTACCAAAAGCTAATCATTTAATCAAAATTTTCAATATTCCTTGAACTGACCATTCATTATGAATATGTAATAAGCAAGCGTTGCTAGGGTTGGGTGTATGGTTTGTCATGAATTTATTGTGTTCTCGGTTGTCACTCATTCGGTGAACTGTCAACTTTGACGCGTTGATTCTAATTCGAAAAAAAAATCATCGGCATGAATTCGGATCAGGAAAGTTTAGATTCCGATATAGAAATTGCGGCGCTTGAAGCAAACGAAACCTTATTAGTACCTGCTAAATCCTGGGATAGGTACGAAAATATGTATTATTAGTACCTATCATGTCAATAATTATAATCAATTCTTGTTTTATTTCCCTGATTACCATTTATTTCAAAAGAGGTTCAAATTTTGTAGATATTGAATATTTGTACATTAAAAGCTGCTGAAAGTATGTCTACAGTGTGTCCCACTTACCATGCTCACCATGGGTATCTTTTTAACGGTGAGAGATACGAGGTCGGTTAAATGACACCAAATGTGGAGCGAAAATTCCATAACTGCGATTAACTTGAAATTTGGCAGGTGTTCATAATTCCGGTGACAATTCATTATGGAATTTTTGTTGAAATAAAAAAAAATGGCTGCTCCAAGATGGCGGACAAGATTTGGTCCGATTCCATTCAAAATTGGTAAGTGGGGGTTTTTGAGGTCGGAGATCATGATTTTTTTGTTAAAATTTATAAATTCAAGATGGCGGCTTCCAAATAATTTTTTGTTTTTGTATAAATGACGATAACTCCGTTCTTATCAACACAATAAAACTATTACTGCGACATATCATCTGTAAGAGAAAAAAAAGTTATTTGTAACTAAGTCGTAGTAAGCTATGACCCACATTTGAAAAACTAAAGTGGGTGCTGATATCTCAAATATTTGAAGAGTTGGTATAAATTTCATATTTTTTTCGAAATCATTTCGAAAAACTGCTATTAGAATGTGAAATTCCTATTTGAATATTTTCATAAATAAAGAAGTTACGGAGGAGACATGAAAATGATCAAAATCTGTTTTTGCGTATAAAACAAAAACGAATAGATTTTATCAAAATATTTTTCCACATTATAGTTGGCCTTGACATACTCCACATTTGGTGTCATTTAACCGACCTCGTATCTCTCACCGTTAAAAAGATACCCATGGTGAGCATGGTGTGGGACACACTGTATATCCATGATAAACTGGTTCTCATTTCTTTTTTTCAGTAAAAATAAAATTTGAAATTAGTGCGGTAAAGTACCTTAGTACCTATATTGCGATACTAAAATCAGTGTCGTAATATTTCACATTACATATTGGTAGTAGGTAAAAACATTGATCCTCACTAGGTAATAATGATTCAAAAGATATCATATTCTGAATGGAGTGTATTTGTTCTAGGTTCAATTTCTTTCAACAGTGGCCTTGGAGGCAATTCGCTATCCGCGCATGGTTCGATAAACTTGAAGTCTATCCTGAAGACCATTTTTACTTTGCCTATTAGAGTGCCCCAGATAATCTTCAGATTTGTGATCAAAGCCATATGGAACATTGTGACACTGAATGTGACCATAATCAAGGTGCCAGTGTCAATAATACGAAACATTGTCACTTTCATATTTGGGGTCTTCAAGACGGTCGTGAAGACAATCCTTAATATCATTCTCAATATAAACTCGTTCAATATTGACATCATCGTAGGAGTAATTGGAAAAATCAAATGTAAGAGTTAATATACAGGGTGAGTCATGAGGAACTGTACATGCATACTCCCTACTGCGAATAGTGGCCCCTGAAGGTAATACGGCCATTTTTACGTATTGAAAAATCACTCGACCGCCTACTATGATTTCTCTACGTCACATCGAGCGAGACGTTGATTCTAGATTTTTCCGCTAGATGATAGATAGATAGATAAAAATAGATTTATTTATTTCGGCCAATTTGTTGATTTGACTGAAGATGGTCATTTGAATGGCCGAAACATGTATCAACTTTCAACCTTATTGAAACAGGATTGACTGCCTTCTTAGCATTAAAATTTGTGGAGACGAGTTTTTCTCTCTTGATCTTCTGAAAATTTATGACCAATTTTTGTCAAATCTCATAATTCACCCTATATATTGGTGAAGAAGAGAAGGAGAGACTTTCTGATGGTCCTCAAGGTCCACTATTCGTGGTAGGAGTAGGTAGGTACAGTTCCTCATGACTCACCCTGTATGTGGGACATCTGCATTTCGATGCTTGCAACTTAGAAACAATCGAGTGAACCAATGAGTACTTGATATTTATTTTTCAGCATTTGTGGCTTGGGTCATAAGGAAAGTATCCAGCGTTCAAATATTTGGCATCCAAGTAGGATTCAATATAGCCTCGTTCTTCAAAAACAGAATCGAAGATATAATAGATGGCGCTTTGAGATTTGTAGCCTGGATCTTCATTCACATCAGCAAAGGTCTAAAGGGAACTTTCGATGTTTTGCACATCAAGGACATCCTCAGGCTGCCTGGTATCAGTGGCATAGTCGGGGTGATTCGATGGGCTCGCACTTACGTTTTCGAGATCATTTTCAACAACGCGGTATCCGTCGGGGAATTCATAGACAGCATAATTGACCAACATCAAGACTTTTTCATCCCGATTTTCCATAATATCCTCAATTTCTTCCTAGCCATCGCGAATGCTTTCAATCAAATCAGAGATGGAGGACTATCAACAGGTAAATTATCAGTATAGAATTTCGTACTCATTCACTCCACATTTCACAATAGAATGAACATTCAGCAATCTCAATATTCAGGGCAATGGGGAAGACCACTGAGAGAAGAAATCCGTGCAAACCTCTTTCAATCGACGAATCATGATTTACATTTTATGTACAATCAATATTATGAGTTGAAGTTGAAGGGAATCGAATCTATATCGTTTTGAAATCAGCATATTTCATTCGATATTTCAAACAGCCAAATATGATGGTGGAGTCGTGACGTATTAGTCCCGAACTGTACCTATCTCTCTCTGATACCTCGTCATTCTGCAGTGTTGCAGTGTAATTGGTCAATTCAAGGACAATAGGCGTGTTGGGACTAAGACGTCGCACCAGTCACACCAATGAATTGATGAAATTCCAAATGGCGCATTGATTATGAGTTTTGAAATGGACTCATACTAATTTATTTTTTTCATCGTCTTAGCATGAATGAAAGAATTCAAAATTTATTCACTGGTAGTTTTTCAGTATAGAGTTCACGATAATGTCGTTTTAAAAAATCAGTGGTCTTCCCCAATCCGATCCCCAATTACGTATTTTTTGTCTCAAGAAGCATATATATGTACCTCAATAGGTCACGTGTTTTAAGGAAGACACATTATTATAAAGGTTCCGATGGAATAGCAAAATCTTGATGCACTTCTGCCAGTGACATATTGACATATACCTTTTACTCTTACATCACGTGCAATAGGAAAAAGTTTTCTCTTATAATATCACGAGAGATTCACTTATTTCCGGAAATTTTCTAAATATTCGTGTTCGAGAAAAAATTCCCGGAATTAATTGAAGCTAAAGTGATATTCGGTATGAACATTTCATACTGAAATATTATATTGCAAGTATACCTAAGTACATAATATTATATGGTAAACTGTTGATAAATGATTTTTATTCATTGACTTATATGTAGAATGAACTCGAAATAATCTGAAGTCGAATGTCGAAACATCCACGAAATCATTTTTTTTCTGAATGTTCAACAATAACTTTGTTTCATCTCATGGAGCGCACGAAAGGAAATTCTTATTATGTTCGTGGAACGTCGTGTGTACGTAGAGAGGATTGGGGGAAGCCAGTTCAACACCATTTTTTTTATCAAGCTGAGCATATTTTCACTTCAGAACTATATTTTTTTACGTTTGTAGAAAAAATGTTGTTTGCAATTCGAGCGCGAAATACTTTGGTCATCTCGACTATTGTTTCGGTTTGGATCAATTCAATGCTCTGTCCCTCAAGGAGGAGGAAAATATTTCCAAGAAATTTGTTTAGTTGCTATGGTAACGATACGAAATACGGGCTTTAAATTGATCGAAAATGTTTGGTGTGAAATTTTCAGTATTATTGTATATCAGAAAAGTTTGAATGCCAGTCTACAACTATTGCATCCATTATTTTCACTTCTTCCAACCAAAGATTCAATAATAATGGCAGTCGAAATATACGCTTCCTCAAGAAAAACCCGTACCACCAAAACTAAGCCAAAAGTTCAAGATACATTTGTGTCAAAACTACTCGTCCGATTTGGGAATTTTTTATTTTAAATAATGTCATCTTCTGCTGAACATTGGTGTGTAAAATGTATTCACATATCGGAATCGGACAAGAAATTTTTCACGAAAATGTATCTCAAACTTTTGGATACTATTTGGTAGTTCGTTAATTTTTTGATGAAGTGTTTATTCACTTTTTCTAGGAATAAAAGCCTCAATAGGAAACTTGCACATCATGCTCGGCCCTCTGATGTCAGGATGTTGGAAAATACACGGAATTAGCGGACACACATTCGGCAGTAATGGATCCCTAGCGTTGGGAGGAGGAGGAGGGTATTCTGGAGGAATAGGAGGCAAAGGAGGCCTCGAAAGCAATGGAGGCCTAGGACTTGGAGGCAATGGAGCTTCCGGAGGAAGTGGATCAACAGGTGGTACTATTGGAGGAAGTGGAACATTTGGACAAGGCCTCGGGCTTGGAGGAGGGGGAACCACCGGAGGAGGACTAGCAAGTCATGGAGGTTTCGGAGGAAGTGCAGGAATTGGATGGCAAGGGAGTCATGGTTTCGGAAATTCTGGAGGAATAGGAGGAAAAGGAGGCCACGAAAGCAATGCAGGCCTAGGACTTGGAGGCAATGGAGCTTCCGGAGGAAGTGGATCAACAGGTGGTACTATTGGAGGAAGTGGAACATTTGGACAAGGCCTCGGACTTGGAGGAGGGGGAACCACCGGAGGAGGACTAGCAATAAGTCATGGAGGTTTCGGAGGAAGTGCAGGAATTGGATGGCAAGGTAGTCATGGTTTCGGGAATTCTGGAGGAATTGGAGGAAAAGGAGGCCTCGAGAGCAATGGAGGCCTAGGACTTGGAGGCAATGGAGCTTCCGGAGGAAGTGGAACAACAGGTGGTACTATTGGAGGAAGTGGAACATTTGGACAAGGCCTCGGGCTTGGAGGAGGGGGAACCACCGGAGGAGGACTAGCAAGTCATGGAGGTTTCGGAGGAAGTGTAGGAATTGGATGGCAAGGGAGTCATGGTTTCGGGAATTCTGGAGGAATTGGAGGATCTGCTGAGAATGGAGGTTCTGGGGGAATAGGAGCAACAGGAGGAGGTAGCGGAGCAGAAGGCACAGTTGGAGGTGGAGGTAAATTAAAAATTATAGTCCAAAGACCGCGATGAAACGCGGACTAGGCCGGGAAGTATCACAACGCTGTTGTCACTGTAACTATAAATATCTTGGAAGGTATAGGTATTCTGTTCAAAATTCAGTATTTGATACATATGAGAATCAATAAAGAAGAAATTGTATTCTACAGAGAAATGTGATATGGAAATTTGTCTCATTGATTTATTATTCTACATGATTGCCAAAAAAATAGTGTACGGAACACGTCCAAAAACAGGTTTTTTGGACTCGCAGACTTCCAGGACTCGCCTACGGCTCGAACTAGATTTTTGTCTACTCGTCCAAAAAACAGTATATTCCAGACTTGTTATGTGAATTACTATTTTCAGCAACCGTCCGGGAAGTTGTTGTCACTGTAACCATGAAAATCGCGGTAGATATGGTTGTGAAAGCTATTTGACATGAAATTAGTTGACATGTTGATTTTTGAAAATGTCAATACGGAATTTCCAATGTAGCTGTTAGTAGGTATGGGTATATTCTGTTCAAATTTCAGTATTTGATACAAATAAGAATCAAAGTGTTCGAAAGTTTATTCTACAAAGAAATACAATATAAAATGTATCTCATTGATTTGATATTTTACATATGTTCTACATGGTTGCCAAAAAAATACTGTAGGCAACACGTCCAAAAGCATTATTTTCCGGACTTTTTACGTAATCTCCCAATGTTATTTTGATTTAACGGTATCCAGATGACAATTGGGAAGTTAATGTTAACATCTTTTGCCCGTTAAAATTGTTCAATGGCCGGCGACCGATTCGGTTGTTATTATCCTTGGCTGCGCCTCGGATTGAAATATTCAACCTCATTCGTTATTTGCTATGCAGTATGTTCCTTGAAGACATGCTGATATTCAAGTGATTCTTCAACTCATTTCAAGAAACAAACTTTCCACTAACGTATGTCCTGAAAGTCTTAACTTTTGAGATACAGGGTGATAAAGGTTTTGAAAAAAAAACAGTTTTTCAATAATAACTGAGATAATATTGTAGACATCTTCATGAAATTTGGTACATATCTTCTATGCATCAAGGTACATTCCTTGATGTATTCGAATTTTCCTTTTCTCTACCAGTGGCACCGTTGGGGGGGATATGATTGATTATATTATACTTAAAAGTGAGCAACGAAGGAATGTTTCCAAATTCAATAAAATGCTACAAAAAGTCATTCAATTTTGTACAAGAAGAATCTTTTTCTCCGTTTTCGAGAAAAAACGAAAAAACGAGATCAAACTTCAAATTTTGATGTTAAAGCTAAGCTAGAGTACTCCATTCAAGAAATCTATTACTGGATAACCACAGTATGCAGTATTTTGAAATTTTTGCATCGTTATAGTCACATAGCAGAATGAATTTTGCCATCGGGAAAAGCTATATAGGGTGGACAAAAAAATAATCTACGTATATGTTCAACTTTGATACCCTGTATTTCAAAAGTTAGGAGTTTTACGAAATACGTTCATATGAAGTTATGTTCTTGAAATTGGTCCAAGAATCGTAGCACGTCAATAAGGAACACCCTGTATATTGGCCTTGTGACGTTAATAACTATAATCTCTTCCACTAGCTGCTGGATCAACAATAGGCTCAGGATCTGGAGAAAACCTAGGATCTGGCTGGATCTCTTCATCAGGATCTGGAAGCTCATCTAGCTCAGGAGGTGACCCAGAATCAGGAGATTCGTCAGGTGGTGAAAATTCCGGATCAGATGGATCAATAGGTGGAGAAATAGGTGGATCAGATGGAGGAGCCAGTTCTGGCTCAAGTAACACCTTAGGTGGGGGAAAACGGTTTCGTGTTGGGTGGAATATCAGGGGAAGGTACTGGATCTGAGTCAGGAGGTACTGGATCTGAGTCAGGAGGTACTGGATCTGAGTCAGGAGGTACTGGATCTGAGTCAGGAGGTTCTGGCGATACATCTGGTGCATTAGGGGGGCTATGGAGCTTAGGAGGGTCAATAGGTTCATCAGGAACAGTCTCAGGATCGGGCAGTGGTTCTGGGGATGCCTCAGGAGGCTCAGGTGGATCGTCTAGTACCGGTATTTCTGGTAGTTTGAGTTTGGGAAGTTCTGGATCAGGATCTGGAGGAATAACTGGCAGCTCTGGAGGTATGATATTTAGTGAGATATACAGGGTTGTTCACTTAAAACTCCGCACGCCATTATCTCGAAAACGAATTGAAATAAACTGGTCAACATTGATTTCCATATTACCTCGTATAAGCCTCATGAGGACCTACTGTATTTATCTTCATTAGTATGAAAAACATTTTATCGAATCTATGGCAATTCTGCAGTCTCTTTCATATTTCCTCGTATAAACCTCATGAAAAGTTACTGTATTTATACATTTCACAATTTCCGACAATGACCGACACTATATTTCTATTTCGGAACATAGCGATTTTCATCACGTTCAAACATATTCTTCTTCATCCCGGGACAATCGGGACATGTTTTTTATCGCCCCTTGTATATCCATCGTCAAGAATAAATATAAATTTCATACTTCTGGAACTACAATCGTAATTTTTAGAATTTTATAATTCATCCTAACGAAAATGCATCATTTTGATGAAAAATGCGTATCTTCATTATATGTCCTTCGATCCGAGAAATTACAAAACCATTTCGAGGTCAGACACCAGACATCCTCATGACGAAGTAACAGTCCATTATTTCACTAGTAACACAGAGAAAATTATGTTTCATCTACTGAAGACTACGTTATTCTCCATTCCATCATTCAGTATTTCTTGGGTCACTTTGTATAGACTTCTTCAGAATTTTCTGTGTTCGAACACAATCACATATTCGACGACTATACATACAACGTTGGGGGGAGACCACTGATTTTTTAAAACGACATTATCGTGAACTCTATAATGAAAAACTACCAGCGAATTAATTTTGAATTTTGTCATTCATGCTAAGACGGTGAAAAAAAAATTAGAATATGTCCATTGTTTCGTTTCCACTCACTTTATAATTTTATTTCTAATATATTTTGTTTATAATTTAATTGGGTATTTGGTATTAGTCTAAAAAATCTCTTTCTATTCTTTTTAATATGAATTAAATTTACTTATACAATTTGGCGCGTTATTCTGCTGTGATTTTCCACAATCTCGTGGATTCAAACCACGGAAGAGATGACGCGAGTTTTTGGTGCGTACCTGCGTACCTCCCATGGTACGATTTGGTGACAGCGAGTACAGTCGAAAAATACACGTTAATGGTACCACTGTGGTGTTGTGCACAATCTCGACCGACTCAAGAATTCTCTCGATCTCGCTCCAGAACATTTTGATCGACCACTCTCTCGATCTACATCAACCTCAATCTTCACTAAAGGTTAGTGGTTATATCACAGCTCGTTTTTCTCATGTACCTACTAAAGATTTTGTTTATGAGATATACATATATTCACAGAGTGCAAAACATAGTAAATAATAAATAAATACAGTCCATTGATTCGTAGAAGATAAACATTTCTGGTCCTTCTCGCCAAATTCTTTCAAGATTTTGAACAGCTAATTACTATTTTTTGCAAATCAGTGAATTTGTGAAGAAAGAGATTTTTGGAAATTTCATATCTATTGAATTCAATTATTCAGATAAATTTCAAGCAAATCGTCAAAGACGTATGATAATTATCGTTCTCATTTGTGGTCAGTCCCAGTTTTTTTTTGCTCGTTGTTTTTGCTTCTGCTCGGCGTGGGTCAACTTCTCTTGCCTCTCTTTTAATTCTCGATTATCGATAGGTCGATAGTGATAAAATAATTCAATTATTTATACAGGGTGTCACTCATTTCCAATTTTATTTTTTCTCCTTTGCTCATCGCAATTTACGAATCTCATTTTCGGACTAATAAATAAAATATCACGCTTTCGTCACGTTTTGTTGACCTTGCCACAATGAGTACTACCGCAAATAAATTAAAGCAATTAAAAGCTCTTCGAGCTGTCGCAATTGAAAGAATGACAGATATGAAAGTCATAGCAGAAAGTGCCAAAGTTAATCAACATTTTATTCTGCAATTCAAAGCACGTGTTACTCAGTTGGAGACACTTCATCACGAATTCAATACTCATCATAGTTCATTGATTGCACTCGCTTCTACTATTGAAGATTATAATATGGCAGAAGAGGATGCCACTCGTAAAGATTTCGATGAAAATTATTTCACTGTTATCTCTATTCAATATGAATTATTTGATAATTCTGGAAATAATTCTGATAATCAAAATGTTCAAGTTGACTTCAAGAGCCACGTAAAATTACCTCAAATCGAGCTTGTGAAATTCGATGGTGATCCAAAAAAATGGAGAACCTTTATTGATACCTTCGATGCCCTAGTACACAACTCATCGCTGAAAAATATTGAAAAATTCAACTATTTAATCTCAACTCTGACAGGCCCCCCTCTTGCTTTAGTCAAATGCAATCGCTTGAGTGATGCTACCTATGTGATCGCATACGATAGCCTCAAATCACGCTATGAAGATAGACGTGCAATGGCTACAGCTCATTATCTAGAACTTGAAAAGGCTGTGAAAATTCCCGACTCTAATGTCACTTCTCAGGGATTGAGGCACCTTTTGGATATTTATGAAGAGAACTTGGCTGCTTTGAACAATATGAAGTTTCCCACATCTGAATGGGATTTCATAATTTTCAATATGCTCTTAAATCGATTAGATTCGCACACTATCTCGAGATTCGAGATAGAACACAGTTCTATTGACATACCAAAACTAGAGGATTTAACTGCATTTGTTCGGAAACAATGCAATGCTCTAGATAGGGCAGCTGAAATCACTCCTAATAAAACACTTGATAAGCCTGATAGTTTCAGAAATCGAAATTATTCAACAAAGCCTTCTTCAAATCAGCGCCCCAACTCTTCATTTTTCACACAAACCCAAGGTCCTATTACATGTCCCTTTTGCAAAAGAGATCATCTGATTTATAGATGCCCGAAATTCTTAGCCCTCTCTGCCCAAGAACGATTTAATGCCGCAAAAACAAATAGGTGGTGTATAAATTGTCTTGGTAACAAACATTCATTGAAAGATTGTTCTTCCCTATCTCGATGCGTCAAATGCCATAAAAAACACCACACTCATCTTCATTTTGAACAAGTAGCAATGTCTAGTAATAATACCTCGCCCTCTCACTCTAATGTTTATGACGATAATTCTAATATCACTCCACAAAATGCAACAACACTCACAAGCATGCTTCCAGACAAATCTACGGTTCTTCTTGCCACAGCCGTAGTGGAGGTTTTCGATTCCCTAAATCAAGTGCAAACCGTACGAATTTTGCTTGATTCAGGGAGTCAGGCAAATTTCATAACAGAAAAGTGTTGCAATCGTTTAGGGTTACGTCAAAAACACATATCTCTTTCTATAGTAGGACTGGGACACATGAATTCTAAAGCTTCCAAAAGCGTTTCTCTAACTTGTCGTCCCTGTAAGCTCTCTGAACCAACATTTTCGATAGATGCGGTTATTCTCCCTCAAATTTGCAATGATATGCCTCAATTTACAATTCCTCACGATTCTTGGACGCATATTTCTCAATTAAATCTAGCTGACCCCAAGTTTCACACTCCCGGTCCTATAGATCTCTTATTAGGAGCTGACTTCTTTCCTCTTATACTTGGTCCGGGACGTCTAGTTGGAAATGAAGATGAACCGGTGGCGATAGAAACAGTTCTTGGTTGGATACTTATGGGCCCCGTTAATATCCCTCTCGCCTCTATCCCTAGCAACTCATTTTTTTGCAATTGTGATGTCTCATTAGAAAAATCTCTAACTCGATTTTGGGAATTAGAAAATATCCCGAAAATCATTTCCTTGAGCTCGGACGAACAACTATGTGAGTCTTTATATATTCAAAATGTCTCTAGGACCATCTCTGGTCGATTTACCGTCGCCCTACCTTTCATAACTCCGGACCCTACTTTTCCCGAATCAAAAAATATTGCTCAAAGGCGGTTTCTCTCTCTCGAACGCAGATTATTGAAAGATCTGCCCCTGTACAAGCAGTATTGCGACTTCATGCAGGATTTTCTTTCTAGTGGCCACATGTCTCTTCTTCAGACGCAAACGCCTTCTGATGATTCTTATTACATTCCCCATCACAGTGTCATAAATCTTAATAGTACAACTACAAAGCTAAGAGTAGTATTCGACGCCAGTTGTAAGTCCACGAATGGGCTGTCATTAAACGATTCTCTCTTGACTGGTCCAAAGCTCCAAAGTGATTTGTTTGATATTTTATTGAAATTCCGAACGTTCCCTATAGCGTTGACAGCCGACATCCGTCAAATGTACCGCCAAATTAACATTATTGAGTCTCATAAAAAATATCAGAGGATCCTTTGGAGGTTTGCACCCCATCAGCCCTTGCAAGAGTTTGTTCTGAATACCGTAACATACGGAGTTTCCTCTGCACCATATCTAGCCATAAAAACTCTTCTGTACTTGGCAGACGCCGATGGGTCAGATTTTCCTCTAGCCGCAAATGCTCTCAAGTCCCACACTTACGTTGATGATTTAGTTATAAGTGTTCAGTCATTGGAAAAGGCCAAAAAGGTGAAGGATCAGCTCATTTCACTTCTCCGAAGAGGAGGATTCGAACTCCATAAATGGGCAAGTAATGACCATTCTCTCGTGTCAGCCCACCTCACTGATCCCGCATGTCTTTCCTTGAATTTAGATAACGACTCTAATCTCAAGGTGTTAGGTTTGAGGTGGAACTATTCTCGTGACACTTTCTCGTTTCAAGTAAATACAATAGATTCCATCTGTACGAAACGCTCTATTCTCTCCGAGTTGTCAAGGATATTTGATCCTCTTGGATTTCTATCCCCTCTCACCTTCTTCGCTAAAAGGTTGATTCAACATTTGTGGATTTTAGGTCTCGGTTGGGATGACACACCTCCTGTCGATGTTGTTTCCAATTGGAATCAATACAAAATTGAATTATCTCACATATCTAAAATTTCAATTCCTAGGCATATCCTTTGTTTCAACTTTTCATCTTGCGAATTGCACGGGTTCGCAGATGCTTCGCAAAAGGGATATGCAGCCGTCGTTTATCTGAGAGTTCAAGCTCCAAATCAAGTATCAATAAGTCTAATTTGTGCAAAATCTAAGGTTTCCCCACTGAAAGTTATATCAGTTCCACGTTTGGAGCTCTGTGCGGCGGTTCTCCTCACGGAATTATTGTCCAAAGTCTTGAACACATACCAGGAGAACATTCAGTTTGATCGAGTTGTCGCCTGGACTGATTCAACCGTTGCTCTATCCTGGATTAGATCTGAACCTTATAAATTTCCCATTTTCGTTGGTAATCGGATCACTCAGATTCAGGAGAAATTTCCTCCAAATATTTGGCGCCACATTCCATCTGCAGATAATCCCGCTGATTGTGCCTCCAGAGGTATATCTTCTTCTTCTCAATTTGTTAACTATTCGTTATGGTGGGCGGGACCATCTTGGCTTTCTGATGATGAGTCTACGTGGCCGAAACTACCAGATTTACCTCCTGATTCACCTTTAGAGGAAGAAAAAAAATGTGTAGTTCTCACAGCGATTCCTGATAGCAATTTTCTTGATACTCTAATTGAAAATCATTCTTCGATGGCCAAAATTCAACGTATTGTTGCATACGTCCGTAGATTCATTTTCAATATTTCTCATCCTACTCAAAAAATTCTCAAATCTCTCACTGACACTGACTTGAATGACGCACTCTATACCCTGATAAAAAACATCCAACAACATGTTTTCTCTAGTGAAATTGCCAACTTAAATAAGAAAAATCCCCTCTCTAAACCCTTTCGAAAACTAAATCCCTTTTTCGATTCAAGAGGCCTGCTAAGAGTAGGCGGAAGGCTCTCATATTCTCGACATTCGTATGATAAACGATTCCCTATTTTTCTTCCTAGTAACCACCGACTTACCACCTTACTGATAGAATCAACTCACAAACAATATTTGCACCCAGGAGTTCAAACACTACACTATATTCTTTCCCAAAGATTTTGGATTTTCTCGGCCAAAAAGGTTATTCGAAAAGTCATCTCAAAGTGCCGAAATTGTTGGAGACTCAATCCTACCCCCTTTCAACCACCTATGGGGAGTCTTCCATCGTTCCGCATATCACAGGTTAAACCCTTCTCAGTTGTGGGTGTTGATTTCTGTGGACCCTATTGGATAACAGCCGCTAAGGTTAAAGCCTCAAAAAAACTGAAAGCTTACATCAGTGTTTTCGTTTGCTTCGCCACAAAAGCTCTACACTTAGAACTTGTATCAGACCTCACTTCCGTCGCCTTCATGGCTGCTCTGCGACGGTTTCTTGCTCGGCGTGGTCGCTGTACATATATATTCAGCGACTGTGGCACTAATTTTGTTGGGGCTGCTAGGGAACTCTCTCAAATGATGCAGGCTGCTGCATGTGAAGAAAATTTGAACTGGCACTTCAACCCCCCTTCCAGCCCTCATTTTGGTGGACTGTGGGAAGCAGGGGTGAAATCAGTCAAAACACATATTTCCAGAGTAATAGGGGAGCAGCTCTTGACATACGAAGAGTTGAACACCCTTCTCATCCAAATAGAGGCAGTCCTCAATTCACGCCCGCTTTGCGCTGTAAGCACAGATCCAAATGATTTGTCGGTTCTCACGCCTGGCCACTTTCTGACTCTCGAGCCATTGAATTCAATACCAGATGAAAATCTTCAGCATTTGAAGTTGAACCGGCTGAGTAGATGGCAACTTATTCAGCGACTCCATCAGGACTTCTGGACTCGTTGGTCCAAAGAATATTTGCATACCCTTCACCAGCGCAGTAAGTGGAATGTCACTCCTGTAACCCCTCTGTTAGGTACTATTGTTCTTATAAAAGAAGAAAATGCTCCTCCGCTGCATTGGCGAATGGGACGCATCATCGAAATCCACCCGGGTCCTGATGGAGTGAGTCGTGTCGCTACCGTCAAGACCTCGAATGGAGAATTTAAACGACCATTGGTCAAGCTATGCGCCTTACCAATGGAGTCCCCAACTTCATAAAAAAAAAATGATTCTCATTTTGGTGGGCGGAATGTTTCGTTTCCACTCACTTTATAATTTTATTTCTAATATATTTTGTTTATAATTTAATTGGGTATTTGGTATTAGTCTAAAAAATCTCTTTCTATTCTTTTTAATATGAATTAAATTTACTTATACAATTTGGCGCGTTATTCTGCTGTGATTTTCCACAATCTCGTGGATTCAAACCACGGAAGAGATGACGCGAGTTTTTGGTGCGTACCTGCGTACCTCCCATGGTACGATTTGGTGACAGCGAGTACAGTCGAAAAATACACGTTAATGGTACCACTGTGGTGTTGTGCACAATCTCGACCGACTCAAGAATTCTCTCGATCTCGCTCCAGAACATTTTGATCGACCACTCTCTCGATCTACATCAACCTCAATCTTCACTAAAGGTTAGTGGTTATATCACAGCTCGTTTTTCTCATGTACCTACTAAAGATTTTGTTTATGAGATATACATATATTCACAGAGTGCAAAACATAGTAAATAATAAATAAATACAGTCCATTGATTCGTAGAAGATAAACATCCATTTCTAAACAAACAATTCCTGTGCTCTTTGAGATTTTGTCAATTCATTGGTGTAACTGGTGCGACGTCTTAGTCCCAACACGCCTATTGTCCTTGAACTGACCAATCACATTGCGACACTGCAGAATGACGAGGTATCAGAGAGAGATAGCTACAGCTAGGGACTAATACGTCACGGCTCCACCATCATATTTGGCTGTTTGAAATATCGCATGAAATATGCTGATTTCAAAACGATATAGATTCGATTCCCTTCAACTTCAACTCATAATATTGATTAGACATCAAACGTGAATCATGATTCGTCGATTGAAAGAGGTTTGCACGGATTTCTTCTCTCAGTGGTGTTCCCCATTTCATTCAATTAATCATCGAAAAATGCATCATTTTGAATGAATATTCATAACACGATTATCAAAGCACTGAATTTGAGAATTCCGAAAACTTTTCGAGAGAACGCATCAATCAAGAGGATACAGGTGAGAAAAAAAATTATCTGTTCAAACGGCAAGGGGATGACCACGATGCAATTTTACACCCATTCAATTATCACCCTGTAGTAATGTTATCTGGAATTACAGGAGTTTCACATTGCCACAACAAACTGTCAAGAGATTAGGCTAATCATCGGTGAAAACCGATTTCAAATTGATAAGGAAATTCGTGAGCTATTTTACTTTGAATTAATCAGGGTATATTTTGGACCACGACGTTATCGATGTTGACCAGTTTATTTGATTTCTGTAATATTTAGTCAATGGATGGGGTCAAGTAGATTTTTTTCCAAAGTTCAAATAATTCAACGCCTACTAAGAGCTGAGCGTCGCGATGCGTCGAAAATATAAATTGATTGCATTGACTTTGTTCAAATATTCTACATAATTTTTTTTGAATATTTTCGATGAAACAGACCATGGCTTTCAGGGCTATCCAGCAAAATTTTTGGGATCTTTGACTTCGACACTAACCTCACGTTTCAGTGCACCAACTCATTGGGTCATGAAAGACAGAAAAAATAGATTTATCAATGTTATTGATCTAGTTCATCAAATTGATTCAAAATTCTTGTTTGCAATTAGATTTTTTCTGCTTCAGGAGGGTCCTTGGACATTCCAGTATCTGAACTAGGACAAAAATACGATGTAAGTAGCCAAAATTATCAAGTTCATGAGTACACTTTCTAGGATTGTGATGCCATTCCCCTAAGCAAATTGTAAAGCTATGTTGATGCAATGTTGAAGCAGTCACTGAAAAGGAAGTTCTGCAATATTACTTGTTGCTGTGACATTGCTGGAACGTTCCATTTACAAATTTACATTTGCAATATTGCTGAACGTCCTTTTTAGTATTTGCAACAACCTTGCATCAACATATAGCTTCCAAATTTGCTTAGTGGGACAAAAATATTTGTATTATAAAAAAAAATATATATCTTTATAATATTACAGGAAATTACAGGGCTAGGCCATTTAGGAGGATCATCCGGTAAAGTATCTGGAGGAATATCGATTAATGGAGAGAAGCCCAAGACGTTCCATCATCAATTCGTCATTAGAGGTCGCTGATTATGTAAAATTAGATTCCAAATGTGAATAAAGTGTTTCCTGAGATATTTTGTTACATCTAGTGTTTTTTCATTGTTTGAATTGATCCAAACCGAAACAAATGATCACATAAGAGGAAGAAGAAAGTATTAGCATATTAGGCCTGTTCGTTTGTATTGCTAAACTTGCTAAAGTTGATTTTTTGCCCATAGTTGTCTCTGTTCATGGCATGATGTAAACAGAGAGTCATAGAAAAAAATGTTCAGCAAGTACAGCGAGCACAAAGGAACAGGCCTTTTATCTCATCACACTGGGTGGACTCATGATGTCCAAAATCAGTATTGCTGTAGTTTTCTTGCTGGTTTCTGAACATCTAAACTACGCAGCACTAATTTCGTCGCATCCCAAAATTTTGCCTCTGTTGAAATATGAATAACTTTTTTCTGCTTTGCACGATTCGAATTCGGATCACACTATTCGCTAGCCCAGTCCTTCAGCTATAATCTCGTAATTCTTCAAAACATAGGGTTCTTCACATAAAATCGCTACAAGGTGTTTCCTGAAACTGTGCAAAATTTCGGGAATTTCAAAAGTATCCCAAAAATGAAGATCGAAAAACTTATTTTTTCAACTTCGACAGTAGAGGCATGTAGATGATCCCATTATCTTGGGACATTTCTCAAATTGTCTTCCTATCTCTTTTATTTACAGAGTGATCTCAGAAAATTAACTTTTTGGTTTTGCAGTCATAACTTTTTTCCTCGTCAACCGATTTTTGAAATCTCAGGCTCATTTTGAAGCTGAAACTTCAGATGGAGAGATATGAAGATCAGAATCGACTCAAAATGAACAATATACAGTGTGTCTCACTTCTAATGGATGCACCCCTGTATCTTCCGTAATTGTTTAGTTAGGATTCTGAAATTTGCAAGAGCGGTAGATATACTGAAAATACACACTATGACCATCTATGACCAAATGGAGTCGTTTCCAGTGACATACACTGCTCGCCAACAGCCATGGAACCACCAAGAAAAATGATATAAGAAGGCAAGATAGATTGAAAATTGCTTCGGATTCAGAATCAGGACGTCCCTTTCAATTCTCCCTGCAAATTTCCGAACCTTACCTCAATAATTACGTGAGATACGAGGGTGCTTCCATATGAGGAGTGAGACAAAATTAAATCTTCCTGAAATGAAAATTTTCCAGGAAAAATATGTATAGTCAGTGAATTGGACGTCCTGATTTCTAATCCGAAGAGACTTTCAACTTATCTTGGCTCCAAATAACATTTTCCGGAAATTTAGGTGTTTCCATGGCAGTGTTCATCACTGAAAATGACTCCACTTAGTTATAAGTGTTTATTTTCAGAATATCTGCCGCTCCTGTAAGTTTAAGAATTCCAACTCAACAATTACGAAACATACAGGGGTGTTTCCATTAGGAGTGAGACACACTTGAGTCAATTCTGATCTTCATACTTCTTCATCTGAAGTTTCAGCTTTAAAATGAGATTTTGAAAACGGGTTGACAAGGCAGAAAGGTATGACTGCAAAACCAGAAAGTTAATTTTTTGAGATCACTCTGTGAATAAAAGAGATAAAAAGACAATTTGAAAAATGTCCCTATAGGTAATGGGATCATCTTTCCCAGCGAGCACAAAAACATCTCAGAGATGTTAAAAGTACGAGATTTCGAGACATTGAACCTTCACTGCGATGTTCTGTTCACACATGAATAGAACTATTATAGAACAGCCAATGTCCGCCGCAGGCGGCAATTATCGAGATGTCCTTGATATGTCACAAAACTACCTTCTCCCTAGTTCTTTTTGAAGCCTTTTCATGGACACAACATAACATTTTCAACGCGTCTTGCGCACATTAAATCGCTGTAAAAAAGCCATTTTCGAAGTACTTTTCTGAAGCCTTTTGTCAAAATGAACTTTTGCATAGGATTCCATTTCCCTTGAATGAAAAAATGCATTAAAAATAGATTGAACATAAAAATATTTTCTTGATATGAAATTACCTTTTTAATCGGTTTCTGAGTAGTGCTTACTACACACAGACATATAATTGAAAATAGGTTTCCCAATTTTTCAAATGTTCTCCACAATGCATAATTTTGCAACTGCGGAGAAGCTGTGTATTGATGAATTCGTACTTTTATATATTGATTACACTGAGGCACCGAACAACACATCTTGCATCTGATGGTCATTATTACAAACTAAATAAGTCTTCTAACACAATAAACTTCATCAAATTCCTTTCTGTTCGTTAGCAGCGTGATGTAAGCGTGACACGCTGCAAACGCGAATACCAATTGCGAACAAGAAGAACAAAATCGAAAACAAATCAGAATTCATCGTATTGTGACGTAAGCATAAGACGTTGTGGTGGGGCAAACAAAGAAAGGGCACAAAAGAACAAAAACAATACTCTCAATATCCTTCGAAGACCTCTATGGGAAGTGCATATTACGCCTCAAAAAAACATCCTCATGCCTACATTTCTAAAACATCCCAAAACATCCTAGGGATGTTTGTGCTCGCTGGGTTATACCAATTCTGTCGAAGTTGAAAAAAAAGGTTTTTTTTTATTTGGGATCCTTCTGAAAATTTCAAAATTTTTTACAGTTTCAGGTGACACCCTGTAGCAATTTTATATAAAGAACCTCATGTTTTTAAGGAGTACAAGATTATAGTTGAAGGACTGGGCTAGCAAGCAGTGTGATCTGAATTCAAATTGTTCAAAGCAGAAAAAGGTTATTCATATTTTAATAGGGAAAAAATTTTGGGGTGCGCCGATATAAGTGTTGCGTAGTTTAATACCATTGAAATAACAAAAGTGCTCAGTATCCATAGAGGGATCTGATTGGCTGAGTTGCGTATAAAAGTGAACAAATCCAATCCCTACTCTCTGGTCACCATCAGTGTGAGCGGATTATAATAAAAACACTAAATATCTTTGGGGAATTTTATTTTCTTTTAATAATGTCATGGTCCTTTTATGCTGCTAATATTCGTTCTTAAACGAATATTATTGCCTCCTTGTTGAAAATTAAAAGTCATGTCGTTTTGTTGTTATCATACTCTGGGCTCGAAAGTATTCTAACAACATATCAAGCGAAATAATTATGAACAATTTGTTACCGGGTTGGAAGAGTAGACATACGGTATCATAGGTTATTTTTTCAATACATTTTCATCAAGAGTGGTAAAACTACACATCTATTTTTTTTTTCAAAAAGGTGGGTACATACTAGTAGAGTAATCGGGTCAAAAAATACTTATTTGTTTCACTAGATTTATCGTAAGTACTTACTAATTTATCGAAACTTTGTTTGTTTTTCCTATAATGATTGTACATCACATGAACGTCAACTAACAATGCTATAACATAAATAAAATTTAGAATACCTACATAACTTTATTGCGTATTTCAACATAGGTCACTGTTCATTCATAATATTTACACATGATGAGATGTCTGTGAAAATACTGAAAACTGAAGTTACGTTTTAAAACATTACCAATTTCAATGCTAGGCACCATAAAAGTTCCGAATCGGAATTTAAACAAACCGGAAATGAATGGAAATTAAAAATCGATTTTATCTAACTACCTACAGCACAGGTTTTTGTTTCATTTACTTATATGCAGATCTCCAGTTAACTAGGCAACTCCCTGTACTAACTTCTTGTTCATGAAATGAAGTTATATACCAGAGATTATGGGGAGGGTATAATCTCTCTGTATATACCAAATAAACGTAACATATACTGGGTGATTCAGGTTTTTAGGTACAAACTGTGATAGGTGATAGATCTCATCATGTCATTAAAAGAGTTCATATTAACATCAGCAGTCCAATCCCGATCAGTAGCGGATCTACAGGGGGTCAAAGTTCAATTATATTTTTTTATTAATTCACAAATCTTGCTCACTTTTGAAGATATCAATCGGAAATCTAGTATGGTTGATACTTCAAAAGAGTTGATCATTCAAGGTTTATTTTCATCTGAAAAATTGATTGGTTGGCAAAAATGGAACAATGCTACAAATCCTAGGAATCTTCAAATAAATATACAGGGTAACATTTTGTATACATAATTATGTATAACCTCCGGTTGAATGGGATATAGACTTCATTAAGAGAATATGTCCGAATTTATAATAATCTCATGAAACGACAATTTCACAGGGGGTTGCGTAGTTTCTGAGTCACCCTTGCTTTGCTGATTGATTTATAATTTTCAATCACGTAACTTCAGTTTCAATATTTGTTTGATTTAAACTTACTTAGTAGTTGAATTTTGATCCACATAGAAATTATCCTAATTATTTTAAAATTATTTACCGATTCCATTTAGATCATGATATAACATTAGCTATACTATATAGTAATATTCTTTCGACATATATAGAAAAATAGTTTCTCTTATCTGAATATATGTTTGATTTTTACAATGAATGAATTGATGTATCATTTGAAATCAGTCGGATAGATATAATTTAATCAGTTTCTCGTTTTTACACCAGCAAAAACGCCGATTATAATATAGAACCAGATGAAGCCAAACAACGAACTTTTTATCAGAAGTGCAACGATTTGGTATCAAGTTGATAAACGGAATTCAGCAAGCTCAAAAAATCTTTTTCTACTCAAATAACTGAAATGGCAATTAGCGAACGAATATACAGGGTGGCCCACGGTCGATGGTACCTTAGACGTATACGGAAAACGGTACATTGGATTATCCTGAAAATTTGGTTACTCTAATGAGCGTTTGTGATCTAACGATTCAAAATATTTTCAGCGATGCAGCGTTGCCACTTTTACCAAAAAGTAGCATCATCTTTGTTATTTTAAATGGAACACCCTGATGTATTTCATTGCGTTTTTAGATTCCTCTCGAAGAGCTGATTTCATCTATGTATCACAATTGGGGTCTAGCAGGAATTATTACAGAGATATAGGGTGTTCAAAATCGAGATTTTTCAATTTCAGGAATTTTTTGTGTCGAAACTATTCATTATCTATCAAAACGGCTCACATGTCCCTATCTTAACTTTCGATTCACTATCTACTGACATTTAATTGGAACAGATACAGGGTGATCAAAATTCTGAATCTGGGACCATCCTGTATTTTTTCCAATTAAATGTCGGTAGATAGTTAATCAAAAGTTGATATAGGGACATGTAAGCCGTTTTGACCAATGATGAATAGTTTCGACACAAAAAAATCCTAAAGTTGAAAAATCTCGATTTTGAACACCCTATATATCTCTGTAATGATTCCTGCTAGACCCCAAGTGTGATGCATTGAAGAAATCAGCTCTTCGAGAAGAATCTAAAAACGCAATAAAATACAGGGTGTTCCATTTGAAATAACAAAGATGATACTACTTTTTGGTAAAAGTGGCAACGCTGCTTCGCTGAAAATATTTTGAATCGTTAGATCACAAACGCTTATTAGAGTAACCGAATTTTCAGGATGATCCAATGTACCGTTTTCCGTATACGTCTAAAAGGTACCATCGACCGTAGGCCACCCTGTATAGGTACCGGTTGATTCATTTGAGACTATCCACCCTCGATATCTCGTTGGTTGCATGCAGTTGCATAGAATTATGTTCTCAATTCCCATTCCCTTCGAATTAATTTGTAGGTTAGCGGGTATGTTGATCTAATCTTAGGAATTATGGGATCTGGTCGAAGACAGGAATTAGGAGTTCGTAGAAAAAGTATAGTATGTAACGCGTTCATAAACTCTTCTAGACACTCCTTTATTGAACACTTGTTACTGAAATGACGTTTAAAACACTTGTTACATAATATACTATTTCGTATGATGTAAATAATACTACAAGTGTAGTGGGTGACAAGATTCATATAGGTCCCATGTTGAAAATCTAGCTACCAATGCAATGATGGAATATATTCATCATATTATCTTTCTTAAATTCATAGTATTCTTCCTTCCTCCACATGGTTTCCAGATATAATATTGTGATTAAAGACAAAGGAGAGTTTGAAGCTACAGAATATTATTAATAAAGATCAGGCTTCAAACGAATTGGCGTAGTGACAAATGTATTTTGACCTATTTATGGTTTGCCAGCAATGAATCAACATCATTTATTAGAGATGATGCAGATAGATTATAGATTTTATATAATTCAACGGTTGTGTTTTTGTTTCGCGAATTCCTAATAGAGGTTATGTTCTGAGAGATTCTCTTCTGCCGCGTTCGGATTATCATAGTGTGTCAACCTTTCTGAAATAGTCCTAGGATTCGAAACGACTGCGCACTAGTTCTGCGCAGTTCTAGAACGATTCTCAAACAGTTCTGAGTCCCAAAGTATCCCTGTTTTACGGTACCCTATTATGGTGTATGTATACTGGCTAGCAATGATGTTCTGATAAAAAGTTCGTTAATTAGTTTCACCCGTTTTCGATATTCCGCATCTCCAGCACCACCCTTCTGGTACTGCTGTTGCTGGTACTGCTGTCGAAGTCGACATTGGGGGAAACCACATCATTGCGTGATCTCTTGTCTTCGGATCAGTCGCACTTGAAAGTGACGTTCCGGGAGCCGGAAGCCACTGCCGGAGCAGCTACGAGGGCAGCTAACCTGGAAAACAAAACATTTTTTTTGTATCTCTTGGAGATGAACGTAGGGAGGATAGGGAGAAGAGGTAGGTGTTGGAATTTTCCTGAACTTCTGGAGGTTATATGTTCTTGAGCAACTTCATGTCCAGTCCAGTAGGTACCTATTATACCGAAATATATGGGTACATTTTCAGTGAAGTGAAAAGAATAATCTCTCATAATATGCTCAGACACTTTTTTTCCAATCTTAGAGTTATGCACTCACATCTTTCTTCTATGGATCACTTCATTATTGTTTCCCAACTTAGTTACGAATACAACTCATTCCTGATTTTGGAAAGGTATGAAAGCTCTATTCGGGATTCTTTTGCTCAAGATGAACAATGGGGTAGGCAACAATAGTGATTAATGTTTTGAAACGTTTATAAAATTGCTCAAACGGAATCATAGACGATTTAAACACAACTACTTCTCATATAAAACACATGCAAACTGATGTGAACAATGCAGTCAATGGCCCATACGTTGGTTATATTAGAAAACGGTAGAGCAAGATTCGCCTATACATTCGTTTCAAGAGTGGCCCGGGAACGGACCCTCGAGGCACACCCACCTGGCAGCGACCGGTGGCTCGCCGTCCGAAGGCAAGCGACCACTGGCCCGCCATCATTGCAGATTCTTGATCCCGAAATGCCGGTTCCTCCTTGCGTAGTTCCTGCCGCACAGCAACTTCTTGAACGCATGCCTGAACTCCGGACTGAAGATCGTGTAGATGATGGGATTGAGGGTGGAGTTGAAGTAGCCCAGCCACAGGCACACCGACACCAGGTACTTGTCGAAGATGGTGGGGTCGATGGGCAGCAGGACTGCTACTATGAAGAAGGGTAGCCAGCATAGCACGAAGGCCCCTGCAGAAAAAGATTGTAACGTATTCATATATTCTTTTTTCTGCAACCGACACAAAAGTCGTCCATTTTGATACCAAAATTAGCTCTTAAATTGACGTTAGACAACATATTTAGTTCCTAGGAGCTAAAGTTGAATTTTAGTTCCTAGGAGCTGAAGTTGAACTTTAGCTCCTAGGAACTAAAAAGGATGTACTGGAAGTCATCAAGAATGAACAACATTGTGACGGTTGGTTATTTGGGTTGAGACGCATACCTGATTTGTTTCCGATTTCAGCAGATTTGGCATTTCATACCCATTCTGGAGATATAAATCACCTTATTATAGTTTAGTATTGGAATTATAAACATCTCAGTTAAGTATTTTTGTTTTGATCAGGGAAGCAATCAAGATTCAAATACTTGCTTGATCTGTATTTCATTCGTTATTCTCGGGATGGATAACTTGTTTTTGAATAATCACGGCAAGCAATAGTTTTTTTGTCTCAAACAACGATATTGTTTAGCTTCATTTGATTTTCAAGTCAAACATAGTATAGTATGGAGAGGAATAAAAATAATCACTATTATCATTGTTGATATGCTCACTAACCTAACATTTTCCACGTCTTTGTTCCTATAGCTGGCACTGGCGCGGTATTTGCCATCAGAGCACCTGGTCCATTCACAAATATGTCACTCTGTGGTTTTATTTATATTGAAACTACAATTCGAACATCCTAGAAAACCTAACCTGCTGTTAATGCAGGTAGAATATTCTCACCACATGGATTATTTGTCAATATTTGTTGCATTGCATACCTACATCATATGGCACGACATTGGTGATTACTTCACATGTTTATTTGAGTTAATTGTTTCGGTTGCAGAAAAAATAGCATGTTTCATTCGGATCAAAAGTGACTTTGTTCGACTCGCAAATTTTGCTTTCGCTCGCCTCGCAAATGCAAAATTCGCTTGTCAAACAAAGTGTCACTTTTGATCCTAATAAAACAATCTACTATTATTTTTTGAACGGGTCAACTGAACGAAGAGAAACATTTTGAAGTGGAATTGACAGATGAATATTTCAAGATGGCGACTGGGCGCATTCTGATAAAAATAATTGAATGGAAAGGAAGGTCTTGTAACATATCCTGTTGAAGCTCCTGACAAATTCTTCACAACCCTAGAATATAAAGTCAGCATATCTTGGTGGTGCTTCATCTTGTTGGGATACATTATAAACTGGGCGTCAATTGAGACGTTAATAGTGAAATTTGGCATCAAGTTTGACTTCTCGTAATTTCTAAAATATTGAACCAATTTTGAATTGCCGCCCAGATTCTGAATCCTTTTTTCATCGTCTTTCGAACCGTTCCTTACAGCTCCTGAAAAAAATTTCTCCTCCCCCATTTTGTCGGAAGACCACGATGCTCATATTTTATTTGGGCATAACATAAATAGCAACCATACCTCGGGACGTTTTCGAGTTTTTGCCAAAAACTACTGTGGTTTCCGAAAAAAAAATATTTTTTTTGTATTTTTTTAAATGCACTAATTTCAGAGGAGTTCCATAAATGGATGCTTTTATGCATTTCAGGAAAGCGTTGGAGCAGATATGTATACCAGGTTACTCAAAAACAATCAATAATTTATTACTTCGCAGTCTATGATAAAAGTTGTCTACCTTAGTGAGCAGTAAATCAACACATTTCGTCAACAAAAACAAACAACGATACCTTGTTTCTATAACAACGTATTGTTGAAACAATGTAGGTATGCATAGAGGTTATATCAATTGCCAATTTTCATGAAAACGTCAATGTAATTCGGGTCCTAAAAAATTTGAAGATGCCTCGTTCAAATCGGGTCGAAATGGAAAATATCATTTGGTAAGATCATTATAGTGATATAAACTATAATTTAGTACAGATAATTATTATTCCAGGTTACGACGATTAGGATACACCCAAACTCATTCAAGTACCATTTTCAATAAGTCAGTCATGACAATAAATAGACTGATTCATCGTTTTGAGGATACAGGTAATCAGGCCATTAAAAAAATGCAAAAAAAAATTTTTTTTCGAAAACCACAGTAGTTTTTGGCAAAAACTCGAAAACGTCCCGAGGTATGGTTGCTATTTATAAAATGCCCAAATAAAATATGAGCACCGTGGTCTTCCGACAAAATGGGAGGGCGGAGAAATTCTTTTCAAAATGCACCAAACTTTGTCTCACCCTGTATCACGGGTCCTGATCAATTCAGAAGAAGTTGTGAGGAACGGTTCGAAGGACGATGAAAAAGGCATTCAGAATCTGGGCGGCAATTCAAAATTGGTTCAATATTTTAGAAATTACGAGAAGTCAAACTTGATGCCAAATTTCACTATTAACGTTTCAATTGACGCCCAGTTTATATGAAAATGAATTTGTATTCATGCAATTATTACATTTTTGATAAAAGCTAGTCCATTATTTCTCAGAGTGGAGTGAATATAATACTCGAATTCATCTCCACGATATTTTGATATGATCAAACTGATCAAATTACTTGGAACTTGTTCAATATCAAAAACATCGGGGAGATAACTTCGTGTATTATTAGTATATATTTAACTATTAAATGTTTCGCAATTTTGTAGTAGAGGTGAAGATATTGACTTCTAGGGTTGTGAAGTATTTTTCAGGAGCTTCAGAACGATGTGTCACAAGACTCCTCCTTTTCTTCTGATTTTTTCCCAGATGGAGCCCAGGCGTCATCTCGAAATTTTCATCTGTCAATTTTACTCCAAAATAAGATATTCATGTATCGATTTTATAATCCCAAGTTTCTGTTTTCAGAGTTGACCCGTTCGGAAAATAAACGGGAGGGGAGGAATGAAAAAAAGCATTGTAAAATTAGCTGTTATTCACTCATGTTGATTACGCCACTCACTTAATGCTTGTTGAATAATATACTATTAAGAGAGTGCTTCTCCGAGTGCTATTGAAACCTTTGAAATAAGCATGTTGCTAGGGGAGGGGGAAGCATTAAAGAAAAGCACTGTATATAGCGATTGACGTTGAGGATGGCATACAAATAATGAGTGACAGGATGTTTTCATAAATCAATCTTGTATCATTCACATATTCAGTTTTGAGTAGTGAAAATTAGTCTTATCTATAGGGTGATTCATTGAGAATGGTAAATCTCTGAACTACAGATAGTCAACACTCAAATAATGAGATTTAGCCCAATATGGTTGATGACAATGTTGCTGGTTTAGGAGATACATGGTGTTCTATAGGGGGAGATTTTATTTCAAAATTTCACAATACCTTTGTTAGTTTCAACAGCATGAACATGAAATCTTGTATTTCTGGGTTTTCTGACATGAGAAATATGGATTTGTAAATTATTTTGTAATTGCTCATGTCGATTCATTGATGATCAAAATAACTGGAAAATCTGAAATCTCGTTCAATTTCACATAAAAAATGTACTCCTTATCAAACTGCCTAGCTTCAACGGTTTTTGTGTTATTCGCTCTTGAAGAGATTCATGTTCCAATTGAAACATTTCAATAATTTCATTTATCAAATTAAAAATTGGAGATATCTGAACAACAGATAGTGAACACCCAAATATAAAGATTTAGCCCAACATGCCTCATAAAAATATTGCCACCCTGTATCTCTCAAACCAGCAATATTTTTAAAAGGCATGTTGGGCTAAATCTTCATATTTGGGTGTTTACTATCTGTAGTTCAGAGATTTCCCATTCCTAATTTGATGAATAAAATTATTAAAATGTCATAAGTGGAAAATGAATCTCTTCAAAAGCGAATAACACAAAAACCGTTGAAGCTAGACAGTTTGATAAAGAGTACATTTTTCATGTGAAATTGAACGAGCTTTCAGATTTTCTACTTATTTTGATCATCAATGAATTGACATAGAAGATATGGTGTAAATTATCGGAGTAACAGATTGCCACTAGCACCCTTTATGAGAAATCACAAAATAAGTTGCAAATTCATATTCCTCATGTCAGAGAACCTAGAAATACAAGATTCCATGTCCATGCTGTTGAAACAAACAAAGTTATTCTGGAATTTTGAAATAACATTTCCCCCTAGAACACCCTGTATCTCCTGAACCAGCAACATTCTCATCAGGCATATGGGGCTAAATCCCATTATTTTCGTGTTTACTATCTGTAGTTCAGAGATTTCCCATTCTCAATTAATCACCTTGTTTATAAAGCGAACAGTAAGCAATGCTCGTATTTTTGTTTCATGGAAACGAGGAGAGAAAACCCTGAAAAAATCTGAAAAAATCAATCTAACCTGTTATGATCGCCAACGTTTTGGCAGCTTTCCTCTCTCTCTTCGAGTCCATCCCGTCTCGGGCTTTCCGCTTGATCGGATAATGCGCTGGCCGATAGGTGGCGCTGCCTTCGGTGACCGTGGGCGGATCGGGCTCCAGCCCATTGGCCGCAGCGTGCCTCTCCGGGCTGCTATTGGTCGAGGAGACGGTGGTGAAGGCCGTGGTGGTCTCGGAGATGGTCGGCAGAGGTCGGCCGATCACGGTCACCACGGCTGCGGCGATGCCTCCTAGACAAAACCAATAAACTCAATATAATAGAGAGTTGAAGTAATCACTGTACGTAGACCTCCACTTAGACGTTAAGGTACGAAAAATAACGTTTACGTATTGTCGTTAAATTGAGTTGAAGACGTCACTGTCATCATAACGTAATAATACATTTTGTTTTCGGTTTGTATTGGTCATTTTTGGTTGTGTGTTTAGATTCCACCATTTATTCCTGTCAAAATGAGAGGACTCCTTGATGCAGAACTCGTTGGGGATCCCAAATTTGATAATTTTGACTCATCGGTATATTTCGAGTATAGTTTGGTTAACGTACGTTGATATTCAAGGTATACGTGAAGGTACGTGAGATAACGTACACCCGTAAGCCCACTAACAACGCAAACGTGAAGAATTGGAAAATGCGCATGCGTAGCTGTCCATTTTTACGTTTATGTTAACGTTCATGACAACTCTTCAACTCTCTAATGAGATTTTCACAAAAATCTCAAACAAACGACATGTTTCGCTAACACAGTAGCTTCGTCAGTTGATATACTGGTACGATGAACAAAACTAACATTGGCTTGCTTATACTGGGTGTTTCAAAAAAACCTGACCCCCTTGCTAGGGTAGGTAGAACACTGCAAAACAAGTTGGGTTTGCTCAGTGAAGAAATGTCGTAATGGCATCCGTTTTCATGATACAAAGATTTGAAAAAAATATTTTTTTACACATTTTTCACGATTATGTCGAAACTACTAGCAACATTGTAATAAAATTTTGTATGGATGTTTCTTGAAATCTGACACATCGCATGAATTTGTTTTTATTTCTGACTCTAAAAGAGGGCGCTAGTTACACGGTTCGTACCGAGTAGTTTAGAACATAACTTTTTTGAGGCTAGATTTTCCAATCCAAATATGATACGAACTCGAATATCATTCAAATTTACGCCAAAAAGGTACTTTTGGTGAAACTCGATATTATGTTTCCTTTTCGGAATATTTCAATTGAAAATAATGGAGTAGTAATGATGCTGATGGTACAAAATAAATTTACTTGAGTTCAATTACCTATTTCTTCAGATTCAAAAACAATAAAATAATCCTTGTGCTGAAGTTATTGATGGAATAAAGAATCATAAGTTGAAAATTAAGAGATATTTGACTAGAATCATGAAATATTGAATCAGTTAAAATGTCCTACGTTTCGACGAATACACGATTCTATATTCTTTTCTTGAGAATGTATTATTCTTCTAAACAGTTGGGGACCAGCTGTTAGGTCATTTAAGTGATGTTCCATTATGTCTTACAACTCTTGACGTGAATTTACCTATGTAACATAGACTTTCTGCTCAAGATACAACAAAACTGTGTAATCCATGTTCTTAGTCGAATCTGTTTCGATGTCATTCTTGTGAATCCTTGTTAAATCAATAAGTTTAGCATCAGAAATGTATTGTTGTTTTCAGTTTTCAATAAATATGTGATAATTTTTCATAATACTCACTCGAATACATAGCTTTATACCAGCAACAGTTTTCACTTCATCATTTTCAAATCGAAATATTCCGAAAACGGAACACAGTATCGAGTTTTACCAAGAGTACCTTTTTGGTGTGAAATTGAATGATGTTCAAGTTCACATCCAATTTTGGATCAAAAAATCTAACCTCAAAAAAGTTATGTTCAAAACTACTCGGTACGAACCATATAACTAGCACCCTCTATGAGAGTCAGATATAAAAACAAATGCATACGATGTGTTAAATTCCAAGAAACATCCATACAAAATTTCATCACAATGTTGCCAGTAGTTTCGACATAATCTTGAAAAATGTGTACAAAAATCATTTTTTCAACACCTTGTATCTTGATAACGGATGCCGTTACGAAATTTTTCCACTGAGTAAACCCAACTTATTTTGCAGTGTTCTACCTACCCTAGTAAGGGGGTCAGGTTTTTTTGAAACACCCTGTATATCCTACTTTCCCAACCTGAAGGATTAGTTACCTGTGGACAGGTTCGATAAACCTTCATTTTCGGAAATTAGGCACAATATCTACATTAAAATACGGTGTACCGGATTAACTTGAAAGGGTTGATATCAAATACATATATTATTACTTACTAAGAAAACAAATTCAACAGTAGTGAACTATTGAGGTATATTTGATCGTTGAGTAAAATGTCAGAATTTTTGAGTCTGTTGATTTCTAATGATTCAAAATGATTGTGATTCATGCATTAATTTTCTACGTGTAGAATTTCGGAATTATCATCAAAACTATGGTTTTCTTCTTATATATGGTTGTCGTATTTAGAATTTGTTTTCTTTTTGAAAAAATTCATCTTATGTTCATGAATGCGCTGATAAAACGTACGACCTGTCTGACCGATATATACCTTTTAGGACAAGATCCACAGTTTAGTTCGTATATCCCTGATTTTTCGAATTTAGAAGTTTTGTCTTTATTATTCTTTATAAACCTTCCCAGTCCTGTTTATGTAGAAATGAAGTTAATTTTTCAGTTGAAGATCCAAAATAGGTTAAAGTTCTATAATTTTGATTAATATTCTTGATGGTAGAAATGACTTCTTGAATAGCTTTATTATGAAGTTCTTCAGAAAGAATACTGTCTATCAACTGAAAGTGGCATCGAAGAAAATGAAGTTGACAGAAGCAACTCCTGTCAGAACTTTCCTGTATACTTACATGAATTTACCATCAAAAAAACCACATCAAAGAATGAAAATCCACTGCCGAGCGATTTTTCAAATAACTATTACCACTCAAATTTGAATGAATCTGAACATTATTTCTGGTAAGCACTGTACAATATAACATTGTAAATTATAACAAACATCATCCACCATATAATATTCATTATTCCAGGAATCATATTTGGATTTCTCGTTAAACCATCAAAGAGTGCTGATTTGACTGAATGATCTCGAACCATTTCCAATATTCACAATATTCACCATTTCATTCATGAGTACTGAGAATTAATCATAGAGTTTGATTCTCGTTTGAAATGATTTTTTCTCCTATATCGTGATAAATGGTGCTGCTGTTTCATGCAGCTAATTGAAATGAAAATAACAGCAGACTCATTTTGGAGAACAAACCCTACAAATTAGTCAAGGTAGAAGGGTCGAAATTCAGTGAATACAATTTTATTCTGGGGCGTATCTTTTTGTGTTAATGTGTTTCTTGATTTTCTGGGATATTGTTCGGATAGAAAGGTCATATTAGATCCAGTTAATTAGCAGGATGTATTTCATCATCATCTTTATTATTCCCAAGAAACAATTGACGTATGTTTATAACAGGGAACATTGAAAAATAAACCATAATGTATCTCATTATACATTTAAAATGTAGTAGGTATAGGTATAATAATTATTCTAGTAATTCTCAGAGTTTGAGCTGATCCTTGTTTGAGTGAATGAATGATTGAAATAATTGATATGTTGTATGATCTTTATATGGATGACATAAGTAAATTCAGGCGAAGCAATATTTTTCAAGTTCTTTCTTGAATTTTTTGGTACTGATATTTTTTTCAAGTCTTGTTGGCAATTCATTGTAAAGTAATAATTCCTTGTAATATATAGGTAGATCTCTTGCCAAATTCAGATTTGATTTTAATGAGGAAAAACATTATATGTTTCGACCATGATTAATTTTGATCAATGATTAAACCAAGAAATTTGATATCTGTGGAATATCTAATGATTTCATTATTGAATATAATATGATTTTTCAATTCATTTGGAAGAGATTTCTTAGACATGAATATGGAAGCTGATTAGTTGTAATCAATACTCATTTTTTCATGATTCAACCAAGAAGATGAGGAACTTAAATTACTCTCAATGTTTTTCTCGATTTCTCCAGCCATTCCTTCCGAATAGATCAATGTTCCCTTGCAAATCTGAGGTTGGCAATTGAGTTTATATATCAGAAATAAAACAGGACCTAATATCGATCCTTGAGGAACCCCACATATTATTTCTTCGGTTCTACTTGAAACTTGCTCCAAATGAACAAATTGTTTTCTTGGTACGTCAATGGATTTCCGAAGAGACAACACACATCTACAAGAAGTCAATCAGCATAGATAAGATCAAGTAGGTACATAAAGAATTCATCATCAAATCTGTTTTATAGGGGTTGCTTTTAGTGTAACACTTCGATGGACTTCGGAGTGCGATATTCTGTATGTTATTCCAGTTATAATAGGGTTAGTTCCAAGTTCGATTTAGTCCTGTAAAGTGATTAATATTGTGTGATGTGGGTTGCTACGAGGTAGCTACAGTCGACTGAACACAGCTTCGCAAATAGGACAGCCGATATAGGGGACATCAAAGGGAGGTGGGGGCAAAACAGAAAATGATATAGAGGTAAATCGAGGAGCTGGTAGATTCTGTTTTCCAGAATTTTTAAGGATTCATGAATGAAATAGTTACTTATTATACAGTGGAAAAAAGTAGTAGATTTCAGCTCGAGGTTGTGTTGTCAAAAACAGAAAACCGGGAGCTAAAATCTAACATTTTTCCCGTGTATAATACACTATTTTTTCCTGTGACAGAAAAAACGTTGAATCAGAATGGAGAATATATTACATTTTATTGAAATTAAAAAATTATCGACGTGAAAACTGAAATTTGCAACAGGAATTACATCTTTATCATTCTTTTCAATTCTCTATATACAGGGTGTTTCTTAAGTACGTGTAGAAAATTCAGGAGCATGTTGCTGACATCAAAATAAGAAGAAAAGTTCGTATAAATATATGTCCGAAAGTTATTCGTTTCTGAGATACAGAGTGTCAAAGTTAAATTTCTTATTTTCGTTTTTTTTTAATGAATTTCGAAATAATTGTGATATTGAAATAAAATTTGGTATCTAGGGGTATTCTTCAACGACAATATCGAATTTTATGTTAGTTTGTCTCTTCCGTGGGAGTGGTGCCACCTACATGTCTTTTGAGTCTTTCGAAAAGTTATA